CTTCTTCTTCCAAATCCCGTAGGCGAGGCTCCAGTAGGCAATCACGATAGGTAGGATATCATCAATTCTAATCAGTAGGATATTGTCAATCACGTCGCCAATCACAATCGGTAGGTTCAATCACGATAGGCAGGTGATTGATATTGTAGGTAGGTATTGAATCGATTGGGTCACTCCTGCAGGTGGGTATTGATCACTGCGATAGGTGGTTGATTGATCAGTGGTTGATTGGTCACAAAGATTCGATCACTATTGCAGGTGGAAATTCGAAAGATTCAATTACCATTGCAGGTGGAAACCAAATCAATTCAATCACTACTGCAGGTAGATATTCAATCAATCAATCACTCCTGCTGGTGGAAATTCTGTGCTGACTAATCCTATCCTCTCAACGAGAAACTTGCTCTGCTGGCCTAACAACTGGTATATAAGTCAATGTGTGAATTTGTAGTGGATAATTCGGCTCACAGCGTATTTAAATATGAATCAATGTGTGAATTTGTAGTGGGTGATTCGGTAGTTTATTTTGAATTGATATAAAAATCATTTACGCAACAGACCAGGTTTCTTCCTGGTACTTGTACCATGCAACTGCACCGAATATACATAGAATACATGATGAAACTCCTTGATCCATAGCTTAGTATGTTCGCTTGAAAGGTGGAACTGCCTTGCACTCGTTCTCGTCCAAGGTGGTGCTAGTGACGGCCCTGTAGCCCAGCTTGACCTTGCCATGTGGCTCCTTCTGCCATGAAAGAGTGTGCTTCATCCAGTTCTCGTCATCTCTGTCGGGGTAGTCCTCGCGTGCGTGTGCGCCTCTTGATTCCTTCCTGTTGGCGGCAGACTCTGCGGTCTGCACGGCACAGGTCAACAGGTTCCTAAGCTCGAATGTCTCGACGAGGTCAGAGTTCCAGATCATGCTGCGATCCTTGGTTCCAACGTCGGCAAAAGTAGCATCGACCTCACGGATCTTGCGAACACCCTCGTCAAGCGATTCCTGAGTACGGAAAACGGAAACGTCAGTCTGCATGACCTTCTGCATGTTGAGGCGGATCTCGGAGGTCGACTTGGGCCCATCTGCGGTTCGGATCTTGTCGATGACCGATATGGACTCGGCACCTGCATCTGCGGAAACGGGATCGGCAGTTTGGCCGGGCGAGAAGTTGTCACGGATGGTGTGGGAGACAGCACGGCCGAAGACGATAAGATCCAAGAGGGAGTTTGCGCCCAAACGGTTGGCGCCGTGCACGGAGACACAGGCAGCTTCACCGCAGGCAAAGAGACCTGGAACAACCTTGTCCTTGCCCTGCTCGTCAACAGTGAGCACTTCACCAGTGTACTTGGTGGGGATACCACCCATGTTGTAGTGGACGGTAGGCAGCACAGGAATAGGTTGCTTGGTGACGTCGACACCAGAGAAAATGGCGGCAGTCTCGGAAATACCAGGAAGACGGTCGTGGAGAATCTCGGCAGGAAGATGGCTGAGCTGGAGATAGATGTGGTCCTTCTCTGGTCCTACACCACGGCCCTCGCGGATTTCCAAAGTCATTGATCGCGAAACGACGTCTCGGGAAGCCAAATCCTTAGCGGTAGGAGCATAACGTTCCATGAATCGTTCACCTTCGCTGTTTAAAAGGTAGCCACCCTCACCACGCGATCCCTCGGTAATCAAACATCCTGCACCGTAGATACCAGTGGGGTGGAACTGCACGAATTCGAGATCCTGGTTGGGAAGGCCAGCACGTGCCACCATAGCCATACCGTCACCCGTGCAAGTATGAGCCGAAGTACAGCTGAAATAGGCACGGCCATAGCCACCGGTAGCTAGAACTGTGTTCTTGGCAATGAATCTGTGGATCGTACCGTCCTCTTGGTTGTATGCTACAACACCCTTGCAAACACCGTCCTCCATGATCAAGTCCGTCGCGAAGAATTCGATGAAGTACTTGGTGTTGTGTCGGAGGGACTGTCCATAGAGCGTGTGAAGGAGGGCGTGACCAGTTCGATCGGCGGCGGCGCAGCATCTGTAGGCCTGTCCTCCTTTTCCATATTTCTGTGACTGTCCACCAAAAGCACGTTGATAGCTGTGAGTGGGGTAAGCATAGTGACAGAACATTTTCAAAGTGTTACATACATCTTGCCTTCGTCCGTTCGAGAGAATGGGCAGCCGTAGTTCTCGAGCTCGATGACGGATTGAGGTGCTTCACGGGTCATGTAATGGATTGCATCTTGGTCTCCAAGCCAATCCGAACCTTTCACCGTGTCGTACATGTGCCATCTCCAATCATCCTCGTGCATGCTAATTTCATGGTCAGCTAAGACATTGCAGCGCAAGTGGTCGCTTCAGGTGTCCGAACATACTTTCCTAGGGCAGCATTGATACCTCCCTGTGCGGCAACCGTATGCGATCGAGTCGGGAAGAGCTTCGATATGCATGCAGTATTGAATCCCGCCTCGGCGAGACCGAACGCTGCTCGAAGTCCGGCTCCACCAGCACCAACAACGACCGCATCATACTCATGGTCAATGACTGGGTATTTGCGAGAAATGAAGCCGGATGCTTCTTTGGCCTTGAGGTGTTCAGTCGCAAAGATGCGGGCGGCAGGTCGTGTCGAGGAAAAGGTTCGGACGTTGGCACTCGCGCGGAGGCTCTTGGAAAGCTTGCGGAATGCATGTTAGCCATTGAGCACATCGAAACGATAGATTCGGATCTGCATAGTTCTATGACAATTTTGGCGAGCGGCAATAGAGCTTCATGAGAGACTTCTTAGGCACAACAATGCCATAATAGACATCACGGGCTCTGAAGCGGAGAAGGCGGCATAAATGGCGCAGCGCAGTTGGCTCTCTGAGGCATTGGAAGGGACGTACCTGGGTCGCAAGCTGCGAACGACGCATCCTGAGACAGCTCATGATGGCTGCGGCCAGAGGAGTGGAGAGTTTGAGGGTAGGATGGTGGGCTAAAAGGTGTCCTGGTGTGAGGCTTTCGATTTCACGTTGATTACGAACTTGGTTCGGTTGCAGCTGATTGGACGACGGAACCTCGGCCGCACTGGAGAAGCGGAATGCCATCGCACCCGACTTCTCCCATTAATTCATGTGGTCATCCTCGTGCGGCGAATCCTCACATGTAATTATGGAAAATACATAACATGAACATTTCATCAACAATAAACAATTCAATCCGGATGATGTTGTGTGTAACTGGTCTATTCTCAACCCAAGACAATTTCTTACCATTGTCATTTTCTACTCAGAGAGGCACCGTACCCTATGCAGGGAGAGCACGTAGCGCTCTACCACTGGCAATGCATTCGTCATAGACTTGCTTTTCCGGGAGTCCAGCCCTACTTGGTTAATTATGTATTTAAAAGTCAGCCTACGTAGGTAGTTAAAATGGTAACGAGGCAAAATAGAAGATCACGGGATCCACACAGAAAATACGGGCGCAGTCGGCTGGCCCTACCCTGAATTTCTGTTCTCGTTAGACTAGTTAGAACTTAGAGCGAAAGACAGCCACCATGCACAATCACAGGGAGAAATCAACATATTTTTGATACACATCATGAAGTGGGAATCATTGATATTTTTTTCATTGGCCACTCATTCGTGAGAAGGAAGTAACCCAAGCCGTTCGCCTAAAAGCCCATGAAGAAAGTATGCCGTAGATCATCAACAGTAACCTACGAGGAGGCAACAAGATCCTTCTTGAGAGTACCCACGTACTGCTTCTTCTCCGCGGGGGTCTGGTATGCACCGTGACCGAATTTGGAGGAGGTGTCGATCCATTTGAGCTCGACCTTCTCCAACGCCCTCCTGCTGGTGTGGACGAACATAGACTTGCGCAGGGTCATGACCCGCTTCTTCACACCTGGGCAAGAGCCCTTGAGCAGAACGTAGTCGTTCTTGACCTCTCCGTAGCGGACGAAACCACCAAGACTAATGCGTGTTAGCAGTTGATCAATTAAATAGAATGCAATGTGTGACTTACGGAGTAATCTGCTTCTTGGAAACGTCGAACTCGGTGGAGGCGTTACCCTCGTCGTCACCACGGCCAATGCGGTAGATCTTGTGGTTGACGGAAGTACGGTGGTGGTAACCCATTTGACCGGCACGGGCAACAGTCCACTGGACGTGGGAAGGATGCCAGGCACCGATACAGGCGACCTTACGGAGACCCTTGTGCGTCTTGCGAGGAAGCTTCTTGGTACCCCAACGGGCAGTGACACCGTTGAAACCGTGACCCTTGGTAACGGCAATGACATCGATCATCTCGTTCACCTCGAAGATGGAAGAGATCTCGATGGGCTTCTCGAAGAGACCGTGAGCGAAAGCGACCTTGTCGGCAATGCTTCCTCCGTTGACCTGGACTTCCATCAAGTGTGCCTTCTTCTGCTTGAGAGGAGTCTTGGAGATTTGAGTGTGGGCGAGGACGCGGACGACGGTGGCGTACTTCTTGATACGCTCAAGCTCGCGGGTGATGGACTGGCCGCTGCTCTCGGAGTGCTTCTTGGCGTACTTGGTGAATGCCTTTCTCTTGCTCTTGTACCAGTTCTTGTAGAAGCGGCGCTTGACCTCGTCGCTGAGATGCTCGGCCCAAACGGTGGTGAGGGAGCGGAGGCCACGGGGAGTCTCGATGTAGCCAACGATACCGACAGCGATCATCTAGATACTGAATTAGCCCAAAATTGCATTGTGGCATGCTGGGAGGGAAAATCGTACGGGAGGAGTCTCGATGACGGTGCAGGCCTCGACAATCTCCTTCTTGTGCAATTTGGCACCTGGTCGGTCCAAATCACGCACAATGGTGGTCATACCGGCCTTGTATCCCATGGTGGCAGTGAGGTGGACAGGCTTCTTGGGATCATCCTTAGGGAAGCTGCGAAGAATGTAAGTTTCTCGAAATTGAGGATTTGTCGACGACGAGGTGCGAATTTACCTCTTGACCTTTCCCCTGTGCCTGGCGGCACGCTTGCGAGGCAAGAATGCCAAAGATCCGTGGCGTGGCGCCTCAAACTTCCTGTGGGACATGGTGATAGACCCGGATGTGCTGTCAGGTTAGTTGAAGTTGTCGTCGTTGACAATTTTGCGATTGGGTTTTGAGGTGGGAGAGCAGTATTGCTTAGCGAGAAGTTTAGCGTACCCTCTCTGCAACCGGACTAGCGCCATTGTCTGGCCTTGGCGTTTTGAACCACCCCGCTGATTGTGTGCACGCACGCACAAGACTCGCGCTGATGAAGTACCGGGTCACTCTGTAAACCATCTATACATCGCACTTTCTTCCGTGGTATCACATCCTCTACCTCTTTCCACCGCTAGCTGGGTCTTTCGGTTGCACGCCCTTGCCTGCTACACTCCGTCCACCATCCTGCCACCCTCACTCGGCGCTACTCCACCTTGCCGTCATATCAGTTTCTCAGCAAGTTCAATACCGACCTTGTAAAGCCCAATACAGAACTACTCCTTCGCACATAACTAGCTTCGAATAGCTGACTGTAGTCTTCGGGTACCAATACCCAGAGAACGTCGATCGAATCTGAGCATCCGCCGTATCATCTCTCCCGCACATAGGAATCATGGTGGAGGCAGAGGGCAACCCCACGACGTGGAAGTTCACACAGTACGTTTTACTTGGGCTCACACTGTTCACCAGAATATTCTGCTACTGCCGGTGTGCTGCATCGCCCTTTTCCGCACCACTAACTGGCCTAGATGCTTCGGCGACAAAGGGGACGTTGAAGATATAACTGAAGGTACTTGGCAAGCTCTCTTTAGACGATAAAGCTTCAGCTGACACTTGAGGGCAGCGGACATCATCTCTACGGTAGAGTTCGACCAGACGGGCAATTACCTCGCCACCGGCGATAAAGGTGGGCGTGTTGTGTTGTTTGAGAGGAATGAGACAGTACGTATCATACCATGGATTAAGTACCGCCGAATCGGATGACGTCTGACACACTGCTATAGAAAAAGACCTGCGAGTACAAATTCCATACCGAATTTCAGTCACACGAGCCCGAATTTGATTATCTCAAATCTCTCGAGATTGAGGAAAAAATCAACAAGATCAAGTGGTGCCGCCGACAGAATGCCTCCCATTATCTTCTTTCGACGAACGACAAGACAATAAAACTATGGAAAGTATTCGAGAAGTCATTAAAAGTGGTTGCGGAGAACAACCTTTCACATGAACTCACTCCAGGCGGCGGAGTTGCTGGCGCGGGCGGTCCTGTCAGAAATCCCAATGCCCACTTCCGTACCGCGTCGGACCTCAAGCTGCCCCGCCTAACCCATCATGACACCGTCGTTGCCGCCGTGCCCCGCAAGACATACGCCAACGCGCATGCCTATCACATCAACAGCATATCAGTGAACAGTGATGGCGAGACATTCATTAGCAGCGACGATTTGCGCATCAACCTATGGAATTTGAACATTCAAGATCAGAGCTTCAACATTGTTGACATCAAACCCGCCAATATGGAAGAACTGACGGAAGTCATAACGGCTGCCGAATTCCACCCGCAGAGCTGTAACTGGTTCATGTATGCTAGCTCGAAGGGAACCATCAAACTAGCAGACATGAGGGAGAGTGCTTTGTGCGACCAACACGCAAAACGTATGTTCAAAAATCTCGACGGAACGCTTTGTCATATACTAACTAGTCTGCAGAGTTCGAACAGGAAGAAGACCCTTCTTCCAGATCCTTTTTCTCCGAAATCATTTCCTCGATTTCCGACGTGCGATTTTCTCACGATGGTCGATATATCCTATCCCGTGATTACTTGACTGTAAAGATATGGGACGTCAACATGGAGCGCACCCCTGTCAAGACGATTCCCATCCACGAACACTTGCGTCCACGACTATGTGACACCTATGAGAACGATAGCATCTTCGACAAGTTCGAAGTGGTCTTCTCCGGTGATGCTAAGAATGTCATGACCGGCAGTTACAACAACAACTTCATGATCTATCCTTCGGACCCAGAGAAAGATACTGAAGTAGTACTGCAAGCCGACAAATCAGCCTTCAAGGCCAAGAAGGTCGGCATCCCCACGCCTATGAATTCGTCAACTAGCCCGACCGGCAGCTCTGGTAAGAAGGGCGGATCAAGGGCCGGAAGTCCTGCTGCTGGCGCGGTGGGCCAAGGCCAACGAATGAGGAAAGAAACGGACGCAGACCAAATTGATTTCAATAAGAAGATCCTACATATGAGCTGGCATCCATTTGAGGATAGCATCGCAATCGCTGCAACGAACAACGTATGTATACTTTCAAGACCTACATATCGCATCTGCTAACATTAACTTTAGCTTTTCGTGTTCTCCGCGTTGTAGACTATCTTCGCATCAGCTGGTAAGTCTTAAGTAGATGAGTTACAGTTCTACTTTGGATTGCCATGCATGCTCGTTACTAGTCCTCTCCTTTCCTCTATGGGTCTTCTCGGTGCTACGCTCGCATTGTAGAAATGAATTACGCATGATGGACAGAAGTGTAGAGGTTGTCAAGCCGGGCCATGCGGTCTCTGCATGATTGACGAGGTCAAACACGGCATCACGGAGGTAGATTGTGCACCATATAATGATAATAAACGGTGCAATTGAGTGTGCATTACAATTCAATTACGAGTGCACCAAGTGAAATAAATTGATAATTGACAACCATGTCTGTATTATATGCGTTTGTGGATCTCAAGTACGAATATTAGAGACTATTTGCGATTCTACGATATTAAATGAAGGCATCTGCGTGCAAAGACATTTGCAGGTGCGGGTCAGCCTTACAGGAGCTAGTGTGGAACTAGGATCCGCTCATCTCGACCTGCGAATCTAAAATCTCCGTCCTCCACGTCAACCACTTCACCCCGTCTTTCCACTGCTATTCTACTAGCTTGGAGACACAACTTTGCGAGACATTTGCTTTCGATTTCAGCTTACCACAGAACTGCGAATTAGCGTTCATTGTATGCAAAGTGCATCTGGCGTCCAACAACGACTACTCCTATCTGAACGAATTGTAGACGCTGTCTGTAATATCTCGATAAATATTTTTTGTAACAAAAGTTTTGTGTTTGCTACATACTGCACGAACTTGCAATGGCAGCAATTGTCCCCCTTGTCGGAAGCTTTGGTCTGATCTTCGGAGGTTGTTGTTCTAATGTAAGAGTCTTCACGGTTATTCCAATGTACTTTACTAAGTTTTAAGGTCTATTGTCTCGAAGCCATTGTCAAGTAGGAACTCCAATTCCCAAAATAATTGCGGCACTCTAACAAAATCAAGGCATGAGCCTGACAGCGGGTTGCTGATCACACTGTTTCAATTCATCTTCACTTGCGCCTCAACGCTGCATTATCAGTTTGATCCCAATGCACGCTATTTCCTGAAGCCTTCACCAGTACCATTTCGCAAGTGGCTCATCAGTGCAACCCTCTTTTTCACTGTCAACATGATGAATAATTGGGCATTCGCGTTCGATATATCTGTCCCCGTTCATATTATACTCCGTAGCTTCGGAAGTGTAACCACAATGGCGGCGGGCTGGTTACGTGGAAAGAAATACACCAGAGTACAGGTGTTTTCGGTGGCAGTCTTAACCATGGGGGTGATGGTGTCGGCATGGGCTGATGCCCGATCGAAAGTGCGTATCTCCTTATAGGATTTGAATTGTAACCGTTGGAGCTGACAACTTGGCAGGGAAAAACCATGGACACTTCGCGGGTCGACTTTACAAGTGCGTCTTTCGAAATTGGTTTACTCATACTTCTAGTAGCCCAATTGCTCTCGGCGTACATGGGCGCTTACGTAGAGGACATCTATGCGGAGCACGGCAATCACTGGAAGGCCAATCTTTTCTATTCGCATCTCCTCTCTCTTCCTTTGTTCCTCAACTTTTCCCCAGTTCTGTACAAGCAATTTGCGCGTCTACAGGCGTCACAACCGTTCCAGGTACCATCACACATTGCGGGCTCTCTTCCGCCGACCATCAGCAAGGCTCTAGCATCGACTCCTCAGCACGTAGTGTACCTAACTGCGAATGCTGTTACTCAATTGCTCTGCATCACCGGAGTAAACATTTTGAGCGCAAATACGTCCGCTGTAACGGTAACAATCGTCCTCAACATAAGAAAGCTCGTCAGCTTCCTTTTGAGCGTCTGGCTTTTCGGCAACAAGATGAGTGGTTTGATGGAGATTGGTGCAGTCATGGTCTTTGGTGCTGGAGCTCTCTATGGATGGGAGACAACGTACAAAATACCCCAGAGGCGGAAGGCAGCCGCTAAGGATGTGCAGGCCAAGACGGCGTAAATCGCGAGGCTCAGTGGGTTGATATGAGACACAAAGCTTCATACATGTTTTCTCCCTGTCCCAACTTGTATAAAATCACGCCGGTAAGGTCGAAACACCATGTGGTATGGGTTTCCTAGAACAATTATAGAGATTTATTTTCAAGGCTTTCAGACATTCCGATCGTGCGCCTTAAGTTAGGACGACTATTTTTCGTCCACCTACGTCTTTCAGGTCGACAGTTAGGTACATAGTATATACACCTAGGTAGATACAGATGTTAAATATAGAAAATAAAGGTTATGGAGATGATCCTCGTGTAGGCTATGTGTTTACCTAGCCCGAAGTGGCCTAGCCCAATCCCAGCTACCAGTGCTAATGTAGGTGCTTAGGTGTCCCAATCTCACTCAGGGACAGGGAGTCTTGTATAATTCAATCCATTGACCCCTTCTTGTCACTCTTTTTTATCATTTTCTGATCTACTTTTCGTTTGAATTGCCAAAGTATGTCCCAAATCCATCTGAATATTTTGGCGTCCTTCCCTCCGCTAACACCGATGATTTAGAAACTCTATCTGCCTGGCAGCATCATGTCTTCCCCGGCCGGTGTGCGGCACCGCGGTCCCAAGGACAAGAAACGACCGACGACTCCCAATCCTGACCTCCCCCTCGAGAAAGGTGATGGAAATGTTGCACCGATAAAGCATACCTTCCAGGCCCATCGGGGTGCGGAATGGGACTATAAAGTTGCCATCTCGATCCTCACATTGTTCGCCTTCATCACACGTTTCTGGGGCATCACCTACCCCTCGCAGGTCGTTTTCGACGAGGTTCACTTTGGCAAATTCGCTTCATACTATCTCCAGCGGATGTACTTTTTCGACGTTCACCCTCCATTCGGAAAGCTTCTCTTCGCTTTCGCTGGCTGGTTGGTCGGTTATAAGGGGGACTTTTTGTTCGAGAATATTGGCGACTCATACATCACAAATAAGGTCCCCTATGTCGCCTACCGCGCAATGCCTGCAACATTGGGTGCGCTGACGGTCCCGACTGTCTTTCTTATCATGTGGGAATCTGGATACTCCTTGCCCGCCTGTGTCACAGCCGCTGGTCTCCTGCTCTTCGATAATGCTCACATCGGCCAAACGCGATTGATTCTCCTCGACGCATCCCTGATTTTCTTCATGGCCACGTCGGTCCTTGCCTACGTCCGTTTCTATAAACTCAGACACGACGCTTTCAGCCGAAAGTGGTGGAAGTGGCTTTTGCTCACGGGCGTGTCCCTCAGCTGTGTCATCTCCATCAAGTATGTCGGTGTTTTCACTTTCTTCTCCATTGGCGTTCCCGTCTTGATTGATCTCTGGGATTTGATGAACATCAACCGTCGTCAAGGCGCTTTGAGTCTACAGGAGTTTGGAAAGCACTTTGCTGCTCGTGTCATTGGGCTCATCGTGATTCCGTTCATGCTCTATCTTTTCTGGTTCCAGGTCCACTTCACCATCCTCAGCCGATCTGGCCCTGGTGACGACTTCATGACACCCGAATTCCAAGAAACTTTGAGCGACAACGTGATGAATCTTCAGTCCGTCGGTATCGAGTACTTTGACTCAATCACGATTCGCCATAAGGATACCAAAGTATACCTCCACAGCCACCCGGACCGTTATCCTCTACGCTACGACGATGGTCGAATCTCTTCCCAAGGACAACAAGTAACTGGATATCCTCATAATGATACCAACAACCACTGGCAGGTCCTACCTACTAAGCCGCTGGCATCGACTGAGGGACAGCGTGTAAAGATTGGAGATGTTGTGCGCCTGCGCCACATCGTCACCGATACGATTCTCCTTACACACGATGTAGCCTCCCCTTACTATGCAACCAACCAGGAATTCACTACAATGGGCAAAGAGGAAGCCGATGGTGGACGATACAATGACACCCTTTTCGAAATCAAGGTGGACAACAGCAAAGGCAACCAGGATTTCAAGACCATGTCCTCTCACTTCAAGCTTGTACACGTTCCCACCAAGGTCGCCATGTGGACACACACCACTCCCCTTCCGGACTGGGCATACAAGCAGGCAGAGATCAACGGAAACAAGAACGTCCAACAGCCTAGCAATGTCTGGTATGTTGATGACATTCCTTCGCTTCCTGCCGACAGTGAACGCAACAAGAAGGAGGTGCGTCAAGTGAAGACTCTGTCATTCCTCCGAAAGTACATTGAGCTCCAGCGTGCGATGTTCTACCACAACAACGCCTTGACCAGCTCTCATCCATATGCTTCCCAGCCAATCTCCTGGCCATTCCTCCTACGCGGTGTCTCCTTCTGGACGAATAACGACACGCGTGAGCAAATCTACTTCCTCGGAAACCCAATTGGCTGGTGGCTTGCATCCTCGCTTCTTGCTGTCTTTGCAGGCATCATTGGCGCTGATCAGCTAGCTCTGCGTCGAGGCATGGATGCCCTTGATGAGCGTAAGTGCATATTCTATCAAGTCTTTACGCATAACTTTACTAACCACTTCCATATAGGAACTCGTGCGCGTCTCTATAATTCGACCGGTTTCTTCTTCCTCACCTGGGCGGCTCATTACGTTCCGTTCTATATTATGGGACGCCAACTTTTCCTTCATCATTACCTCCCAGCACATCTCGCGTCAGCTCTTGTCGCTGGAGCTTTGATTGAATTCATCTTCAACATCGAGCCAGTCGACCCCGAGTCCCCCGCAGGTAGCGCCAAGGGTCACAGAAGGACACAGTCCCGCCCCGTGAGGGAGCGCGTAGCCACCCAGACGCTACTCGGAAGCTGGATCGCCACTGCCGTAGTCCTGACTGCCGTCATCTGGTGCTATCTGTTCTTCGCCCCATTGACTTACGGAAAACCGGGCCTCAGCGTTGACCAGGTCAACTCCCGGAAGTGGCTTGCCTACGACTTGCACTTCGCGAAATAATTCAGACCCAGCACTACTTCTTTCGCAGCGGCTCTAGTATGAATCATGGATTCTAGAAGCACCACCGCGAACCGGTCTTGCTTTTGTTACCATGTCCAGCCCTCTCGTCGGTATGTAGACTCCATTTTGACGTGGTGGGAGTACCAATGACCCGTCTCAATGCTACATACCGCCTTACTCGCAATTCGCACACACAAACTTTTTCCTTATGTCAGGGCGGCGCACAACTGATGTAGAAGGGCACAGCGTCTTCGAATTGGTGTATATTAAAAATTATCTCTTATGTCAAACAGTAGTCTGAATGATAAGTCACTCCCAGGAACTTCCATCAATCTTGCAAAAGGTCGTGCATATTATGTGTGCTTTGTGGAGTATACACTGTCTAACTCTACAAATCAATTATCCAGTCGAGATTTGGAAGTCACAAATCAGTATTTCCTGTTAGTTGGACATAATTGAACAATTCAGTTTTGTGGAACATGGCAGGCCATGGGATTGTAGGCTTTTGAAAATATATAATTGTGTAGGGTATCAAAGTTCCACACACTGTCGGAACAAACAGGGCTTACACCACATGCTTCTTCTAAGATATATGTCGTCGAATGTGATAAACAAAAAGCAAAAAAAAAAAAGAAAGACAAAAAAAAACATGGCCTGCAACCCTTCCACCCCTCGTACGCGCTCGAATACCTCCCCATCCCTCCTACCTGTCAATGGATGTAGAGATGACTTTCCCCCACAAACCTTGAGCTAGGGAGAAAATGGGAGAGCATGAGAGAGGACGCCGAAGCCCCCATGGGTAGCATCTCCAGGTGAAATTGACCTGACTGAGGCTATCGCTGGCGAATGATCTCTGGTGGTTGTCGAGATTTAGTAAAGACCGATGTCTGTGTCTGGGGATATCGAGTTGAAGAGGAACAAGGTTTGCGCACCTGTCAAGAATTCCTCACTAGACGATGTTTCGTAAGCAAAAGTTTCGAATCGGAAATCGCAGAGGGAGTTGGGGTGGTTAACTGCCTCTAGCAGACGGGATTACTTACAAACTCAGAGTGATATAGCCGTCCCGGTCGTCGTCGTACTTCTTAAAAACGTCCGTCATGCGCTTCAGGCTGATACAGGCTTGCACGAAGAGGTCGAAGCTGATGGCGTTCTCGTTTCTTCGATCGTAGGTCCTGTACAAGAGCGCGACGAATTGGGAAGACAGGCGGTATCCGAACGCAACAAGTGCTTCGTTGAACTCGTCGTAGGATATGCTTCCAGATCGGTCCTTGTCGAATCGGTCAAAGAGGCCCCTCCAGGCGGACAAGAAGCCCCAGAGTCCGCTACAGCTCAGTTAGCAGCATGCGACTAGAGTCGTCGACACGAGTGGAAAGGGAGGGGCATACCAGAATTCTTCGAAATTGATGGAGCCAGAGCGATCGGTGTCAAACATCCTTTTCCCGACATTAGCATTCTGGTCACGGCGCCAAGTGGGGTGTATGCATACCTTATCATCATGCGCACAGTATGCGGGTCGAAGGGTGACCAGTCTCCGTTCACGAGTGCGGTGCGCAACTCGGCTTCAGTAAGGTTTCCGCTGCCTTTTTCACAATTCAGCATCTTGTTATCGCGTTCGATGTGATAGAGAGAATATATATACCATCCTTGTCCACGGCGCCGAACAACTTCCAAAGCGCATCACGGTCGTTCGCATCTCGAGGAGGGGCAGGCGTAGGCGGCGGACGCTGCGCGACCGGGCGATTGTGGTAGCCCTGAGGAGGAGGACCATGGCCATAGTTCTGCGGCGGCGGAGAGCCATAGGAGTTATAATGGGGATCGTGTCGCGGCTGATCATAGCGAGGGCTGGGCTGGCGACCGTCGTATCGTGGGTCATTGTATCCGCCTGTGGGAGGTCTTCCATATCCATCGTTAGGACGTAAACCGCTCGGTACGGGAGGTGCAGGCTTGTTATAGTCCTGGTGTGTGTTGCGAAGTGGACGCGGTTGCTGGTTGTTCTGCGAAAGCATGGCAGCGGCCTGGGTCGCGATGTGAGCTGAGGCTGAACCGTAAACATTTCTCAAAAAATTCGACAAACCTGTTCAGGCTCTGCGTGCGCCGGCAATCTATCGGGGTTAAACCCTTTGTTATACGCCATGATGGAAGAGAAGACGTTGGGTAGTTAAGGTGTTGGGTAGGTAGGTGTGGAATGGAATGTGTTAGGTACAGGCTGGGAGGGAATGACGCGCAGGCGTGGGGTAAAAAGGTGAGGAGGATTACTACTATGGAATCCTCCGTACTCCGTACTGGTCACCGGTTTGCCATGCTATACATAGCTGGACAATGCTTGGCGCAGAGCACGTTTCCTCGAGACAAACGGTCTTACCATGTATTGACCATATCGTCGCATAATCCATGACTGACTGGAGCAGAGGATTTTGTTCGTTTGCTTTTGTGTGCACGTACATACATGGATAGAGTCAGTGTCGTTGAACAACAATCTACATTCGAATACAACGCGCAGTAGCCACCAGTCAGATGGTACCCGCCATAGACTAACAGAAGACCATCATCATCATTTAGTGACCAGAAAAAGCCGACCAAGAGAGTGAATAGAAACCAGCACCTCCAGAGCGCCTTTCGCAGACCATAAACCGATCGTTCAATCCGAAAATAAGCTTCAAACCGAGAACACCGACAAACATTGCCAAAAAAACAACCGTATAGATAGACACCCTCCGCTAAACCACCAAGCTTGCAATATCACCAAACCTGGAGATAAGCATAGAAACGAGTATGAGATCAAGAATGTAACCTGGAGGAGAAATGGATATAGAATTACAAGATATGGCATATCACGCACTTTTGAAGTATAAATCAGGTGTAGAGAAACAGTATTTGTGACGCTGGTATCGATATTCCGTGTGCGACTCGAAGGGACGTGGCATGTGTCATCAAACGTTAAGCCTTGATCCTTTTCGGTCCACTTCCGCTGTCCGAGCCATCATCTGAAGGTTTTCGCTTACGGTCAGCTGCATCATCACGGCCGAAACTGGGTCCGTTTGCTGCCACGGGCGTTTGGAAGTTCAGAGGACTTGGAAGCATATTTGCGTCCCTACCAAAGCCCCATTCTGGGTAGAAGCTGGAGGGACTAGGCAATAAGCCATTTTCAACAAATCTACTCGGCAGAGCTGAGATCGGCGTTTCCAATTCACTCCGGCTGCCATATGAGCCGTTGTTGGTTGGTGGAGGTGGACGAGCGAACGGGTTTGGTGGACCAGTTGCTCCAGCGCTGAGTAGAGAATTTGCAGAGGGTGATGGTGGTGGAAGTAAAACGCCTGAAGAGTGGGATGCTTCAGTAGATGTGCGAGCAGGTGTTGCACCTGTTGTTCCAGATTCCTTCGGAGAAGAGTCCGCAGTCGCGCTTCCAGCATCGGAGTGCTCACTGGGAATCTGCACTTTGAGCCTTGGTCGCTTCGCATCAGCTTGAATACTATTCGTTCTTGAAGGAGGCGGTATAGTAGGTGCCGAGGATGTGGATTGTGTCCTCTGCGGTTGGGGCAACTGTGCCGGCGCGGATTCAGGCGGAGAGTTTCCGTTGACCTGCGCGCGTGACATGGCCGCAACATCGATGGACTGTGACCGTGCGATTCCTTCGTGTTTCAACGCAGACATGTCACTGCGGGGACCTTCAACCGTGTTGGAGCTGCCTCCCCAGTGTGCTGCAAGCATAGACCGGCTATCATCAATGGGAGTGAAGATGCTGTGCCTAGCCGCAGAGGGCAAAGGCTTCGGCTGTGGAAGTGGAGGACTTTGAAAGCTGGTCTGGTCGTGCTGGGGTGGCGATGGGACAGACATCGAAGGTGGTGGCGGACCCGGTGGTTGTGGTCGATCCTGCTGCTGCTGCTGATGTTGGTGTTGCTGTTGTTGGTGTTGCTGATGTGGCGGGGGTGGAGGCGGGGGTTGCTGGTGCTGCTGCTGGAAAGAAGGGGGCATCGATTGTCGGCGTGGTTCCTGGTGTAAATATTGTGGTACCTGTGTAGGCGGGGGATGTGTATATTGATACTGAGGGGGCGGGGGCGGCGGTGCTTGCGAGACCTTAGGGGGCATGCCTTGTGGTGCTTGCGGGTTGTAAAATGGCGGGTTGGGCATGTAAGCATAGTTATTTGGTGGAGGAGGGGCCTGGGAGGGATGATGCTGTGGAGGAGCTAGATTGGAACTTGGACGACGAATATGAGTTCTTGAGCTGGGCCGTGAGAGACCGCTTGGCTGTGGAGAAGGGTGTCGATGGTGAAATGGCAAGCCATTTGGCATAGGTGGTGAAGCCGAAGGTGTGCTATGTCTGATATGCTGGAAGGCGGGTTGGGTTTGGAGGTGGTGTGGCATCATAACATGCTCTGGTGGTGTGTTGGAATCGCGGGGCGGAGAACCACCCATATGCTCTTCATCGTCGTCCTCGTCGTCCATATCTTTCTTTCCCATGAAATCCTCGGGTCCTTTGTGCTCGTGGGCTCCGCCATACTGTGTAGGATGTTAGTGGGAAGGGACTTTCACGTCGCAAAGAGAGTGTCCTACGTACATATTGGTATCGCCCTATGGTCTCGTTGATGTCCCCCGATGAGAATTCGTATAGCTTCTTGTTGTGTCCGAATATGATGACGGCGACGTCCACCGAACAAAGGACTGAAAGTTCGTGCGCTTTCTTGAAAAGACCACCCTTCCGCTTCAGAAATGTGCTGGAGGAAGTCAGTGATTGGAAAATGGAAGCGACGTGTTCGAGGGTTTACTTACACGGAACGGTTGCGATCATCCTTGATCGCCTTGATCTCAATCTTCCTGCGACCCATGTTGAGTAATGTTAGATGTTACGGCGCATCGAACGCGAAGACACAAAAGCGCGGGATGGTCGATCGAGGTGTGGCTGGTGGCTGGAAGATGAAGGAAGAGGATCAGAACCACGACAAAGACAGGCGAAGAGTCGGTAGTCGGTCAGTGCTCTGGATGGCGTGGGCGGTGGCGGCAGTGCGAGACAGGGCACGATGGGCGCGATCAGCAGAAAGACGACTGCGATGCGCGATGGTGCAGGTGGTGAGTACGATAGAAGGAAAGGGAAGACGTCGTGTCGGTTAGGGGACGGTGCGAAACGGGCCGGCGGAGGGGGTGTGGAAGAGATACTTGTAACTAGCCTAAAGAACGGGTCGATAGGGCGAAGAGGAAGAGATATATGTCTTAGGGGGAGTAGACAAAAAGAACAATGGTCTTAGAGGATTGAACAATGATTGACCCTTCACATCAGGCGAGTAGCGGGAGAGTCGTATTCTTTTGCGGCTCTTTTGGACAAACTCGTGTCTGGAGGTAGGCGTAGGCGTAGGCGTAGGCGTAGAAGACGGTGGTGAGCGGCGAGCCAGAGTGAGGGATCCCGTCGCCATTCAAGCGGTAGGCAGGTGCCTAATTATAGATAACAACCGTGGCCCAAGTCCAGGTCAGGCTATCCCCGATTGGGTCGCCAACCGTGCCTCATGATCCGTGACAGAGTGAATTCTAGCAAATCACCTCCTTTCGTGAGGAAAAGTAAGCTAATCTACCCAAAGGAGCTATTTTAAGGATCAATCTTAGCCTTCTGCAGTTCGGTCCTGCGCATTAGGTGGTTCCTGGCCCGGCCTAGCCTGGTCTCCTTCATCATCATCATCACCATCATCAAACAATCATCATCCTTATCACTTTCCTTTCCCTCCTTCGTCAACCTGCAACAGTTACGCAATACATACAAACACACATAAACATCCACACACATACCCGAGCGCACATACACACCCCTACGTGCATGAGCACATATAATAGTCCTTTCGTTATTGATCACACATGTCACCTCGAAACGTACACCAAATCAATCCCCAGGCAGCACAACAGTGGGGAATGTTACCCATGCTCAACATCTTGAGGTGTCAGATTGCCACACCTTTGCAATACCCTCAATACTCAGGAACATGGGTTCTCGGTTGGTTCGGGTCAGGGGCAATTGATTCATCTTTCTTCACCAATAGGTTACTCCCAGAATATACAACGTCAAGCGAGGTGATCACTATCATCGGTTGCGTAGATACATGATACGAATACCTTGACTCGGTACCTTGCAGATTGGACAAAACTCCTAATGCAGACCATTAATGAATTAACCCAAAATACATGTGACACCCTACACAGATGGTGCACGGCAATAGACCATCATCAGACTGTATACAATATCTTCCAGGCTTGCAATTGTATAATCTAGAAATCCACTCGATTAATGATGGAGATGCTCTCGGTTCCCGAATAGATTCGTACATGTACACTATATCCACCCACCCATCATAATATGTTTATGGAGTACCTGAGGTCCAAACTGAGCAGGCTAGCCTGCAAGAATGGTCTGCTCAGAAGTATACTCATCATTAGCTCACATTCCCACGATATGAACGAACCTGTGCACAAATCAGAATCCAGCACAATACTACGTGTTCCTGGCCTTCTCCACGGCAGACGTTGAACTTCTGGCCTTGGCACGGTAGATCCGCTTATTATTTATAGCATCGCGTGCATGCAGACCTGCATGCAGTGGTGGATCCTCTCAGACTTGAGCATGGTCCACGCTTGTCCACACACACACCCAAGTTCCAACCTCCAGAGCCCATATTGTTTGTAATCTTCTCTCTCCACGACAGTTTTCTCCAGATATCACTCCGGTAAGAGCTGGGAGTTTCGCAGGAGGAGTGAGTCCACATCTCACCTGCTTAGGCGCCGTACACATTATCGTTTCCGTCCTGATCCCCCCTCTGTTGATCTGTTGTCTTACTGGTCTATCACAATGAACAACCAGTGGGGTTGCAAGATCGACTTGGACCAGGCTGAACGCCCTGTCGCTCGACACGACGTCTGGTCCTCCACCTCATCTCATCACCGCACCCACCTCTCCAGAAAATCCCCTTTTGCTTCTAATTGAAGAAACAAGAAGACCGGGATTCACTCTCTCCTGGAAGCGTTTCATCTTCAACGAACCCTTTTCCCCAAGTTCCCAGTCTGCAAGTGCTTATGTTTATTTATTTCTCCTCATCCTTGACTGTTGCTGTCAACTGCAATATCACCAGACTACAGCTCCACCGACATCCTCAGGCAAATGTCTGGGTTAGGGTGAACCAGGCCTGTAGATTCTCCTCGGCGTGGTTTCGGCATCGACGATTACGTAGATCAGAAGACAACCAGTGCATCAAGAATAGATACGCGAGGAGATGATATCACAGGGTCGAAAAAACATACGTGCACATCAACCACATGAAACGTCAGATTATGTGACCATCTCTCGATCCTCGAATTCATTGAACGGAGATTGGATATGACCTTCCCCTTTCTAATCCTCCGTGGAGACGATGATCATAGCTTAGGGGTAATAGTATGATGCCCATGGTATGAAGTGGCTGCATGCATGGCTTCCTGCACACGCGATCAGGAACACAGGTAGTGCAGTGCAGACATTTCTATTCTTAAAATGTCCTATATGTTCAAAAGTCTACCAAGCAAATACCTATTCTACGAGAATGAAAACGACATGGCTCTTTTCGGGACTGTGCACTCCACGAAAAGGTTTCAAATGGGGGGTATGGTAACTCAAACGCTAGAGCGACTTGCTCCGAGAACGACTTTGTTGGGTATCTTGACTACGATGCAGCACTGTAACGCAGTACGAGAGAAAAAGCCTATCTATTTGGTAAACCATTGAGAAGAAAGGAAACTCCCCAACACGAAAGTATCAAACTTATAAATTGCAATTCCGCCAAGAATAAATAAACAATCAAAGACTAACTTGAAAGTATTGAAAGCAGAACAGGGTATTATTACGCATTTGGGGGAGTGGGAGAAAGCAAACAGATAACGGGGGTATCAAAGCTCGGCACGCCGATGGGGAAAGGGGCAATGCAAAACAATTGACTGTGATGGCTGCTTTCGCTTATACAAATGGTCTTGACGGAGTCAAGCAGTTTATCTCATTCCTGGTGGTGGAGGCTGCTGTCCCTGTCCCTCCATGTTGCCGGTCAGTTGGGCAACTCGTGCCTTGATACGAGCAACACGACTTTCGATCGTCTCCTCTCCACTCGTCTCGCCCTCATCGGTCCTCACACTTTGACTATGGCTTCGTCGCGATTGCTCCTCACTGAGTCTTGCCGCGCGCTCAGCTGCATTCTTCCGGATCTGAGCCCAGCGGTCTTGCGAAGGTACCGCCTGTTGGGAAAGATCAACAGAGGCCTCCGATAAATCATCCATCGTGGGCTCGTCATGCCTATGAGATGTAGCCTCAGGGTCTACAGATTGCGGAGGTTGGCTTGTATATGCGGGTGCAGCGGGAGGGATCGATTCAACTTCATCGTCCGTGTCGTCCGGAACAAAAGCAGGCATATCATCCATGGGTCCTTGGTCGAAACGTGAGAAAGATGGATCAGGAGCAGAGTGCTCTTGCGGCGCGGGAATTGAAACGGCGGAATGGCTATTGACGGATGCCGTAGGTTTGGGTTCGACTGCGGGCGAAAGGGCGGCCGTTGGCTCCACTGGCTCGGCAACGTAGGCAGGGGATCGATCGCGAGGTTGCGACGTCTGTTGGGGTACGTATGATGCCGACCTCTCGGGCTCTACAAACGCCTCATCAGCGCTTGCACGAGGTGCTGGCTGATTGGCTTCGGTCGAACCGGACGCATCCGCCTTCTTCTTTCCGAAAAGCTTCCTGAAGCCTCCTCCAGCAGCATTCTTCTTCAATTTCTTAGGGGGTGATTTCTTTCCAACCTCTGGTAACGGCGCATCCTCATCTCCATGGGCTGCTCCTTTCTCACTGGCCTGAACTGGCTTACGGTCTGGGACTGGCTTTCTGAATGCTGGATGAGTGTCCAACTGTTCAGGCTGAACAGCGGGCTTCTCGTCCAAGGCATCAGAGGGTAGGGCTTTGTTCCTATCAGGTGCAGAGTGTGAACCGGAAGAGCTTTCCCCGAGATGAGGCACTGCTGCCGGCGCAGGAGATACAGGAGGCAGTGGAGACGGTGGGCTGGACTTTTGTTTGGTCTGAGGCTCGTCAGCCTCGGACTTCGGCAGGGATGGCAAGTCGCGGTTCGATAGGTCTCGGTGCAACGTTGGCGAACCTCCGTTGGCAGTGGAAAGAAGGTTGTCCCGAGAACCTTTGCCCGCTGTCACGTCTCCGAGATACTGGGCACGAAGTACATCTCGATCCTTCGCGCCTTCCCCGAATTTCTTATCCCACTTCATTGCTGGACCGGCTTCACTGAGGAGATGAGGTTGCAAAGTCAAGACGCTATTGGTCTTGGTGGAGGCGGCATCGTCCATCCTAGCCCGACGTTGAGCTGTTTCCTCTGAGGCCTTCAGATCTCTCTCTGTCTGAGCTAATCTAGCAGCGGCGGCTTGTATACGTGCGTGTTGGTCAGGCCCAATGCTTGTCTTGCTCATGGGAGCAGCTGAAGTTACACGGCTATAGGGGTCTTTGACCGTCGCTGGCTTCTTTCCTGTGGATTTGCGCCTGCCTAAACGTCCGCGGCGAGTGAAACTGAAACGACCCTTCTTCTCTGCAATGTAAGCTCCTTCTTCAGGACCAGGGGAGGCGCCTTTAACCTGCTCTTCCATGACCAGCCATTTGGCGCCTGAAATTCTGGTTTCTATGAGAGTGCATCGCCCGAATGCAGCCTTTCGTTCCACGGTCTCTTCGTCGGCAAGACTCGTCATCCAAACCCACCAGAAAGTATCATCAAGGTCGAATTGCGTGATACTGGCTAACTCACCTGGCTCCAGCTCCTCCTCGGCTAGCAATCCAGGCCGCAAGTGGGATTGTGAGCTATGAACTCTTTGCCCCTCTCCGATTGGGGGTAGCACCTTGTCCGGTGGTAGCAAAAGAGGTGCTGGTGACGCATTTCCATTCTCATCGGCAAAGCCTGAGGAGAGGAAGTCAGCCCAGGATGGCGTAGTTGGTCGTCCGAAATCAGTATTCCTGGTACGAGGTCCAGAGCGAAGGGCAGAGAATTCCTTGGGGGAAGTAGTATTTGGTGTACCATTTGTGGTCGTGGAGACTGGGCTATCGAGAAGCCCAGAGAAGCCGAGATCTTCAAATCGGGACCAGGATGCGTCTTGCTTAGCCCCGTCCGGAGAGGCTATCGATTGGTTGGTTGAAGATATACGTTCTAGGACTCTGCGGCATTCATCTGTCAGGGCTTGGACGGAATCCTCATATGCAGAGAATCGTTGCAGGGCCTCATCATCGTCTCGATACTCGAAGTTCTTTGCACGTCGCAGCAAGGCGAAAGGCGTAGGCGATACTGAGTCTACTATCATTACAACCTTAGTTGTCGTGGTCTGCATAAGAAGCGGCGCTTGTGGCGGGTACTCGGTTTGAGAAACCAAAGCTTGAAGAGAACGCGGAAGGGAGGAGATGCCACCAATAGAAGCAGCGTCAGGCGAAAGTGACCGAAGGTAAGCGAAGAAAAGATGACTGGCTGCATCTGCGGCCCTGCAATTTTAATGTTAGCAGAGGTTGACCAATATCAATGACGGAAGCCCACCTTTCCCATGAGCGATAGCCTCCATCGAAGCCCTTTCCATCGTCGTTGATGGTGAAAGCCCACCAGCCGGCCATTCGAGAGAGCTTCCTACCACCCATACCGTTAGTCTTGCCGCGCGCTGCAACAGCTGCGAGTAGATCGAAGAAGTTAAACACGATCTGTTTACGAGCATCTGAGTCTACGCTGAGTGGTATGAAGGTGTCGTATGCGTGTCTGGCGAAGTTCGAGTCTGCGATACGGCTCAGTCAGTGGCACATACAATGCGCGAGTTAAGCAGATCTTACCAGATTCTCCCACTCGGAAAAGCTCATATACATCCCAAGTAACGACGCCGCCGGGCAGCCTGCTCCAGCACCATTTGATTATACTGCAGAGAACCTGATCATGTTAACATTCCCATACCACCACATCAATAGCGGGAGACCTACCAATGGTTCAGCCAATCGCAGCTCTTGCTGCAAACTTTCCCCAGTGAACTGGCCGGTTCCCTCGTAGGCTGCTCGAAAGTAACTCCTCACAAAGTTGCGCGCTGCGCTATGGTCGGACGCAGGTCGGAACGGCAACAGCAGAAATGGCATATCTAATGCCCTTGACTTCATTTCTTGCGTACATCCATGTACTAGCTCCTGAACCTCTTCGGGCGCTACATCTTTGCGCGACCATGCGTCTTCCCATCGAGGCTTGGGCGGTGGGACGGGACCAGACTGCTCTGTGTACTTTCCTCCCTTGGATGCCGACCGCGGGCCATCCTTTGATTTGAAAACGTTTTTGAAGAAAGGCATGTCCTGAAGCGCAGGGGAGAGAGATTTAGGGCGCAAGCAGCATCTGCTGCCGATTACAAGTAAGGTATTACTAGCAAGCGCGGGTGTAGGCTACGAAGTAACGAGACGACACGGCGTCGGCGGCGGAGGACAGAGTCGAAGGTGGACGAGGGTGTGACGATACACTCTCAACGTGTGAAGTGTATGAAGTATGCGATATGGAGGCGATTGGGAGGGGAAGAGCGGCGGGTTGGCAGCCGGGTAGTTTGCGTAATAGGTGAAGGAGTATAGCAGGCAAGGTATGGATGGATGTTAAGGTAAAAGGGTGAAAGCGCGTGGTGAAGCCAAGGTACGGGTACTCTTATTAGCTCAGTACGGAGTACTCAGGTATGGATAACTAGAAGATGGTATACGTCAGAATGCCGTTGCAAAACACTGTCAGTCAGTCGGTCGGACAGTCATACCTAGGTAGGTAGGTAGGTAGGATGTTATGCTGGTATACAATTCGAATCGATTACGATAAAACCCCTTTCAGAACAAGAAAAAAAAAAGGGAGAGAGGATGAGTGAGTAGGAAGAGTAGGGTATGTAACTGGTTAGAGCTCAAGGCCAGAGATTAACAGTACAAACTAAGCTAATCATCTGAAATCCCCTATGGACCTTACAGGCTTCACCCCCCTCAAGTGTCCTCAAGTGCCCCCCCTTCTCCCCCTTCAATTAATCCAATAATCCACGAGAATCGAAACCTGCCAAGAACGCCTCACCTCCAATTGAGACCCTGACCTGGCCCTGGTAACTGGTCCCGGAATATGCTTGTGGCACATCAATTCCCATGAATCCCACCTTCTCTCCCACTCTCCCACTCTCACCCCTTGGTAGGTAGACAGGTACAGAGCACACCAAGAGATATTTACTGGTAGAATAATAATTGCAATCATCGCAATCATCATCCACCAACTACCTGTCTCTATGATGTGTACAGTGGCTTATCCCTGCTTGCGCCGCTTCAGCGACTCGTACCCACGTCGCCGCCCGATGCGTTGGCACTCAGTATCCTCGCATAAAATCTCAATCATCGTCCACACCCACACCCACGCACTCACGCACTCTCCTACTTGCTAGTTCGGCATCTGGTTAGGTGGTCGTCTATCTAGGAATAACCAGGCCGTGTCGACGTGTACTGTCTTCATGTTCGCAATACGGACCCTTGAGTACTTGTGCCGTAGATACTGATAATACTGGGCTAATTGCGCGGTGAGAGAGTTGTGTTGTGCTGTGCTGTGCTGTGTTGTTATTGTTGCCGTCGAACGTGGTCAAGCGGACCATCCCGTACTGGGACTGTTTCGGCACAGAAGTGTCTACTACATCAAGTACCTACAGCGTACATAGTCAATGCACACCGACTATAAGAGGCACCATCGACCAGGGCTACCCTCAATGCGGGTGTGATATGATGTGATGAAGTGTGCCCACCACGAAAAGTCTGCATCGTGGACCTGGTTGTTGTCGCTTCGTTCGGCAACCATTATTGTGCCTTGCACGGAGTGCGGTGTACTTGTATCGCAGAGACAGATGGATGATCACCTGTGTAATGATCAATTCAGCCGCTGAGTTGATTTACGTTTATAACGATGCCAATTTCCTCTTCCTACTCATGATAGTACGAGCATATATCTGCCCCTCAGATGTAACAGAGCCTGCGACTTGTGCAGTGACTTAATTATGCGTGTTGATGGAAAGATCACGGGATCGCGCGTCATCGCGACAAATTACAGAAGCTGCCTAGCGTGCTAAGGACAACACAAGATATCTCTCATACTGTGTATAGGACAATAATCCACCTCATAGTTCGTTGTCGACCTCACCCACTAACTGCCTAGACCCCTACTAACAGCCAGCTTCCGAGAAAGTCTGGTGCTAGAGGACAACGATTACCTAGGCACCTTCAGACTGTATTCACTGCCATCTCAAATCATGCCAGCTCCAGTCGCCTGCCCGGTGGCAGATGTAGATGCAGTCCTCTCCGAGTATGTCAACTCGCGACAGGACACTCTCGAGATGCGGCGACACATTGCCAACCTGCCTGCGGCTGGGCTTCAAAACTCTCAATCTGCGCCTTTTCCGGGGCATCTACTCCGCGAGTGTTCCCTATCACTCCCCACGGCAAGACCAAAGTCTTCGGACGCAGCTCGCGTCCTTCCTGCTGCTGCTGCTGCTGCTCGCTCCCGTTATCTGCGTGCCCTCGAGGCAAAATGGCTGGCCAATGCCCGCCTACGTAGGCTGCAGAATGAACTTGATCAATTGCGAAGAGAAGATTGCCCAGGGACCTCGACTGAAAATTCGACAAGTTTACAAGACGATGACTTGCGAGATTACATCGCCTTGCTTCACGGCAGTCGGCGCTGCTCAGAGCTTCAGCTCGTTTTGAAATCACTGGACAGTCTCTTGACTTCGACACCTGTCAACAGTCATGGAGGCTTCGCCATCCGCATTAATGACAGTGTTGGGACGCCGCCAGATAGACCGGCTGAGACCCTCGGCCAGCCTTCACCGCCGCACTCGGACCAGTCCAGGCTATTCCAGTTGAAGAAAGAAGTACTTGAAGCGAAACTGAGTGCTGATCGAGTGTGCGCTAACCGGAAAGCTTGCTTCGATGGCCTTTCTGATGCGAATCATGGAAGACAACAGATCCATGCTCTTAGCCACGCAAAGGACGAAATTGTCACTTGGCTCGAAACGGAATTATCGAAGTTGAGTGAAACTTCTGAGCTGCTGGAAGATGCGTCTCCTATTAAGAAATCAAGATACCCGGCGCTTGACACCAACGACACTCTACCATCTGAGAAGATTACCGGTGCATATGCTCAGTATGTTGCTTCAAGGTCTGAAGCCATCGATGTCCACAATTCTCTTGAAACAATGTTGAACGAATATCAATCTGCCACTCTCGCGAACCCTGCCGTACCCCATCATCCAGTTCGCGATTCTCAAGATTCAAAAGAGCTCTCAACACGTATTCTCCGACACTTACCATTCCTTGTTCAAATCTTATCGAGTGAACGCTCCCTTTTACAACAAACTGTCTATCTTGAGGCCAGGCTTGCAGCGGCAAGCGACGCGTTAGGTGGTTCGCTCGTAAAATTAAGAGAAGAGAGCCATCTGCTGCCTTCAAATGCTTCCAAACATGATGCTTGGGGTATAGCAGCTATTCGCGCTGGTGACGAAACCCGCGATTTCGTGCGCGAGAAATTGAACGAAAGCCAACAACAGTTCCGAACAATCAATAGTATTGTGGACACCCTGTCGTTGCAGAACAAGATATTGGCCTCAACATAAAAATCTGGGCGATCAAAGCTTATACACACCTATAGCACCATGCTTGCATACCAGTCCTTGGTTTACCAGAGGCCCCACCACTGTATCTCGGTGGCTGGGTTTGCCGAGACTTACCATGAGGCTTCCCCACGTCTCAATCTGCTCTCTAGAAAGACTTGAGAATGTCCACAGCAGGTACATCCAGTTAGGCCTACACCTTCTTTTCTGATTTCTACGAGAAGCTTACCTTGGACTCTGGACTTGGATATCTTAATCACTTCTCAGAGGCCAATCTCTTGATTGCCACAACCACCCAGACCTTTTCTCCATATCACGCTAAAACAACTGCCGACATTTGTTAGGTTGTATGTTCAACCACTTTGACTCGGAACTGTGTTCACTTGGGCCATCCGTGTATATACTAGGACCATACTCACGGGGGATCACTCTAAAATTACCTTCCTTGCCATGCTATCTCGGCGCTCAGCTTGTCAATGCTTCCTTACATTATCGCCTCTGCGAGTGGTCAACATGTCGTGAGATATCCGGGTCGCGGTGCGGCTCATGACTATCGAGATAGATGGGGCGACTGGTCCTCCACATTAAATAACCGTTCTATCCTGGTAATCGTACAAGCGAAACCAATCACTAGATGTCTTTCATTGCCGCACTCAGCCTGAAACCTACCCAAAATGGACGTCTTGTTCCCAGAATTGTAACTACTTATTATATTCACATTTACCGGTCGCATATTGCAATCTCGAACGTGAGGATTGGCCAGTGGATAGTCGCTTCCATTCCATATCTACAAATTCTTCATATGCGATATACAGTGACGCATCATGGAAAAAATTACAATTTAAACTGCTCATGGTGGAGATTCGGCGTCATCTGTGGCGTTCTCCAGCCGACCTCACCAAGGGGCATCCACCGTACATAAAAAGAGTACTGTTGCCAATTCGATGGTATCATCAGGCAGTGATTTCGTAACTTTAGTCTCTGATTCAAGATGCGTTCCATTCAAGTGCTAAGTGGTGTCCTTGCACTTACCAGTACAGGTAAGTGCTTTCCATGATTGATAGTATTCACCTGACGAATGTAAGTCTCTGCACAAGATAATACGGTCGCTTCAAAGGTCTCATGTGATGCTACGTCAAAGATCTGTTACTCCGGGTACTCGGATCCAGAGTCGGGGATATACTTTGGAATTGCTCTTCCTAAGAACGCCGCTGACCCTTATGATGCAATCATCACCATCACATCCCCTGTGAAGCACTACTGGGCAGCCCTGGCTTGGGGCGGTACAATGGTATGGAACCCACTATCTGTTGCGTGGAAGAATGGGAAATCTGCAACGATTTCTTCGCGATTCGCATTGTATGTCAAGTCCTTTGCTCCTCGTATTTTCATTGGAATGATGCTTATATGTTGCAGTGGCATCAGTATGCCGTTACCTTATGACGAGGCGCATCATATCTATCTCAAGGGAACGCAGTCTAATGACACACATTATACTGTCACTGCTCTTTGCAAGGGTTGCACAGGTTGGCAAGCCAATGACGATACAAGATATGCGCTACCTGCAAATGGTACCACTGAATTTGCTTGGGCATACGGTGCGGGCGCTGTGGAGAACCCTGCAAGCAATACCTCCGCCTTCAATGTCCACGAAGCCTACGGCAAGTGGACTCACGATTTGAACGCCGCCCGGATTGATAACTTCGACGCATTGGTCAAAGCTAATTTGCTGGATGCCCCGGCCGTTCCCACCGAGCCAGTCGTAAGTTCGGTGCCAACCACTATTGTCACAAGTGTGAAGCCCTCCGCTACGGTAAAGCCTATCAAGGCTGCGATTCCGGCTTCCTGCTCTGGAGCTGGCAATCCGGCATTCCAGGGAGTGCTAGCAAGCGGATGGAAAGCCACCAAGATCGCCGGAGGCTTGACCAGCCCTCGATCTATTCAATTCGATACTGCTGGCAATATGCTCGTCGTACAGTCTGGCAAGGGCATCTCATATCACGTCATGGGCACTGATGGGTGCATTACCTCTACCAAGATGTTGGTATCCCTCAACAGTCTAAATCATGGGATTGCACTCAGTGTCGATGGAAAGACATTGTACGCCAGCTCGATGACACAAGTGTATTCTTGGCCATATGATGCCGCAGCAGGATCGGTTGGTACTCGAGCTACCATCATTACTGGCATGGTTAATGGCGGGTCTCACCTGACACGTACATTGGCCATCGCACCTCACAAACCGAACCTTCTAGTTGTCTCCCATGGATCCAACGCAAACATCGATCAAGCTTCATCTAGCCCGAAGACCGGCCGTGCTATCATCAAAGTCTTCGATCTAGCCGCAGCTCCAAGTGGAGGTTATAATTATGTGTCTGGTGGTTGGAACGCGGGCTACGGCCAGCGTAACGACGTTGGCATAACATTTGACAACAACAATATGTGAGGCTACTCCATGATCGAACCCATCTCAGAAGTTCATGCTGACCCAACTTTAGGCTCTGGGGTGTAGAGAACAGCGGTGATGACTTCAAACGGACGGTCAATGGCCAGTCCAAGGATGTCCATCAAAACAATCCTGGAGAGAAGATTCATTACATGGGTGACGTTACCAAGCCAAATGACAATTGGTATGGCTATCCTACATGCTTCACCGTGTGGCAACCTAGCGACTTCACCGACAAGAAGTTCAATGTTGGCGATTGGTTTGTCCAGGCGCCCAACAGTACTTTCAACGACGATACTTGCAAGGAGCAGGCGGTTGCTCCCAAGCTCACCCTTTTCCCGCACTCTGCGCCAATTGATTGCAAGTTCGACGCCGACAACACCAACATGTACATCTCATACCACGGTTCGTGGAACAGAAACCCTACCACGGGATTCAAGCTCGTCGCCGTTCCCTTTACGAAGGGTGCTGACGGACAGTACAACCCCACAGCGCCGCTTTCGAGCACCACGGGCGCCGTTGACATCTTTTGGAACCCCAACGTCGAAAAATGTCAGGGCAACGGCCCAAGCTTTAGCTCGGGATGCTTCAGGCCTGCAGGTCTGGCTTTTGATAAGGGCGGTCGCTTGTTCATGACCAGTGATACTTCTACGAATGGTGAGCTTTGGATCCTTGGAAAGTCATAAAAAATGTATCAGAGCTTATCGAGGGACTGGTCGTAACGACACTAGAACACGGACCTCGAACCCATTCAAAATCAGTATATTTTTTTTAGATAGAAATATCATATCTGTTCATTACAATAAAGGGTGACTGCGAATATATTCATCAGTTTATATGAAGATTTATATTAAATTTAAAGCGGCTACATCCTTTGACCCATGTTTTTGGACAGTTTGAAAACAGTGACGCCGAAATCAGAGGTCATCAACCGACCCGTATTCATATTACCCACTTTGCCAAAAAAAAAACGAACGTGACGTGTTCATTCATAGGAGAGTGCGGAAGATGAATGCTATGTTTGCTATAAGTTGTGTTGTATCGAGGAAAATCGTTGAGTGCCTAGTTACCCCTCTTTTTGTTTTCGATATTCGATAAATGCATTTGATCTTCCAACGCCTGGAGTGCGTCATAAAAGCCGTCATCAATGGTATAAACTCTGGGCACATCGAAAAGACTGGATGTTTGACCGCGTTCTCTGACGCTTATGCGACAATCTATTATCAGACACCACTAATTTCACATGTCGTGTAGTTGGAGATATGTAATGTAACAGAATAGGAGCACTCGTGAACATGTGCATTGTATGCATTACGAGCTGCAGCTTCGAGCAACCCGAAAATGCTATTGATAGGCTACCTTGTATCATACCTGGAAATCCCAGTATCTATATGCCAACAGGCTAACAGAAGTTCGTCGATCAATCGATAGCTTAATACACATACAGATTAACATGCTCGGATGTTGATCTCCTAATGTTGTGGTTCTCCTTTACGAGCCACGCCCTTATGACCCAGGCACATACAATGGATAGCAGGGCGAATCCAGCAGATGCACCGAACCCGATACCGTACCGGGGTCCGTCAGATGAGGGCCACAGATAAGGTCCATAAATGTAACCAATTTGGCCCGCTACGTTGGTCATAGCGAGAACAACCTATAATATACCAATTAGTACGAAACAACTTAGAGGGAGCTAGTGACATACTGCTTTCTTCTCCTTCGTTTGGCTGAGTGTGGACGACGCCCACCCGATGATGACGGAGTTGACAGAGTAGGCTCCCACTGGGAATATAAAGCATGCTATGTATCTGCCGGCAGTGTTCAATGTGCTAGCAGCGATCACGAAGCCGACAACAGCAACAAGTAAGCCGATGGTGATATGCCATGTCCTTTCCTGCATGCGTCCAGAGCTCCAGCCAGTGAGAATACCTGCTGCACCTGCGAATATGAAAGGCGGGCAAGTCAACACAAGCGTTATGGTTCTGTTGAACCCAATCGTCTTGACGACACTGTGTGTGGGACCTTTGGTCAGAATATCATTCCTACATCGGGAGTAGTGAGGATATACTTACGTTGGAAAGAAGGAATTGAAGGAACAAGCGCTGAGATGGAAGTTCTGCATCAGGCAGAAGAGCCAAGTTCGTCGATCCCTACAGGCCTGTTTCAGTCCCTCGAATGCACTGGCATTATCCTGCGAATCGCCAATCTTATCACGCTCCATACGCCCATGTGCAAGTTCTCTTTCCTCGGGCGTCAGCCAATGTGTGGTGAGGGGAGTATTTGGGAGAAAAGCAAAGCCAAGCAGCGCAACGACGCCGGTGATTGCGCCTTCTCTGTTAGATATCAGCCATGTTGTGTGAGAAAAATATTGAAACGAAGTGGAAAAGAGGCTACGAACACGATGAAGAGCCATCGCCAACCAGCTATGCCTCTCAGATCATCCATACCAGCGAAGATACCGGCAGCAATCAGGCCAGAGAATCCAGTGGCTAGAATCTGTGCGCAGTACAACAGAGCAATTCGAGTCGCAAGTTCTTTGCAAGAGTATGTTAGTTAGGTATCTGTAAACAATGTGCTTCAGCCTACCTTTGCGGGTGTAGAATATCGACAACATATAAGTGGCTCCGGGGTAAAAAGGTGCCTAATACATGATCAATCAATCTAGTTACACACATGACATTAGATCTTGTTTTCGGTCTCCATACCTCGGTCACTCCAAGAAAAAATCGACAGACAACGAGGCCCGCATAGTTCTGTACTAAACCCGTGCATGCAGAAACGATTGCCCAGACAACCATCCAAGCACTCATATCTGTGTAGAACAAAGTCAGCCATTGGAAATCGCGCGTTTCTTGTTCCGCTGTGGCGCTACTGGACTGCCGGGTTTTATTGTTGAATTGCCAAAGGTTTATGACTTTTGCTTGGAATGGATAACAATTGGTCTGACTGCAGTGATGGGTGGTCTCAAAAATACCTATGAGCGTATCGTTTGACCATGTACGACCGGAAGTATTCGTTTGTGACTGCAACTTGGGCAACCTCCCCAACCCGCAATGCAACTTTGCGCTACAGCACACAGCAAAGAAGATGGCTAAAGGAGGCGATGGAGAGTGTGGAAAGGTATACTTACAGATTCCTGGTCGAACACGGGTGATCAGCATATTTGAAGGTATCTGCATGAGCACATAGCCAACAAAAAGACTGGCGAAAGTAAGCATTATACTTCAACAAAACCAAGCTATATCGTCCGTACATGCTGACTGCAGTATTGAATTCAATACCAGTCATTCCAAGGTCATCCTCCAGGTCATTGAGACGTGCTTGAGCAATTGCATTTCGATCGACATAGTTGAGGAAGTACATGGTACAAAGTGTTGGCTATAACAAAAGTTAGTACTCTGGGTTATTGCTATGCTTTGGATACCTACCATCAGCCGCCAATCAATTTTGCGCACAAGTCTTATCTCCGCAGGGTCTGTTTTGGGTGCATCGTCTGGATAATCACGAACCCCCGTCTCAATTTTCTCATTCTCGACTGCCCTCCCTTTCTCTGAAATCGTGTCATCATGCACGTCGCTAGTCAATGGAGGCTGTTGTGGTGGTTGTTGTTCTTTCGTTGCCATCTTGCCGTTTAGCTGGAGCTGAGCCCTGGGGAGGTACCTAATACTTGTAGGAGCCTGGGGACGCAATTGATGTCACAAGAGGAGATCCTGTACGCCAGGGCGTTGGTCGAGATGCTCCTTTATATTGAAACACTGTCTTGGCCACCTGCATACCCCGCCCGATAGGTATCCCAACCTGGGCAAAGGTGTGAAGATTACTTGGCTGAACAACGGTGCTGATCTTGGAAATCTTAAATATTCCTTGCAGGATCGCACGATGATTAGTTTCTTTGTGCACTATTGGTTACAGCCCAGGAGAGGACGAGCATTACAAGCGCTACGACAACTGCGTAGCTCCCGATTGGGATGAATTGGTGCTGCACACCTGAGAAAGGGCAAGGTATATACGGCACACCCTTGGAAGAGAGAGCATGTGCAACCCACAGTACTGTGTAACGAAACATTTTCCTGGAATGGGGTATTCAGGCCCAGGACCTAGTTCTAAGTACCAAAGTCTACCTTTTATTTTCAGGACAGCTCCAGATAGACATTGGAGCCATAGATACCCCGTGTACCAGGAACAATTAGGGCAAGGTAATCCGAGTAGGTAGCTATGGTCGATGAGAGAGAGCGGATCGCGACTCCCTCTAGCGCATCGATGGGCCAGATCCTCAAGATGCTGTACTGTCTAGAGCCTGATAATGTTATATCAAGCATTTTGAGGGGAAATGGGTCAGGTTTTGGCTGCATCCCTTGATCCCTTGAGGGGGAAACGACACGCTACAATGAGCACACGCGTCACGAGGTAGAATGGCGAGCGAAGGGTGATGTGTGGAATCTTTCTTTGTGGAATTGTGTCTCGTTATTGAGGGTCAACATTGAAACTAATAAGGATCATATGTCCCATTGTTGTGAGTATTGTGCGTATGGAGTAGGGAGTACCAAGGTCGTTAATACTGTGTTGCTGCAAGAAAAGTGACCTTCCCGAAACAGTCATTAGTTGCGAGCCGCTCATTCGGAGATTTAACCGCCATATAATGCTTCTGAGGAAGAACACTGGTGGGGGAGGAGTAGAGTTTTCTTCGATAATGTGCAGGACGATAAACAGTATGTTTATTGTAGACAAGATGTGGGATGCCCCACAATGCGATCTCGGAGTAATAATGAAAATAATAATGAATTGAAGACAACGCAGAGCACCCGTAGGTACCTCCTGTGTACATACAATCTACACGGGAATAGGTGACGTAAATACATGCCACCTCGGCAATTCGACGCGAATCTCCAGTTAACACCACCAGTGGATGACAAATGAAGTTTCCCATCAAACAGAACAGAATTATATCTTTGGTGTAACGACCACTTTTCTTCCATCAAATTTCATTACCACAACTATCCACCACTCGCACCTCTGAATAAATACGTCACAATGGTTGCCGTTGAAAGCAAATATGAAGCGCACGACATGGAATTCCGCCGCTTAGGTCCTGCGGGGTTAAAGGTGTCCGTGTTCTCTCTAGGAGGCTGGTTGACATATGGTGGTACGCAGAAGGGTAACATCGTCAAGGACTGCATGCAAGCCGCCTGGGACAATGGCATCAATTTCTTCGACACAGCAGAGGTCTACAGCAAAGGCGAGTGTGAGGTTGAGATGGGACAAGCTTTGAAGGAGCTCGCTTGGCCACGGGATGAGTATGTTTTGAGTACCAAGGTAAGCCACTGAAGAGCTTAGCTTGCGCGCCTAGTGTACTCAACCTACAATACAGGTCTTCTTTGGCACTGGACGACAAGAGCCGAACACGAGGTACGGAACTGCGTTTCTCACTTAAAAGGTGTCTTAACATTGGGCTTACTGACACTCTGGTAGGGGTCTTTCGAAGAAGCACATCGTTGAGGGGTTGAAGAGTTCGCTCGCACGTCTTCAACAGCCATACGTGGACGTCTACTTTGCCCATCGCTTCGATCCCAATGTCCCCATGAAGGAAATTGTCGAAGCTTTCACACAGGCCATCCAATTGAACCTAACATACTATGTAAGTAGCCGTCTTAATCATCTGACATCATGGGTCGTTGTTAACTGTCTCGTAGTGGGGCACATCCGAATGGTCGGCGCAGCAGATCCAAGAGGCCATTGACGTTGCTGAGAAATACAACCTCATTGCACCCATTGTGGAACAACCACAATATAACGCCTTCCACAGAGAAAGGTTCGAACAGGAATATGCACCCCTGTACAAGAAGTACCAATATGGTACCACCATCTGGAGCCCTCTTGCTTCCGGCCTGCTGACGGGCAAGTACGACAAGGGTATTCCCGAAGGCTCTCGATTTGCCACGAACAAGGAGTTTTTCGGTGACTCGCTGAAGATGCTTGAGTCAGACGAAGGAAAGGCAAAGCTCGAGAAGGTGAGGAAATTGGGCAAGATCGCTGAGAGGCTGGGGGGAACCACTGCTCAGCTTTCCCTTGCCTGGGCAGCGAAAAAGTAAGTGATCTTAGGTCTTCCGCTCTCAAATGGTCAAAGGGCGCAGCTAATGTCGATCAGTGAGAATGTCAGCACTATCATACTCGGTGCAACGAAGCCTCAACAAGTACACGACAACTGCAAAGCGCTGAAGCTGCTCCCGAAGTTGACTGCAGAGGTCATGGAAGAAATCGAAGGTATCCTCCAAAACAAGCCAAAAGCGCAGTTGTGATAGGCCCTTAAGCGCAATTCATGCGTGGAAGAGGCAGATCCAGCGGCATAGTTAGAAGAGATATGTAGACGAATGGATGTATATGAAGAAGACGCGCAGTCACATGCTCGTCGCAGATTTCAAATCACGAAATTCTGTCAAATCAATATGTGATATTCTTGAGATGGACCATGGAGAAGGAGTTGAGCTGAGCTCCGGTTCGATCGAACCACGATAAGTCCCAGACGGAACTACGCATGAACACCAGAGATGTTTAGGACCAGGTTTATTCCATTGAAGACTGTGCTGATTAGGGTTGCCACGAACGAAAGCCCAGACTCCTGTTGCTGGAATAAGCTTGGGGATCTCTGAAAGTCTAGACACATCAACGGTCTACAATACGAGGAGGGAGTTATGCCCCTGGCACTGCTGTGGCTGTAGGCAGCATGAAAATGTATTACCTCCGCATTTCCAACTACATACACCCACCACTACCCATGAGCTGATACAGGATGGGTGGGTGGGTAGATGGATTCTCCATATGTTATATACAACTATGTCTACAGATACAGGGCGAGCGTACATGCGCTGTTGTGTAACTTGATATCGAGTCGCAGTGTCTCAAAGAGGAATACTGTCTTACAATTAGCGCAGCAATTCCGAACTGTATCTTGTTGTGTTTTGGACTCTTCCTACTGTGGCAATGTTACTGACAGTCTGAGGGTTGCTGTTGCAAGAAGTGTTGCGGAATTCCAAATAGCCAGCCTATCGATAAACTCGGTTAACCTCAACTTACCTACTTGTAGTTAGCCAATGGCCGGGATTTCCTCCAAAGTCGAGGGAAAAGGGATGGAAAGGGAACAACTAGAGAGCGGAAATCGACTCCATCTGACATTAGGTATCTGGTATCTCACGAGTAGCGCCTTTAACTCGGAGTTGATCTACCGGTGACTGTTCTACGAGTGATAAAGTTGTCGATATAGACAAGCAGTTGGTTATTTGAGTATCTGGTACGGAGCACGGCGTAGAAAATGGCATAATACTACCTCTGCGTTATAACCTACCCAGGCACTTGTGTACCTATGTATGTACAAGTACTCCGTACTCTGTACTTCTATGCTAGATGCCTACCTAGGTAGTTACCTATATCTAAGGTGCAAAGTATATAACAAGTCGACTTCAATAATGATAGCATTGAGAAATTCACATTCACATGTACGGAGCACAGTACTCCGTACTACAGATCTATGAATAAGATCGTATCGTATCGTACAAGTAAGTATAGTTACACGTACACATTATTACTCACTCTCTAGTTACATATGAGGTACCTTGTACCTTGTACCAGCGAGCATCCATCTGTCTTTGGGCAGCCCCGAGTGCCCCGCTCCGTCTGGTCCGCACCCACCAGTGCCACCACTAAGTCCCAACCACGAGTACTACCACTCGCTCTTCGCCCGCCACTCGTAATTGAAGGCAAGTAACTACTACCTACACTACAGCACGAGCACGGAGAGGGAGTACGGAGTACAATAATACATTTCACAATTTTAATTACCATCTACTTTGCCATCATCCATCTAATTAATTGATCCCTACTCCGTACTCCTTCCATTCCCATCCTCTCCCGTCATTCTTCTTCTTCCTTTCCCTCCTCCTCCACCTCCGCCCTGCCTCATACCCACTTGCGACAGCTACCAAGCTACACAGACAGCCACCTCCACTACCCTCTACAAAGCTATAATACAGCTACACAGCACAGCCACCCCGGCAGTCGTACCCTACGCCCGCCTGCTGACTCTGCTCTTCTGCGCGCATTGCTACACCCCGCTATAGGCTCGCCTCGCTCTCTCTAACTCTCTATCTCTCTATCTCTCCTCTCATTCTTCAATACCTTGTTCCGGACCTCCGTCAGCGTAATCCGAGAGATATATATCCCTCTGAGCGTTGCTAACATTCGACTTGCTGGCTGTAGAACCCCTTTCATACCTACTCAATCTCGCGCCGCCAGCTCGTACTGACAGGATCAACGCCGTTCGAATCTCTGTTCGATCCGGCTCGATCCTACTCACCTTCTCTCGCTTGCCCCAGCTGTGACAAGGTCAAACTCTATCGTAGCAACACCTCTGTCGAGCTATAGATGAGAGAAGCATGATATAGGGTCGAAAAACGAGAACACTCTCAACACAGATTCAACAATGTCTGCTCTGACGCCCGATTCTCCACGGGCAGAAGCGAACACAAATCATCATAACGATTATGGTAAGTCATATTTCTTCCAGACGTTAACCCTGGTTGCTTGAACTGCGTTCGCGTTTGACGTCTATCGCGTTTTGTCCTTGCCTTACGACCAGCATCACCGCCTACCCCGTCTCTCTTGGCACCCCGACCACTCCCCGTATTGGCCTGCTCCAACGACACTCTTCCTCTCTGAAGCGTTTCATCCTAGAATACTTCACAGAGGCACGGCGAGAGTCTTGTCGGAGCAGTGCCGATGAATGGAGAGCATAATGGCAATCCTCGCTGGACCATTCGGCACACCCAGCAGCCGTTCAAATGCATGGACTCTTGTATTCCTGAGCTTTGTCCTACCTACCTGCCTGCCTGCCTACCAGCCTGCCCACCTACTACGTCTACACAATATCCAGATACATATACAAGGTCGTCCTGTCTTTCACAATGAGTCCAGGCTCTCGATCCCGCACTCAATCACCATAATTCTGCTTTAATTCTGCACCAAAGTTCTACCCACTACCCCTTTCACTTCCTTCCTTCTCTAATTCGGCTTTTCTTTCCATATGTCGCATGCTCGTTATGTTTCGTGGGGTTCCGATATGCTGACCATGCCGGCTGCCTACTCCATGTCCGGCCCGGCCGTCGACTACCCCTCGCCAGCTTCACGCCGCGCATCTGAGTGCTTTTCTGAGATCAGCACAATTGATAGCCGGAGGGGGAGTCTGGCCAGTTTTGGTTCGGATGTGGAGACTAGGCCGCAATGGCATCTCACAGCAAGTGACTCTGGCAACTCGAAAAGTCCGCTCGCAAACCTGGGCTTCTTGAAAAACTTGACCGAGAAGAAGACTACAAGAGGTTTGCCAATCACTCTCGATCAACACTTGAAGCTGCCCCTCTAACCCCCATAGATGGACAACCGCCTAAAAGGAGAGGCCCTAAACCGGACAGCAAGCCAGCGTTGACTCGCAGGCAAGAGCTGAATCGTCAAGCCCAGAGGTATAGTACTTGCGTTAACACAATTTTATATTGGTCGAGCGTACTGATAAGTTTCATAGAACGCATCGAGAGAGGAAAGAAATGTACATTAAGGCCCTTGAGCAAGAAGTGCTTCGTTTGAAAGATACTTTCACCAGCACAGCGCAGGAGCGTGACGCCTTCGCGCAAGAAAATCGAAGACTCAGAGAGTTACTTATCGCTCATGGCATATCTTTCGACGTTTCGAGCACTGTCACCCATGGCTTGCCTCATATGGGTGGCTCCTCATACGGTGACAGTTCGGCAGGGAGTGTATCGGGAGGTTATGGACCTAGTTCGAACTCAACGGGGTACACGTCGCCTCCCACCATGCCGACTCATCCGAGGGGTTCGATATCTGCGCCCGGCCAGTCAGCCTCTCCCCAGCAAAATCAATCATCCAACGCGGCGATGGATTATGATCAGATTGGGATAGATTTCGTTTTAACGTACGATCGAACGCCCTATCTCTCTCCTCCACCCCAGCAATGAACTTCTTCCGATTTCGTTTTCCCATCCTCTTCTTCCCCTCTTTTTTCTCTTTCGAAAGTTACTAGACTTGGGAACGCTCTTTCTGACTATTCCTGAACCCTCAGTCTAGAGCGACCTTGCATGGACCATGTCCAATACCTGATGGTGCGGGCACATGATCCGGAAAACGATTTCATCAGTGGACACGCCCTGATGGCATCTTGCCCACCAGCAAGTCACATCGCCACTAAAACGAAAGAGGATTATCCACATCAAATGCCAGACATTCAGATGCCGGATTTAATGAAGTTGCTTGACCTTAGCAACAGACTCCCCCTGGACGGGGAGATCACACCAATCATGGCTTGGGCTATGATACTGCAAGACCAGAAATTTCACCAGCTGACCGCTGAGGACTTTTCCGTGCTCAAAGGAGAACTCCTCGCCAAGGTGCGATGCTACGGGTATGTTAATCTTTGATTGTCGGCCTGGCATGCGCTGACTTTGAAATAGATTCGGTGCAGTCCTCGAAGAGTTTGAGGTGCGTGATGCTTTGATGACCGTGCTCACTGCACGACACTCGAGTCACGAGCCCATGGGCTGATATCAGAGGCGCTTCTGTTGCATACAATTATTAAAAAAATGAGTATCAAGCTGTGCCAAACATTTCCTCTGTGAAATGCTTATACACTTCGAGCCTTTCTTCGTTGTGTTTGTTGATTAGTAATGATAATGTTTTCTTGTATAACCCCTACCATTTGCAAATGCATTGTGTTGCTCTGTAGTTCATCCAATCTGTTTCCAAAGGCCAATTAACCTGTGCCTATCGAAACTACCACATAAGTTCCAAATGTTTAAGCTGGTAGCAGGCCTTGCCATGTTATTGAATCTTTCCATGAAAATCTACCTTCTTCGGCAACGACCTTGGGATAATTATCTGTGTATGAAGCTGGTGTCGTGCTACAATATATAAGATTCGAGAAATGTAAGATTGATGTGACTAGCATAGATCAAAGCAACTCACACAATTCGATACGGCTTGAATCAATGAATATCACATCTCACATTTTTCATTGGGAGAATTGCTCAGCGATCTTCCTCTTCCTGCTAGATCCGCTCACATAGCCGGAGGCCAGGGTTGACATGAAATAACCGGCCGGCTATGAGTGCCCTGAGTGCGCACAACCTAGATACTTAATAGTACAGTAGATTGCATATGCTCATTAGTACCGCCACGCTTGCCTTGGTCCTGGTCTGCACGATTTGACTTCACCTGCAGAGCAACTTCGACACATAAATACAGCTGCGTTCGGCTTCGATGCAGGCAGTGTTTCTAGTGTACTGGGTCATGGATCAGCTGCATTCTTTTATGACATTGCTTGCTCATATGCTTACCATGCGAGCTTCGTCGTTCTTCTCGTTGATGGTACTGGTCCTAGTCGTAGGATCTGTGGCTACTTCTGCCACCCAGAAGTCATACGACGGCTACCAAGTGCTACGTTTACCAACGGGCAGCCAGCTACCCCATATTCAAAAGAAGCTCAATGGTCTGATATTTGATCAATGGAACCACGATGTCGAAAGATATCTTGATATCGCATTGCCACCCACCGAGATATCAAAATTCAAATCCCTTGGGCTCAAGTCACGCGTCATGCACCATAACCTCGGCGATTCAATCAAGGCAGAACAGAAAACTAAGCGGGTGTGGAAACGAGACATTGCCGATTTGTCGTGGTTTGATTCGTATCATGCTTACGATGCTCATATCCAATACTTCAAGGATTTGAATATTGTATTTCCAAACAACTCGGAGGTGTTCTCGTCGGGAACGTCGTATGAAGGGAGAGACATATCCGGGTTGCACTTCTGGGGTAGCGAGGGCCCAGGCAAGCCATCAATTTTATATCATGCTGGCGTTCATGCGAGTGAGGTGATCCATAGTTTTCCAAGAAGTAAAGCCAGCTAATTGTAGAGATAGGGGAATGGATCACTACACCAGTGAGCTACACAAGCATTGGTCTGGCCGATTTCCCCCACACAGCTAACATGCCGATAGGTGGTCGAATACATAGCACAGAAACTGATAACGGGCTATAAGGATGGCGATCTTCTCATCCAAACACTACTAGACCGCTACGACTTCTACTTCATTCCCTTTGTCAACCCAGATGGTGCGCAAGTCTTTCAATAGGCGATAACCTTTTTATTTACTCTTCTAGGATTCGTTTACACCCAGACGACGGAGAGGCTCTGGAGAAAGAACCGCCAGCCGGGGCCCAAAAACTCTACATGCTACGGCCGCGACATAAATCGCAACTGGGAATTCGGCTGGGATGCCAACAAGGGTGGGGCGTCGACGAATCCATGCTCATATGACTACAAAGGCGAGGCGCCATCTGACGCGCCAGAAACACAGGGCCTCGATAGTCTCGTCCGGAAGCTGAAAGCCAATTCAGGTATCGAACTGTTCGTAGACTGGCATAGCTATGGCCAGTACATACTTTCACCATACGGCTACAACGAGACACTGTACGCACCTGAACTGGCAAAGTGGACAAGGGCAGCTTCATATATCAGCCGAGAGATACGCGACTCTTCGACTGCAGGAGCGACGTATACATTCGGACCTTGCGGAGCGACTCTGTATCGAACCACTGGCTCGGCCACTGATCACATTTATGCTATTGGAGGTGCGGACTTTAGCTACACGATCGAGCTGGGAGATACTGGTCACTATGGCTTCGTGCTGCCGCCAGATCAGATCAGGCGTGTTGTTGAGGAACAATGGGCTGGACAAAAATTGTTGTTCAGCTTGCTTGATCAGGCCTTTTTCGAGATGAGTGATGGGCTAGGGAGTGACGTGCTCAGTACATAGTGTCCGATGTCTGATGTCATTTAAATGGAATATTTTGCCCCAGATAGTGCCACCACAGAAGGTTTTGGACTATTAAAAGGCAATAGTAGATAAAAAAAAAGTGAGTCAAGATTCTGTTACCAGTCCTCAAAGACGTTGCATTGGTGCCGTCTTCAGAGGCTCAATCTGCCATGAGAGTGCAAGCATTAGCGCGAGCCATTGACCAACCGGAGGCCCTCAATTGTGGTTACGGAAACTATCACGTGACCGACCTGGCATCGTCAGGTCCGCCAAGCTCCCCGGTTTGCGACAACACAATCTACTTCCACCTCGACCGCCCTCCCACCGCCGCACGCAATCGAGTCTAGGTGCCAGTACCACGAGACCTTCGAGATCGAAATCCTAGCCGTGCGTAACCAATTCTTTCACAATGCCGACCCCCGAGTCCGAAGCGTTCCTGGCCAAAAAGCCCCAAGTCCCACCTACCTTCGAGGGAGTCGACTTCGACGACAACAAGGCGCTCAAAGGTGCCCAAGATGCAATCATTCGCGAACAATGGGTCAAGAGCATGATGGCGCGGCTTGTTAGGGAAGAGATGGGCAAATGCTATCGCCGAGAGGGTGTGAACCATCTAGAGAAGTGCGGACATTTGAGAGGTGAGCAAGCTTACCACACCTCCTTGGAGAATGACAAGACCCAAAATTCGAGGGATCTGGGTAGCGAATGTCATACCTTCAATGGTTGCAGAATACCTAGTGCCGTTTACTGATTGCAATTCGCTAGAACGTTACTTTGAGCTATTGAAGGACGCCAAGGTGAAGGGATACCTGTTCGCACAGCAAAACTATGTGTCAAAACCGGAATGAGATCGATGTTGCGACTACACGATGTGGTAAATGACACGGGAAAGGCTCTCGAAATCAGTGGGAATTGATCTGTACATATATAAAACGATATCCTGCTCAAGGAATGGCGTAAGGACATGGTGGTTGACACTTTCGATCAATTGATCGACATGCGGAGAGAAATTACTCACCAACACCTGACAAAGCCATCCCATTTTGAATGTACCTGTACGCATCCACTTATTGGTCCAATACCGTGATGTCCGACCATATCTGTGAATTGACGTTTGGGACAAGACAAGCGCCAAGCATTTGGGTACGTAGCTCACATAATACAAACCTTGGAATCACTCAATCAATGGGAACGAACCTGCCTCATACCCCACACCATATGACAGTGCGGATAGCCTGTTTGCAATCCAGCTCTTACTATTTGTAACACTACTTACTGAATACAAACACACTGCATATTGGCTGTGTCGCTGTGCAGACTACATCCTACTCAGCTGGGTGCAACAGTGATGCCATAGCTGAGGCCATTATAGCAGCAACAAAGTGAGCAACATCAACAGAAAATAACTTCGAGCCGGAGTCTCATACATCATGCCATTTCCTTTTCTTCTCCCGACCACCTCGAGTCTGTCTTTCACCGAGTACTTCAGCAGTAATACGCACCCATCACTGCCGCTATGTGCTACGACGGCTCGAGGTGTCTTGCGCGATTCCCTGAAGCGGTACAAGCGCATACCTGAATCGTCCCAACCCTCACACCTGCCTGCAGTCCTCTCCGCTCTCAACGCTTATTTGCCATACCTTTTTGCACTTGATGCAGGATTGAGCGGGACGAGCTGTGCAGGAGAAGAGATAGATTTGGTCTTAGTGAAAGAGCTAGAAGTGGAATGGCGGACAACGCTCTCAGCCACACTCCCTGGACAAGAACCAAAACGTATGAGATTCAAGAGCTTGGAGAGTGAGTTGTTCTTCGCCCTTTCTACTTTGGCGGCGGTATACAGTCTACAGGCTCGCGCACAGCTTCACGTCCTTTACAATGCAACCCTGCCAACACCCGAGCAGAGAGCTACTGCTATTACGACGGCCATGAAACACTACCTAGATGCAAACGCGGTGTACGCATATCTTGTCAATAGAGCTGGTCAATGGACCGCACAGCCAGTTGCCGTGGATCTATCCCTATCGGTGCTTGGTGCTCTTGCTGAGCTGACAATGGCCGAGGCTACCTTAATCACAGTACTGAAAGACGATCCCTATCCAGCCGTCGTGATTGAGGATCGCAACAAGCAGAACAAGGACTGGATGTTCAAAGGTGTCGAAGTCCCGAAAGTCCGCGCCCATCTATTTGCACGCCTCTGTTTGGCTTCGTCGGAGCATGCCTCAAAAGCACAGGCTATGTTAGGAGGAGCATCCAAGGTGAACGATTCTCTCGTCAACTACGTGGACGACCTCCGGAGAACAGCGAAAGGAAAGGCCTGTCGATTCCTGGGGATAGATGCCGAACTTGCTAGCAAAACTGGCGATGGCATTGCCTGGCTTATAGGAGCGAAGAAAGAAATGGGATTCGCAACACCAACAACAGAGGAGTCAGCAAAGGTTTCAGGATTCTCGAAGTTCAAAAAGGATTGGCAGGAAAAGAGAGAAGATCGAAAGATTGAGAAGGGAGCACGATGGGGAACTGACGCTGGGAAATTTGAAGAAGGACGGGTAATCGATATGCTTCTGCAGAAATGGACAAAGTTGAACGACACTGTGAGTACAGGCGCAACATCCCGTATTGGAGATGGACTAACGAAAGGTAGATGGGTATGCAGCGTGTACCTGCATCTGAACCTCTGTTGGCAAGCATGCCTTCTGGTCGGGAATACCATACTCCCAAGATCTTCATCGTTCCGGCGTTGGACGAGGACTCGATCGTTCGCATGAGAGCCCCACCTGACCCCAGCGATGCTACATATCGAGAAGAAGAAGACGATAGCGCTGATGAAGACAATGAGGGCAGAGGTGCACCGGGAATGTTCCCAGGCACAAAAGCATCGTATGCGGAAGGCTCGAGCTACTACTGACCAATCTCTTGCAACAGCTTTGACTTCTGCTTTCGTAAAACAGACCTGGGGTACAATGTGCAATCAGGTATACTGATGTGCATGAGTATGGGCAGATAAGCAATCTCTAGTCCGATGCTAGTAGATGAAAGGCGCATGTATGGAGCAATGAACGGGTTCTTCCCATGTTACTGTAACTAACAGGCACATGCTGCTATGAACCGAACTTTAAAACACCGATAACTAAAATCGCTATACCCTGCAATATTCTGCCGTGTCCGCTCGTACACGCGCGTGAGGAGATTCGTTTCCTCGACCAACCCCCGCGGTTGTTCCCTTCCCCCTCCCTTTCTCCCCGGTCTAATCCCAACCTGGAACCACTGATAAGCACAACGCTGATAAGTTAGAGACGATTGTCGGTCCCCTCAGTCCCCTATCGTATCTTGCATACGTACGTGGTGCATACATGAGTACCTAGGTAGTTGTCGCGTGTACCTTCCTGAACTGGTCTTGCCTCCATGCGATGTACTACAGCCAAGTCATGTTATATATCACCATGCTCTCCTTAATCCTTGCGCCGTCAGAGCTGAAAAACTGCGCCTTGACAACATTACACCAGACATTTTGCAATTATCGCACCTCTGGTCGATTTTAATTCTTAACTATGACCACAGGGATGCCAGCAAGTACCGCTGAGCACAACTACAATGTTGTTGACGAGCCAGTAACATCGGTGCTGCCCGATGACACTCTGTATCACCTCGGCCAAGATTTCAGTGCCGATGATGAGGTTCTCGCAGCATTAGGATACAAAGCAGAGTTCAAGCGCGAGTTTTCGCTATTCACAACATTCTGTGTTTCCTTTGCTGTGCTGGGATTGTTGCCATCTTTTGCTTCGACGCTGTACTATGGCATGGGCTATGCGGGCACAGCTGGTACGACATCTTCCGACCTGCCTTGATAGTCCTGCAAGCTGATCTTGAACAGGGATGGTCTGGGGATGGCCGATCGCGCTTATCGGAATACAATGCGTGGCCATGAGTATGGCGGAGCTATGTAGTTCCATGCCAACTAGTGGAGGATTGTACTATGCGTGAGTGAGACCGTAGCTGCAGGCAGTATGCATGGCAAGCTGCTCACTACATTTCACCATTTAGGGCGGCAGTACTGGCACCACCTGGTTGGGGCCCATTCGCAGCATGGATTACCGGGTGGTCGAACTGGCTTGCACAGGTAACTGCAGCTCCTTCAGGTATGAGAAACTCTAATTCTATTCTATTGCACTGAGAGAGCTAAATGGATGGACAGTCAATTACGGCGTCGCTGCAATGATTCTGGCAGCGGCATCGATCCAAGACCCGTCATACGTCCCGACCGATTACCAGACCTTCCTTTTGACGGTTTTCATCATGTTGATACACGGGGTCATGTCTTCATTGCCCACGAAATGGTTGGCCCAACTGAACTCAGCAGGATCAACGTTCAATTTCATCGCCCTTATCATAGTTCTGATATTGATACCAGCTGGCACTGACCGGGAAAGCCGCGGCCTCCCTAAATTCACATCTTCCAGCAAAGTTTGGGGCGATATTTACGAGGGAACGGCCTACCCACCTGGCATATCCGTGCTTATGAGTTTCATCTCCGTCATCTGGACGATGTCGGGTTATGATAGTGCCTTCCATCTTGCTGAAGAATGCTCAAATGCGAACATGGCATCCCCACGAGCGATTGTCATGACATCCAGCGTCGGGGGCTTGTTCGGTTGGTTTCTGCAGATCGTAGTCGCTTACACTGTCGTTGATATCGATGCGGTCTTGAATTCCGAGCTCGGCCAGCCGTTTGCTGCTTATCTTATGCAATGCCTACCACAGAAGATCACTATGGCGATCTTGTCGCTCACCATCATCGCAGGCTTTGCGATGGGACAAGGCTGCATGATTGCAGCATCAAGGGTAACGTTTGCATACGCAAGAGACGACTGCTTTCCTCTTTCCGAGCATTGGAAAAAGGTCAATCAATTAACGAAGACACCCGTGAACGCGGTGTGGTTCAATTGTGTTATTGGGATACTGCTCTTGTTGATGATATTTGGTGGCGAACTTGTCATTGGAGCTCTTTTCTCCATCGGAGCCATTGCAGCATTTGTTGGTGAGTGATCGATGCATGCCTTCCCCAAACATACCTCCGGCACGCATTCTTACCTTTGAGCAGCTTTTACAATCCCAGTCTTCATACGGGTGTTCTTTGTTGGCAGTAGATTTCGGGCTGGGCCTTGGAATCTTGGAAGATACTCGTTTGCGGTGGGAACGATTGCGTCCGGCTTCGTGTTGCTTATGGTGCCAATTCTATGTTTGCCCAGTGTGACTGGTGCCGAACTGAGGTCAGTAATATACCCGTGCTATGGCGCATCTGATTTAACCCCTTGAGTAGCCTGGATTTGATGAATTGGACCTGCCTGGTATACGGTGGCCCAATGCTAGCAGTAATCATATGGTGGATTGTGTCTGCTCGAAAGTGGTTCAAGGGACCAAGAGTGAACATCGAACACTTGATGATTGGGCGCGAAGTTGAACCGGATAGAGCTGGATCACAAGGAACGGATGCCGGCGATAAGAAGCTAGATTCTTAGTAGGTGTTCTCTGCCTCTGGGATTGGAGGAACCGGTGGACATTAAGGGGCGATGGCCGACCATGCTGCAATTCCAACTCTTAAATTCGATAATTCTAAGATGATACGCATAATTCATGAAATTTTTGTACCTGCGATTTCTGGTGCCTTAGAAAGTGGTGAAACCTATGAAGTCATAACTTCCAAATCATACTGATACGCCCCGCCATATCACGTGGGGCGGGGTTGCTCCAATTCCACCATGCAGCTCCATATCAACAACAACCACCTTCATTGCAGTTCCTCACCTTCTGTCGCGCTCTTATCTTGGCGCTTGAGTCACCATAGCTGTGTTTTGGTTCACCGTACAGCTGTAAAAGACCCACGTTCTGCATCACTGGAGTACGAAATTGTCACACATTACCTACATGTGCTTGTGAAACTGATGGCGCCACTCTACAGGTACCCGTCATGGCGGACCTTAGTGTTTACGACAATGACACAACGATATACCTCTTCACTTCCCTTACAGCGGGCTCTTCTCACATAGTCACGGCCACCTCTCGCATCGAGACAATCCTCAAGGCGAACAAGATACCGTTTCAGGGAAGGGATACTGCCACCGATGATACAGCCAGAGCTTTGTTCCAGAGGAGAGCAAGGGGGAAGAAATTGCCGTTTCTGGTGAAGGAAGGCTTTGTAGTTGGAGTTCGTGGGGCCTATATGTTGACTGATTGGAGTGTAAGGAATGGTACTGACATTGCTTATAGGATCTTGAAGAGATTGAGGAATGGAATGAATATGGAGAGCTTAAAGAGGCTTTGGGATATACTGCTGTACCTGCTCGCAAGCCAGCAGCTGTTGCTAGCACCAACAAGACTGCAGCTGCAAAGGTTCAAAAGGAGGAGGTCCCTGCGAGTACACCAGAGCAGAACCTGGCTATACGCCAACTCGGTGCTGAGGCTGCTAAAGTCGCAGCCTCGAAGAAGCCAACACCAGTGAAGGTCTCAACTACGAACCCGCTACTTGCCGAGAAGATTAATTCGCCCGCCTCTGCTGCTACCACGCCGAAAGATGCTGCCTCTAAGAGCCTATTGTCTCCTCGATCTACCCCGCTACCTACGACACCCAACCCAGCAACGGCTACCGCGAAGGCAGAGAATGAGCGATCTATAGCAGAGGAGTTTTCGCTGCCGAAGCCAGGAAATACACCCGTAAAAATGCCACCTTCCATGCACGCGGACGCAGACAATAGTGATCTTGATCGAGGACCTGTGAAGGCTTCAGAAAAGAAGCCCACCCCGGCAGCTGAGGATGATGATGACGACTCGGACGACGACGAAGATGATTCAGAGGAAGAAGAGGACGACGACGCCTCAGACGAGGATGACGATGACAGTGAAGATGACGAGGATGATGACGAGGATGATGACGAGGATGATGACGAGGATGACGACGAGGATGACGAGGAAGATAGTTCTGAAGAAGATTCGGATGATGAAGAAGACTCGGATGATGAACCAGAAGAACCAGAAGTTAAAGGAACCAAGAAGACAGCGCCCGTTGCAGACCCGGCTGCAGCAACAAAAGTAACAGAGAAGCAGACCAGCGACAAGGGCGTCGAGAAAGAGAAAGAGAAGGAGAAAGAGAAAGAGAAGGAGTCTAGTAGTACGGCTGATGAGAAGGAAAAGTCAAGTGGCAAAAAGATTGGCGAAAAGCTCAAGCAAAGTAGCAGCAAGACTGTCGAAAAAGCGAAAACATCGAGCAGCAAGACTATCTCAAAGGAGAGGCAAAGCAGCAGCAAAACCACTAGCAAAGTCAGTGGCAAGGACAAGGACAAGGACAAGGAAAGCAGCAGCAAATCCAGTGGGAAAGAGAAGCTTAGCACCAACAAGTCCAGTGGAAAAGATAAGCAAACTGCCAGCAAGTCCAGTGACAAAGCGAAGCAGTCGAGCAGCAAGAGCAGTGGGGCGAAAGAAAAGCAAAGTAGCGGCAAGATCACTGGAAAAGTGGTAGCACGTAAGAAGTAGATAGTTGATTGTTGGTAGAGCACCACCATGCTTCATCGAACCATTCTCGGTGGGACAAGCATTATAAACGGCACAAATTCAATGTACCCAGTATTGCATGAAATGTATATTGACACCATTAAAGATAAGCCTACTGGTCTAATCTATCCTCCCCAACATCGAACCGCTCTAAGAGACCCACCTCCCATCCTTGGAACCGTTTTGCCCCAGCTGGGAGCAATTGCTGACTTTGGACTAAGATCTCTTTCAATTCCTTGCAAAGATCTAATGGAAAAGCAATGTCCTCGACGGAGGCACTCTCTGATTCGCCAGGTTTAGGTTTCCTGTAAGTGCTTTCCTTGAAAAATATCTTCATAGCCCTCCGTGAACTAGCAGGGGGTCCATAGCCGGAAGAAGGTACAGCAAACGACGAAGAGGAAGAAGGAAGGAGGAAGGACGAGTGAGAAACCAGGAGATCGGGTGTGAAGATCCAAATAAGTAAAGATGGAACTTCAGCCAGTGATTGGTTGTTGCCATGGATGTGGAATTTTCTTACTCCATGGAAATCTATCGCTGAAAGTAACTGAACCGATATCCATTTTTGAACAGCATATGTAATACCTGATGTTGCGTTCTCTAGGTTTTGCGCAGGTAGGGAGCTTAGGTGAAGGTTCCATTTCCATACTCGCCAACCCTCGGTGGCTTCATCAATAGTACCAAGTACCTGCTTACAGGATGAACAACACACCGAGGTATCATCTTGGTTCTCAATACTGGTCGCAGACTATTATTATATTAGTTTCATGTAGCCTCGGTCTTATCCTATCAGTTCCAAAAGTCTCAAGAAGAAATGACAGTGAAACGACCTGGCCGCTCAGTGTAACCGTGGTGGCATACCCATCACTTTAAGAAGGAGGGTGCGCTGTACGGGAAACTGCGTAGAAAGACCATTAATCTTGGGCGAGTGTATCGACGATGCTATCATAGACTGTGATATAGACCGCCTTCTTTGTACCCGTCGTAACGTGGACATAAAGCATTTTGTAGCTTTCGTGCATGTGCGCAGAATTGAAGCAGGGGAAGGGAAGAAATGGAAGCAAGAGAAGGAGATGGGGGTGGAGGTACGGCTTACCCGAGCGCCCTCACAATCGGTCTCTTTGAAAAGAAAACTTGTCAGATCTACAAAGCCTATGCCCCTGGCGGCTTTCAATCGATTGCCGGCTGCATAGCCTTTTCCTGCAACAGCTTCCGTATGCGTTGAGCTATGCAGATGCGATTCATCTGGCTTGTGACAATGCCAAAAGTCCATCATTTCGGCCCAATTTTCATTTGGCAGATCCTTCCAGGCTGTGATATTGTTGCTGGAAACAATGACACAGGTGCATTTCTTGCAGCACAGTGCTGGCTCTTTGACGGCATCGAGTGATGCTCCGTCCCATGGTATGATATTACTCTTTCTTTCGGAAGCGTGCAGCATATAGGGAAGCTTAGACTCTGTCGATTCTTCGATTTGCAATCGCAAGCTCAACTCCTTCCTAGGAGGTTCCAAAGGTAGCGTGAGCGAAGAATTTGAATGGTTCTCTTTCTTTGCCTTCGATGGTAGTCTTATTGTTGCCGAATCTCCCTCATGATGGACGGTGACATGTAAACTATCCGGCGAAAGTGAAGCTCGCGTTGTAATGTTGCAAACAGTTGGCAGAGATATAAGTAGTGTAACGAGCCTAACATGTACCAGAAGCTCACAATACAGAGCGATGGACAATGATTCAGAACTTTGAGCTACCGTAGATGCCAAAGAAGCTGATAGATGGCCCGATGCACCGTTCACTTCATCCTGTGGGACGGTCGATATTTCACTTGCCAGGGGAGCGATGGATCTAGAAACGGAGGACGGCGCGGACGACATGCTGATGGAAAATGACCAAACGAGCCGACATGTCGATGGAAGAGGGCGGGGTGCTCTGGCGGCAGATGGCTTTACTTTGGAGCTGTGGTGAGTGAAAGTGGACAAGGGGAGGAAAGTTGGAGTCCATGCTAAGAATACCTCCTATGAGGTACTTGAAGGCAATAGTGGGGAGTTGGAAGCAACAGAGCGGGCCGTTGATGCTCCGTTGTCGAACCTAGTCATCTTGGCATCAACAAGGATACCCCAGCCCACGAGGTAGCAGGGAAAGCAATTGAGCTCGATCTAGCTAGACTGCTAGGTGTTACCCTTACGTGCCTTCCAAGCTGCCGCACGTCCCCCTTTCACTGTCCTTCTGGATTCAAGGAGTTAAACCATAAGTTGTAACTGATATTTGACGAGTATATACAACTACTACACAGCATTGACTGTTCTTCCTGTTGCGCCTTCACGTCAATTCCAATCGGCACAATGGCAGCCCTTCCGGAAGTACCATCGCTAGGCAAGGTTCTCGTCATCGGAGGCTGTGGCTTCCTCGGTTCTCATATCGTCTCACTCATCGTGAAAAGACATCCACAGTCCCAGATCGCCGTCCTCGACCTACGTACAAATCTCAATCGCAACGCGAGCCCAATCGTATCCTACCATGACTGCGACATAACCAATCTCGATGCCGTCCAATCCGTCTTCGCAACCGTCAAGCCCGACGTTGTCATCCATACCGCTTCACCCCACTTCAATGCAAAGAGCGAGATCCACAACAAAGTCAACGTGGAGGGAACCAAGATCCTTCTGAAGGCCGCACAGGACTCAAAAGTGAAGGCTTTCGTCTACACCAGCTCTGCCAGTGTGGTATTGGATCCTACCAGGGAGCTTGTCAATGCTGATGAGACCTGGCCGTTGGTGATGGGAGATCGACAGCCTGAGTACTACACTACGACAAAGGTTTGTAGTTCCCACCCCCCTATTGTTTTGCCTCAGAGGTCATTTATCCTAACAATTGCATAGGCTTACGCCGAGATCGCCGTGCTAGAAGCCAATCGCACACCTTCCGACTTCCTAACGTGCGCTATCCGGCCTGCTGGCATTTTCGGAGAAGGCGACGTACAGCTACTCCCGAAGATGGTGACCGCTTTCCGCAAAGGTCAGACTAAATTCCAGGTTGGCCAGAACAATAATCTTTTCGACTTCACTTACGTGGAAAACATTGCACACGGCCATCTTCTCGCGGCGCAAGCACTCCTACATACGCACAGCATCCTGCCTACTGTTCCACTCGATAGCGAACGAGTAGATGGCGAGGCTTTCTTTATCACCAACGGACAACCGGTATACTTCTGGGATTTCGCGCGTGCCGTATGGCATGAGGCAGGAGACAGACTCCCACTGTCTTCGGTGTGGCATCTTAGCGATGATGTGGCGTGGGCGATAGGAACACTTCTGGAGTCGGTGTTCTGGGTGTTGGGGAAAACACCAAACTTGACTCGTGCTCAAGTGAGATATAGCACCATGACGAAATATCATAGCATCGAGAAGGCTAGACGACGGCTAGGGTTTGCACCTGTGGTAGGATTGGACGAGGGCATTCGTCGAGGTGTTGGATACATCCTTGAACAGGAAGAAAAAGAAAAGCAAAAGAAGGGACAGTAAGAGGTGGATGAAGTTCTGATCGGGATTGTTACAAATATTTGGCAAACACAGGTAGATAAGTATTTAATAATAACTGGCTGTAGTCGCGTTGAACTGGTATTGAATTTGATATGAGCTATTCTAAGGTTGAAAATCACTCCATCGAGGGGTACTCCTTCCTCCAACGCCATATCCGAAGGCACGCAAGTCTGAAGGATGTGTATCAAAATCATGTATGCCCTGACTCCTATAATGCGCATAATTAATCGTGGCTTTCCGAAATGTGGACCTTGTAATGTGGGTATCGAATTGCTCTATTTCGGCCGTAATCATTCAAATCGTAGAGAAAAGGATGAACTTAGGATGCTATCCATCCTAGTATCTAGCACAGGAGTTAGCACGGGAAGAGCTCGCTTTGCATAGTATTACCTACTCTGCACTGTCTTGGACAGATCGCCGTAGCCGGCGGTTGTAGACCTTTCTGTCTTCTGCGGGGCCCCATAATAACTTAGCGGCCTCAGGATGGACAAGAGTCCGGGGATCGTAGGCCGGTGACTCCTCATCTATAGCCTCAATGATGGCTTCTACATGGGATTTCATCTCATCCTTTCGAGCAGGATTGTAGCAAATGACCCCCTGCGGGGATACGCGATGATGGAAGATCGGAGTTTCGAAAGTGACGCGGGGCAGAATGTCAGGAAACTTAGGACTGAGGTAGATGAGGACTCGAAACACCCCACCGTCAAGATTGGTCATAGGCCGACCAAACAGGACCAATTGCCAAACAAAAGGGTTTCTGTCCACGAGTTCGAGGTCGAGGGTGATGCTGTCATTTTTCTTGTACTTTTCAACTGTTTGCTCAAATTGGCGCTGGAGGTTGTTGGCGATGCTGAGCTCCTTATGTGCAGCCACTTGCCCCTCCTTGACCCAATTCAATGCCTCCTCGTTCAGCTTTTGATAGATCATTTGGAGCCGGGCTTTGAGGAGTGAGTACTGGAAAGTTCCTTCCATGGTATTGCCTGGTCCTTCGAAAGGCATCTTCTCGAACCGGTCACCGTCCTTGTGTTTGCTTGCCTCTAGCTCAACGCTGGCTAGATAGGATGCATAGTACCAGAGAAAGCGGCGTTTACATAGATCCTTGAAGGGCTCAAAGGGTGCCTCAATGGCATTCGCCTTGTATTCCTCTTCAGCATTGTAGACAGTGGCAGCGTTTGGTGGTGTTTCGGTATTGATCCCAAGATATCCCTCCAACCGTTCGATGACTGAGATGCGCAGCGTTTCGTGTCGGATCTTTGCGACGTAGGCCTTTTGATTCTTCACGTCATAGTCGCTATTAGCGTCCTCGAAACCGGGCTCGTTCTCGTATGGGTTCTGGGACATTAGACTTTGGATCGATATAAGTATCGACTCTAGCCCTTGAGCCGACGACCATTCTTCTCCTCGCTCCCCGCGCCACGTTCCCAGGATCGATCTGTAAGGGCGTCAGTGGTGCCGTTAAGCATCGCCATAGGTAACAGCTTTTGTTACTCACAGGCAAACTCTGCCTCCAGCGTATATGTTAGGGTTGAATCGTGTACGTCCGCTGTTCGTCGTAATGGCCGTCACCTGTGGGGCCTTGGTAGGGTAGTCCCGAGTGAACTTGACAGTGAACTCGAAGAACCCAAATTCGTAAGGGGTGTCTGGTGGGCCTATGATGAGTGCTCTCACATGACGGACATCGATATCGCGACAGGCTACCGCGAGAGCTGTGTTAAGCCGTTAGTCGAGGTGGGATTTTGCGCTGTGTGACACTGGATAATTCTTACAAAGGTCTGAGCCCCTTTGGATCTCGCCCAATTCCTACAGCTTGTGAGATTGGTATTCAGTCCAGCTTGCTGCAGGGTACCTACACGAGTGATGCGGAGGATGGATTGATTTGACATGAAGCATGCAAATTGGAAGTAGCGCTCTGGACAAGCTCGGTAATGGTGCGTTCAAATGCGGGCTAATAGGTGAGGTTGGTAGCCCGTGCGGAGGATATGGAAATGTAGCGGACGGGGCAAACGCAAGATGAGGGTTGAGTCGTGAGGAGCAAGGCAAATACGAGAGGAAGATCCCCAGTCTGCGTGGGATGATAACTGGCCGAATAGCAAGAAAGATAATTCGTATTGAGGGAGGGGGAAAATAGGCAGCAAGAGTAGCAGGAGTACCCGGAGAAGCAGCAGGAATAGCAGGAGTAGATGGGAGAGCGACAGGGAGCACAAACACAAGTACAAGCAGGAGGAGCCACTTGGTAGCTTCGTCGTGTGGGAGCTTGAATGCTTGGTTGCTTGAAATAGTAACGCAAGCACTCCACTTGCGAAGCTCACCTGCTCTCAGCTCCTCCGAGAGAGTTGAACTACGAAGAAGCTTCACCCCCCCCCCCGACTCTTGGTCTGTTCTGCAGGTGTTGACGGGGCAAATGTCGTGGCCTGGATACCGAATTACTTATAATAGGTATCGGCGTGTGGTGTAGTGAGATGGAGAGGCTTGTTGAGTAATGGTGAGAGTACCTAGGGCGAGCAGTCTTCTTTCCTTTTGAAAACCTTAGGTAGATTCCTACGTAGGTACTTTACTCTGATGCGAGTGTACGTAGTTAAAAGTACCTCTCTTACTCTTTGGTGAGGAGGAGGAGGAGGAGGAGGGAGGGAGGGAGAGTGTGTGAAGTTGTTTGTGTATATGAGAAAGAGAGGGGGATTGGGGTTGATGGAGACCGAGACGTAATTAACTACTAGATAGGTAGTTAAGTTAGAGAGAGGAAGAGAGAGTAGAGAGCGGAGGGGGAGGGGGAGCCACCGCCACTAGTAACGTTACTGGCGTTGCTCCATTCCACCATCCATGTAGACGCACGTGCGTACTTGGAACCCGGACACCCAGACCTGACTACCAGTAGGTACCTACCTACGAAGTAATACCTTACTGTGTACTGTGTAGATACGAGTATCGTAGCTCATTCACCCACCAGTTAAGGATGCTATCGTAGCACCGCTTACAAGTTACAACACCAGCCCGTGGCCAACTCTCCTCGCACCACTGCTATACGATATCAACTGCTGTCGCCATGTATGTTGTGCGAATTACACCCATTGTAACGTGTGGTGGCAGCTAACCTGCTCTAGGGTTGTGTTTGCCCTCTTCATCATCAGTAAGGCTGGTGGGCTAATCTACAATCGCGAATTCCACACGGGCTTGAGCAAACTTTCTAGTAACGATTATCTGATGCTCGCTGGCTCGTTCCATGGGTACGAGACTCTTGCTCCTTGACTCTGCTAGTCTTTCGACGCAATGTACGAACTCACTTCTCCAGGATGCATGCTATTACCAAACAACTCTGTCCCGCGCCCCCTACACCGAACGTTCAACCTGCCTCCGCCGCGGGCCTTGCCCCCTCACCCTTTTCGTCTCGCCCGACCGGCATCGAGGTTTTGGAGTCCAGTCACTTCCGTGCACAGTGCTTCCAAACCCTGACTGGCACAAAGTTCCTCCTGTTCACCGAGCCTCAGCAACCAAACATTGACAGTATCATGCGCAAGATATACGACTTGTATGCAGACTTCGTCATGAAGAATCCGTTTTATACTGTGGAGATGCCCATCAGGTGTGAGAAATTCGATCGCGGACTCGATGGTTTCGTCAAAGTACGAAGTTGAAGAAGAGTAGCGGAGCACCGCGTCGTCTCTTCTTTTACTCGGCCCAGTCCGCCGATATTGGTTCCTCCAGCTGCATTGGATGGTCTTCGTCGACCCGGGGCCATAACAACGGCATCGATCATTTCAGACACATCATGGAATGCCCACCTGCCTGAAACACTTACCAACCGATCCCGGCAGCCAATAGCGTATAGGTTTCGGACCTTCATTGAGTGCTGAAACGTTTGGAAGGAGTATTTGGTCGGGCGGCGTCTAGGCTACCTATGTCACAACAGGAACTCATGCAAACGTTGGGGAAAAGGGGATTCATGATATACGGTGGCAATGGTGTGTTTACTGGTGGCATTGTGTAGTATGATCCTTCCACGCTCTAATCACTTCCCTTACGAGATGATTGCCGTGGAAAAAAGAGCCACCGATTGGATGGCTTAGAGCTGTTTGTAATGGCTAGGCATTATGCTCTATTTGCTCTGCCATCATTGATCTATAACATAATACATGCTCGTCAACCTTGTAATGAACTCCACATGCCGATGCGCAAGTTCCCTAGACCCCGTGCTTCAAGATCTTCAGGCAGTGTCCATCTTGTCTTGATCATCACCTTTCTTGTCCTTATCTTTGCTTCCGCTCCCGCTTGGTCGACCCTCGTCGTCGAGAAGAGGTTGTTTTTCATCGCCCTCCGCGATCTGCTCCAATTCCGACTTGCTTTCGGTTGTCTTCTTCTCCTTCTCCTGCCGAGCCTTCTCTTCTTCGTAACTCATTCGCAGCGCCAACGCAAGCTCTGGATCGACCGAAGGATCAACACCAAATTCGAATTGAGTGCCACCCGTCTCACCACCATCGCCACCAGGGGCGCTGGAACCTCCACCACCGCTGGTCCCATCACCGCCCAAGATGGGCGTGGTGATGAGGGAGTCGCTTAGAAGATTTGAACTTGGTTGTATGACTGCCAAATGAGATCCCTCGGCACTTTGACAACTCTCGCTGAAGGCCTCAAGCTTCTTTGTCGTTCCGTCTCCTAACTCTCCGAAAGCAATGATGTCGATGCTGATACCGGTCTTCTTCATACGCTTAGCGAGCTTGATAAGTGATTTCTCATCTTCTTCAATCGGGCTGCAGGTGAAGACAATTATGCGCTGCTTCTGCGATTTATTTTGGCGATGCTTCAGGGCTAACTGGTTATGTGTCAGTGGCCAACCTCCCAGGCTCAACTCTAGAACCGAATCATACCGCAGCAACGTTTATTCCAGTGGAGAAGTGTGAGGTTCCGCGTATCTTTGTTCGATGAAGCCCATCGAGGATTTTGCCGATATCCGTCGTCAAGGTGGTGAGAATCTCGGGAGTGTTTCCGCCCATACTCATGAGTCCGACCGATGATTCGGGGTTTGCCTGCGTCTTTGCGGAGAAGATGAGGTTTGTCGCATCCGCCTGAGCTTCCCACCGGGAGGGACTATGACAAGTTAGATGTGAAGGAGGGATGAGCCGGTGGGTCTCTGCTCACACGTAATCGCCATTACGGCTGTTCTCGCTGTTGTCCACACTGCTAGCGGTCAGTCTCTGGAGTGAGGGGGGCGTGCTTGGAGATCCTACACGATCATGGTAGCTTCCAGCACCATATTGCTGGTTTGTTATGTGGAGATCAAACGTTCGTGGTATAGGTCAGGGAATTTGCAGTCTCAAAGCCGAAAGATGTATATTGGAACGGCAGGTGTGTTGCTGATGACGAAGATGGAATGGAGTGGAGCAGTACTCTGTAGTGCACTGGGCAGACAGCTCCGATTGATTTGGTCACGGGACCAGGTGAAGGGTTGCCGTGTTTATTGACGTGATTATGTCAGCGTGCCCGGCACAATACATAACGACATGTCTGTAATAGTTGCTGTGGCACTAAAGCGCGACGCGCCCTCCTCACCTACAACAGTGGGGAATACTTCAATCTCACTTCATCGTTCAATCGTGCAATTATTCGAGTATCCCACTAGGCTTCCTCTCATTATCTGGATTCGGATTTCAAATCGGATTTCTGGACTGCCTCACGTTCATCTTTTCAGTTCCGTTTTCTCGAGCCGGACCAAAACAAACACACCTTGTACGTCAACAACAACAACATGAGCACATCAAAGTTTTCCGCGGAAGCGAAGGCCAACATGGTCGTTAACCTTGAACTTGAGCGTAAGTCACTTAACATTGCCATCTATCTTTTTGTTTGCTTGCTGATTGTCTCGCAGTCAATGCCCGTAAGGATAAACTCGCAGCTATGTGCGATGCCCAAGTTGCAAGTCTCCGGTCCCGACTAGAACGACGTGTCAACCGAGTTCCAAGCAATAAGCGCAGCCTCAAAATTGTAGACCTCGTGAATGCAACCCACGGCACAAAATCGACAGTTGCGAGAAACCAACCAGCTCATCTCCACGGCCGCAGAGCACCGCCCAAATCCCATCAACCTGATGGAACTGCCGCAGCAACACGAGTACTCACATCAGGTGAACCACCAGCACATACTGTAGCAAGCAAGCGAGCAGTTTCCAAAATGAATGCGACAACAAAACCCTCCACTACTAGCAGGGTGGCCTCAAAATCTACCCGAGGTACGAAGAGGACGAGTGATGAGATATCGGGCGAGGACAAGGAGAACAACACTGAGCCGCGTCCCCTACCGAAGATGCGAATAGTCAAGAAGGCAAAAAGTGCTACTGCCAGCGCTACTACTGGTACAACTGGCGCTACAGGAACAGCGTCCACTGCAACGCGTGCAGCGCGGACGACACGAGCAGCCTCAAAGCATGTCAATACCGCAACCCAGGTTCTGTCACCGAAGACAAGCAATTCGCGCCCTGCAACACGTGCGCGACGCCAGCGATAGACAAAGCGGGACTGAAGACTTGTATATATAATGATGGTTACGACTTGTGATCTGGCGTTTGGGATTCGGTTGGTGATGAAGTGCTGCATTTACATACGGCGTTTGGTACTATTTGTGCTTGTGTGGTCTATCAGGCAACAGCATGTTCGCGGCAGAATCCAAGAATAGGATGAGTTATTTGGTACAAATCAATTGGCAGTGCTTATTGAATTTCCTTTTGCACATTACTCAAGTTTGCAGGAGCTTGCCTTCTCTGTCACTGTCCTATCTGTCAAGCGCCATGTCATTCTGCAATCTTGATTATGAATGTTGGAGGGATAAAGTATGAGTTGGTGACTGCATCGGGCATTCTCATCCGAAATACTTAGAATGGATTCAGTGAAGTGCAGTACAAGTGAAATATAAATGTGCAATGTTAAAACTGCTCTTCACCATATCTGTCGTGTCCGCGCGGCAGTAAGCATTCACATGGCAAGCCCCTTCGCTAGGTGCCTGCGTGCTCAGGCACCGTTGAGCTTCAAGCCGCTCACTGACTGGCCACAAATAGTTCGGAACCAATTGCACAATACATACTTGGTTACTCGTAGGCCAGGAGCTGGCTCCAGAAAAGCGACCTGGTGGGTGCAACATGTTTTGCACTTTGTGACGGAGCAGCCGTGGTGGTGATTATTATCATTATTACCGGCATATTTTGATGTGGTGCTTGCAGATGACGATAGAGGTGCAATTGCACCCTGAATGTCTAGCAACTCACTGCTACTACTCACACACGTCACGGCGGTCACGCAGAGGTCGAGGCGACTGGAGGTGTTGGACGATCGGTGGGGCGCTGCACGGCTCGCCGCTCTTCTCTCTCTTCGGCTCGTTGGGACTAACTTTGGCCCCCACGGTTCCGGTGAGCAGCTGTGAGAGTCCGTGACACTTGCCACTGCGCGAAGGATCACTACCAACATACCTAGGAATGACAGGACGAAGCACTCGGTGCAACAATAACTGGGTACCTTACTGTGTACGTTTCGTACAGGGCAGAAGCAACTGCGTTAGCAATCGACATGAGGACTTATGGGAGTGATATTTGCAATGATAAGGTAGGTTGTAGTCACTGTACAACAGTGGAGGAATGTGGAATCAAGGAAAGCATACATCCATCCGCTGCCGCCCTGCGCCCTCCCATCCTGGTATCACGGTATGTACTAAGTAACTCCGTACTGTACTGTGTAGCAGCGAGTATGGATCCATGGACCATTAGTGGTTGAATGCGGATAGTCGATTTGCTTTCCCCGATGCGTGGTTTGACCGGTATCCCATTTGAGGTAGCATTAATAATTGTTCTGTTCGCCAACGCCCTACTCCGTACTTGTAGCATACTGTGTACTGTGTAGAACTCGAAAGGTAGAGAAGGAATTTGCGCGTATGAATGCCTGGGCAGGTGAACGATAGCAACGAAATAAATCATCATGTGTGTGCGTGTCACCATTTGCACCTGTGTAGGTATGTCATCTCCAGTCTTGTCGCCGGGTTCACTTCACCCATTGAGGTGTAAAACGGAACGGGTGCACTTGCAGAGCGGCCGCCCTTTCTACTCGGAGCCAATGATCTAGTGCGCAAAAGCGTACGTAGCGTCAGAGTACGAATGCAATAATGGTTGATATAGAAACCTAAGATACGGAGTAGTTACTGGTAATAACTGGGGGTGTGGTGTGGGCGGGTGTTGTAGGAGGGGAGGGAGGGATGGGGAGAGTAATCAATAGTGAATGGTTAATGGTGGTGGTATGCTCTCGGTGGCTCGCTCGTATTGCGCGGTCGCGCATTATGGGATTCTGGGAGGCTTAGCGGCGCTGCTGCCTGCTTGGCGGTTGACGACTTCGCATCCACCCTCAATCCAGCTCACATCTATCATCTTACGACCACTTCCCTCTTCCCTCTTCCCTCTTCCCTCTTCCCCCCCTTCTTACTTCTTCCTGCCCCCTTCCAAACCCTCTGTTCTTTGTCCTCACAAACCGTCGCCTTATTATCGAGGCTTCGTCTCTGGGAAATTGTCTCTGTGCCCATCGCTGTGACTCTTCGACAGTTGCAATCCGGTCGAACTATTCCGGACTACGCCGCCCTCTATCACAACTTGGTACTCCCGCAACATACTTCACCACCTCCACTTACGCCCTTCGCCTTCACGGTCGCTCCTTGCACTGCTTGAAGACTTGCTTGGTCGACACCTTATAACTCCAAATTCTCTCACCCACTTGGTTATACGTTCACCTGGCCCATGTCATAGTGAACCAAGTGCTCCTCCAACCCCTTCACCCTCGCCTGGATTCTTTGGGACAACCTGCGAGTCTGGGGATTGCTTCCAGCATATCTGACGACTTTGCTCTGAAGCAGCCCATACAGCGTTGATCCAATCGTGTGCGATCTCGGCTTGGACCTTCGACTCGGCTGCATACCCGTCTCGTCGTCAATCCTGGTTCTGTTCTTGTTCGATCAAACCCCATATCGCAGGAGATCATTCTAGTGTGAGTCACAGATCGGGATCACTAGTGGTTCGCTGCAACGAATCGAGAGCTGACCTTGTTACTTGGGTGCAGTCAGGACCTATAGCCGTGACTTCCATTTACGGTCAACATGTCAGCACAGCAGACTCACCCTCGTCGCCGCCCATATAAGGCCTCAAGTCCCCAGCCCTCTCACTTGAGCACTCACGGCATGCAACTACGAAAATGCGGTACCTATTCGTCGCCCAAGTCGATCTCATCTGATGTCTGTGACCTCGAAAACCACCCATATATGCCGCGCCGCTCCCCCACTTCGACTGAGAGCCTCGAAGAACTCATCCAAGACTCGAGCGTACAACGCGTAGCCAACCTACTCAAGGATTTCGACAAGAAGATTGCTGGACACAAGGCCTCACCCACCAATATTCTTAGTGACCCTGAGGTTCTTCCTTTGCCGAGCTTCATCATTGACAGCAGCAGCATGGAGAGTGGCCCTATGGAGATCGATTCCAAATCCCCCTCCGTTGTACGGAGGTCTCATGACCACGCTTCTGATAGTGGACTTGGTTCCAGCGTGAACGACTCGAAATATGGTATGATTACAACCTTGACTGGTCGACACGACTGTTCACCTATTAACATTGCCAAAGGAGATCATGCTCCTCGACGCTCTATCACTCGAGCCTCTGTTACCGCCTCTGTTGCTTCCAGCCATTCCGCCATTACTCGGTCTTTCTCTGCTCTTGGAGCCTCTGACGAGAAACATACGCTGGGCGAGTATGCATGCAAACAGATCCACGATCATATTATCAAGCCTATTCTTGCGGAAGACTCCTTAAAGGACTTTCATCCATTAATTAAGGATGTTCCCCGCCGCATCGGCGAGAAGAACATCTGCAATCTACGCGATCTCGAAAAGACATTGATATTCTTAGCACCGGTAAGTGGAATTCGCTATCTTTCTGAGACTTCAAAAGCTCATTGCATTCTTCTCGGTTTTAAGGAGTTATCGGCGACACCAAAATCATACCAACGATTCTGCGAACGTTCAATTCAACTATTGCACGCGACTGTCGACCATTTGTCCGAACAAGACCAGCGCCTACCGACCGATCGCCCATACACTAACAACTATTTCCTCGATTTGGTCGAACAGATTCGGCGCTACGCTGCGATAATGGCCGCCACACGACAGAAGGAGGCAAAGGGGGAAGAGCTAGACGAGATGGATTACTCAAGGTATGTCCTGGTGGACAGCCAGTGTCGCTTACCGCTAACAAATGGAAGCAATGAGAAATTGACCCTTCGAGGCGGCCTGAGCCATAATGGTCGCCCTGCGGTCTTGGTTCGTGAGAAGGAAGGCAAGGTCTTACCACTCGTTGACAACGCCGAAGAACACCTGCAAGGATTCTCGCCACCTAAGCGTCCCTTGTCTGATGATGATGATGACAACGAGGGTATTCAGCGCTCCATGGCTCGACGAAGAAAGTCCGATAAACCTGGAGACGTCATGCACGTTTGCCGTGATTGCAAGAAGGAGTTCAAAAGGCCATGCGATTTGACCAAGCACGAGAAGACCCATTCGCGACCGTGGAAGTGCACGATCGCCAAGTGCAAATATTACGATCTCGGTTGGCCAACAGAGAAGGAGCGTGACCGACATGTTAACGATAAGCATTCGTCGGCACCGCCGCAGTACAAGTGTCACTACCACCCTTGTACATATGCTTCGAAGCGCGAGTCGAACTGCAAGCAGCATATGGAGAAGGCGCATGGGTGGGAATATGTCCGGTCTAAAAGCAACGGACGGAAGAAACTTGCTACTCCGGGTAGCGAACGGACTCCCCCTACACCTCTCACGCCATATCCGGGCACGCCAATGTCTGCTCTCCCAACCCCAGTTACACCCCTTCTGCCTTCTCCATCTGTCCCGGCAATGGGTGATTTTTCGTACCCTTACGAATTCGGTACCCCAGCGCTGAGCAATGTGAGTGGCGGATACGCTGAGGATCTTCGTAGAGGTTCAGGGGCAACGGACTCAACTGCTCTTACATTTCCCTCAACCCACTCGCCTCTCGAGCGCCCTCTCTTTGACGATGCTTTCTCACCGGATGAGCCCTTGCTGAATCACAACGATATTCTTCTTTGTGGCTCCCTTGGGAACCAGCAGCAGCCATTTCTCCAGCAACCGACGCCAGCGTTGAGCAACACCGCTTACGAAAACTTTGACGCATTCACTTTGCCTTTGAACAACCCTGTTCCAGACAATATCCCTCACCTTTCTCCCGGCGCTCAGCCTGATGTCACGCTGTTTTCCCCACACATGCACATTGACGAAGGCTTCAACGAGGCCATGCCACCTTTCGATACGACATCCGGGGACTTCACGTTGTTCGACAACATGCCAATGAGCAACATCGGTCTGAATGCCACCAGTGACTTCTTCCCCGATTTGAATCAGTTCGGTGGACAATTTGACAATCCTTACATGGAACCTACCATGACGAATCCTTTCGATGAGTTAATGAATGGACCATTCAACAACCGGTCGTAGGGGAATTTCATATCTAGATGCATTTTCCTCTTTCCTCAATCTCTTCTCTTGGGATCCACGGCGCTGGAAAGGCTTCCATGAGTGCCTTCATGGTTACTCTCCGTTGCCTAAGTTATACTTTTTTTGTGAGAGATTTCCGCACTTTCATGGTACCCACGTCTAGTATTGTGAGACCAAATTGATATTGGTTTACGAGCTTGTGCCCAAGACCGTTGGTTTTAAGACTCTGCATTTTGTGGCCTGATTTGGGACATAGAACAGAAAATCACCCGAAAAAAAAGACACACGGCCTGCTTCATCTACAATTATTTCCGTCTCAACTAAGAGCTCTTATATTCACCTCTCCGATGTTGAGATAGGCCCATCATGATAATTGTTTTTATCACGATTTCAGCCAACAATACGCATAGATAGTTATTATTCCTATATAAACATTATCTCCAATCATCAAGGTTCGCAATTATTCCACTGCATTTCTTGTGAGTTGGTCCTCGAAGAGACGGGAGTCAGGGCTGAGCTCAACATGTTTGGTTTTTGTCCACGAGCCGACCTGCTATATACGATTGCTTGTGCACAGTACACTGCCAAGAACATCACCTAGTCCGACAGTGATTATCCAGTCGAGAGACTCGAGACGCTGCATTCGGCCAACGGCCAAGATCGATAGTATACATAAACCGAACCCGTATGCGCCCATAGCTCCATTTGAGCGGCTATCTACTAACCCCGGACGTTTCAGCATAGACCCCTTTCCCCTCCGACTCTCTTGTTTCCCTTTCTTACATCACAACTTGAATCTCGTCGAGGTGGCTCGGTGAGTCTTCTTGCACTTCATGTTGAGTCTTCTCGTCACTCCCTAAATTATGTATTTTGTCTTTTGAGTATACACCACACTCCTTATCCCACTACGATAACATCAACCGCGCTGGCCGCGATCCACGTCTTATCTTGACAATATCTACTATTCAACGCGACTCTTTCGGAGCAGAAACAATCCGTCCGCAGGACAGCTGGCAGAACAATTCACCCTAAAATGTTAGGTTTTCACAGGCGCACGAGATCTCTTATCCCCGTAAGGGATCTTGCGAGGTATGACAAGGTGCCTATGGTCGATGATGAGGCAGAACTCGAGGTGGAAAGTGCGGACGGGGACACGGATACAAAGAATGGGCAATGGCTAGGGAACAGAAAAAGACAAATGGTTCTCATCTACGCCATCTATCTTGCTGAATCGTACGTACGGCCTCATTCGTACTTTAGGTTTCTGTGACAGCGTGCGCGTTAGCTAACGTCAGTCTGGAAAGAATCATTGCATCAGGGCTTGAGCCACAGCTTCGTGTACTCATCGATAGCAACGACTCCTGCGAGAATCTATCGACATCGTACCTTCGCAGCATACTCGAGTGCGCATACTATTTCGGCGGAACAACCGGGATTCTTTGGGGGTATCTCTCCGACCGTGCTGGTAGGCGTTGCGTCACCCTCACTGGCCTATGGGGCATGGTTCTCTGCTGTCTTAGCATGGGGTTTGCGACCGATCTCGTTGCCTGCACGTTGACTCGCTTCCTTTCTGGCGTGATGGGTGCGAGTGTTCTCGTATCGACCTTGGCCATGATAGGTGATCTCAGCGATAGCATGACCGAGAAGGCAAACTATGTTGCTTACCTTCCCCTCGTTTCCCTTTGTGGATCGATAGGGCCAGTAGCACAAGCAATGATTACCGGCAGAGTTGACTTGGAGGGTCCGTTGTTTGCGAGATTTCCTGCCTTGAGTACCCAAATAGCTTGCAGCGGTCTCCTTCTACTCCTTGCCATCACTGCGACGGCAATGCTCAAAGAAGTAAGATCCCTCAATGGTACAGCGACAGACAGAGTGAAATAACTTGCTAACTATCTACAGACCCTTGACCTTGGACCTGAGCAGTCAAGGAATCTCGCCGAGGTAGACTGTGAAAAGGTCGCTTTCCTATCTACCGATTGGAATGCTTCCAGCCAAAGTGTTGCTACACCTTTCCGCGAACCCATTGCCATGAGTCAATTCATTCAGGCACCCTCATTTCTCGTTCTCCTTTCGTCTTTCTCGTTCCTGTCACTCCACTCCTCCATGTTTGATGAGTTGTTGCCCCACTTTGGCCACAACAGCGCCCAACAGGGTGGCATGGGCGTGCCTTGCACCTGGTTGGCCTGGATAGTTCTCGGAGTGCGCGCCTTCGCCGGTGTGGTCATATTGCGCTCCCTCCCCCAGGCGATGGAGAAGGCTGGGCTGCTCAACCTCTATCGTTACACTTCTCTGTCGTTTCCCTCTCTATATGTTGCAACTCCGATTCTTGCAATGGTGGCCCAATACTCGGTTGGACTCGCGCCTGTCATCGCTGCGGTCTGCATACTCCTCAAGCACATGTTGACAAGCAGCAGTACGGTCCTAGTCTCCGTTCTCATACTAAACACACCACCGGATGCTTTCTCTACCGGAACCGTGGTTGGCATGATGCAAGTCACCAGCCTCTTCCGTGCACTTGCGGTGGCACTAGGCGGGGCAACTTTCTATCTGAGCGATGAGACGAGCATGGCGACGACGAATTGCACTCTTTGGATCAGCCTTGCCCTGCTCGGCAGTGGAGGTGCAGCGCTTGCTTATTTCGTGAAGGAGCGACCGAGTGTAGAACGCGATTTCCCCAGTGAGGTCCTTCGTTGGGAAACATGTTTCGACGCTATCGAAAGCGATGAGAATCCAACCGGTCTCATGTAATCACCAAGACCCTATGTCACCGCCACAATTATGGTCACACGGGTCTCCTCGCCCGCCAAATCCATCTTGCCTCTCTGGCTGGGGTTCTAGCACAAGGTTCCGATGGCGAGATATATGCATAGAGAGAAGGGTGGGCAGAGGAGGAGAATAGGGAGGGGTAATACCAACGACCGAATGGGATGCTTCGTATATTTCTTTTGTTTTTAACTGCTCGACCCTCTTTTGCTTGATCTGTGTGAACGTTTCGTAACTTTGGGGACGCGGCGGCTTGTATGTGTGCGCTTGAATTCCTTGCCTGGTACATTATTGTGATGAATATGCAACCAGCTCGCAATGATGATACGGCATGAAACAGGTTGTATGATACATAACGAGAGGTGTCTTCAAACCTTGTCAGAGCATTCAAGTAACATTTTTTTTTCTTTCCAAAGGTTGACGTTGAAGTGGACTTGAATTGTAGGGCAGATTAAATACGTCTACCTCTTAGGTTCTGTCGATAGCCCTATGTCTACCTTTACACCCGTATGATATCGTTCTGTGGCCTGTTGTGGAATGATCGCAGTGCAATGTTACAATCATATGCGGAGTAGTTGTAGGCTTGTTTTAGCACATGTTTATTTGGTATACCGAAGCAGTCAAAGCACGAGTTAGAGAAGAGATACGAGTACGAGCAAACTACAAGTATTTACGAGACGACGCGACATTGTCAGGATTACGCACTGAGCACACATTGATCCTGCATGTCTAGGCTGTAGCATTATGCAGCCTGTAGAACAGGAAGCTGGGTCTGGCCTGTTGTAGGGCTACAGTTGGGTTTCGGTCTTTTCCGTGTTACTGGTTTGTGTATAGTATGTACCTACCATTAAGTTATAATTCACTCCCTAGGTACTTATACCGTTCACGTACAGAGTACTGTGTACAAATCAATCTCATGATTACACTCTTGGTAATGTGAATGATCATATGTGCATTGTATGCTGTGACCATGAATAAATATAGGTAACGTGCTTGGATGTTGGACGTAAAGATTTTGCTTCAAAGAATCAATTAGCACGATTTGTTACCGTGATAAGTTTCAAGAAAGTAAAATGGGCAATGGTCAACTGTTGAGGTTATTGATAATAGCTGGTGGTTCGGTAGAAGGAATGTTTGTAGGAGAAATCCTTAGATACGAGGTATTCACGATATACTCTACTCCGTAGAGATAGAGATGAAGTTTAATCGTAATTAAGGTAATAATTAAGTAAATTAAGGTAAATACGGGAATGCTGTTAAGGGTAATGAATAGGCGACTAGGTATTTTAGGTAAGGTAATAATAGGGAAGGGTTGCCGCCCCGCTTCATCCCCACCTGGCCCCTGTTTCATCATCTGCCCCCCCCTCCCCCCTTCAGTGTGGTTCACCCACAAACCAACCAACCAACGCGTTTAACCACGACAGGAAACCACCACACAAAAACAACCCTCCCACTCTCACTCTCACTCTCATACACAACAACAACACTACCACTCCATATCCACCAAACTACTCCGTACAACAACACAACCCTCCACCACCACTGGTTCTACTACCAAATATCTTAATTCGATAATCCTCGTTTCTACCTACCCCACCCATACTCAGATATAATCACATCCATCTCATGTCGCTTTGCGCGCAGTATCAAGCGTTTCTCGCCAACCCGTCGGTGGGTGCGCTCCACGATGGCAACGCGTCGCTACACTATGTCACAACCCTCACCAGCATCAACGACGCTCCTGCCGTCATAAAGCATCTCGCCGTACAAGAGAAACTGCTCAAGAAGAAGTCCGAGAAGGTTCTCAACTCTATCGAAGCTCCCAATGCCCTGAGCCTGGAGGTGGAGACAACAATCGAATTTGTCGCTGGCGGCGGCGCATATCTTCCTGGTCTTGACGACAACTTTGTCGCCGACAGAACCGTCACATTCCCTGTAGTAAGTCTTCTCCTATCTCCTATCTCTTCCGGTTTCGTGCTTCTCGGCGCATCCTTCTTGTACCATGCTAACGTTTCACTCCACAGATCCATCTCGTTCATTTCGACCGCAACAAGATCTCACAGATTCGCCTACATTGGGACCAAGGATCTCTACTTAAGCAAATCGAAGTCATTGGAGCTCGCGCACGTAACTGGCCCATCCGCGATGGCAAGGACCAGATCCGTCTCATTACAAGGAGCGCAGGACTCGTGGCCCAGTCGTCCGGCAATACATCTTCCCAGCGCACAACTACCTCCCAAGATAGCGACCCAGCGAGCGCACGCCCGACGAGTTCGGCCAGCTCCGTCAGCAACGCAATGAATGATCCCCATGCCACACTCTCCCTCTTCCAGTCGCGCGATCCCACCGATGAGGGCTCTCGAAGCTCCCACCCCATCGCACCACGTATGCAATCGGCAAAGCCGCCGCCGCGCGAATACTCCGAGCTTTTCGTAAATGAGGACGGTGGCTCCCCTTCCCCCGCGAATGCCGCTTCTCAGCGAGAGGTCGTCCCCGTAAAGTCTGGCAGTGGAAAGAACTTCAAGCCCAATCGCTTGTTTGACGAGCACGAAGATCCGTCGGCCACTCCTATGAGTGTTAAAACAAATGCCAAAAAGTACGACCACTTCGACTTTGCCGATGAGGAGGACCAGGCCACCCCCAGGGGAGCTGAGAACAATCGCCCATCAATCAAATCGAAACACCAGTCTCAGTGGGGCTTTGAAGATTTCGTGACCCCCAACAAAACCAAGCCTAAGGTGTTGGGACAGGCCGTTCGTCATTTCGGGTGGAGCGATGATGAGGTAAGTTTCTTTCCGCAACTACCAGACAATACTTGATGTGTCACCATTACATTATCTCTACGTGCGATTGCTAATACTGATCCGCAAATATTAGGAAGAAAGCTCCCCCGTCCGCCGCCCTGTGGTCCACAGAGCCCGCCCGGATGCCGACCCTCACTTCGAATTTGTGGATGATGGAACTCCAGAGGCCGCAAAGAAGCAACCGTCCACTAAGGGAAACCTCCATAACAAAGGCCTCGGGCTCTACAAGGATCATGTTATTGGCTCAGACGATGAGGCAGATGATGACGGTCCACGTGGCGATACTGCGCGCCCCCTCGGAGATATAACAACGGTCGTCAAGAACGAGAATCGAAAGAAAGACTTTGGCTCACAGTGGGAGATGGCCGACGAGAGCCCTGCTCAAGTACAGAAAGCGTTCGTGGGAAGCAAAGCAACTGGCAAAACGCAAAAGAGCCTGGATACGCACTGGGGCTTGTATGAGCAATCCCCTGAGCAGTCGAAGAAAGAGAACAGCAATGCACATGGCATCAAGACCTCAGGGAACGGCATGGGGGGACGCAAGGGCACAAGTAGGGCATGGGCCATTGGCGATGAGGGCGGCGAAGACGAGCAGCAGCAAAGCACGACAAAGGCCCCTGCATCGCAATCCAAAGGGTTCTGGGACTTCTAACCGAGACAGTCTCTCCCCGGTAACGAGTAAAGAATAACGTGAACCACCATGCACTCCCCTATGCGCCTCCCACCTGCAGAAATCATATTGCTCCCACGCCCCAAGCATTTGAGACCGCCGACTGGTAGAGAATAGCAGCGTCTGTGTCGACCCACTCACTCCTCGAGTGCAACTACCGGTCTTCCACGTTGCTCGCCTGTAATGACTCTTTCCTTATCTCCGTTCGTTGTTTCAACTATTGTACCCAATCACCCGTTTCCATAGGCCCTTGTCAGCACTCCGCCAGTGTCTCCGCGGTTGGACGATGAACAAACACTGCTGGTGCAATTTCAAACCCCTCCTCGCCAATGTGGTCGCTCATGTTTTGAATCCAGAGGCAGGGTGAATGATTCCCTTCTTGGGGAAGGGGAACCCGTCAATAGAGTCCTTGTAGAGTAGTACTCAGTAGTGTAGCGTACCTATCAAATATCTCGAGGAAGATGATGCTATGCGTTCTCCCACCCCGTTGCTTTTGTCTGATTGAGCCCGTGGGGAAATCTTACCACAGAACGCTTTTCTGCAAGCACTGTTGTCGACTGCACAGATAAATAGAAGATAGAGCCACAGACCGATCAGTGTGTATATATGACAACAGACATAGGAGAACAGACATATGAGCACAGGCATATGAGGACAGACAAACAGGCTTACAACGACCATCTGACTCCAAGGATCCATTTCGCCTCAGCTAATTCCAATTGTTGGTTCCCTCGTGCTACTACCTGGGTTGCGTGCGTACTACAGATCCAAAGCCAGCTGGTGCAGGGCATATGCCACAGTCCCGCCAGTTTCGTCTTTGATGTGTAGGTTCATTACCCAGGCACACCAGGACACGCTTAGTAAGTTAGACCTATATTCTGATCTGAGGCCATCTGCAAAGAGAGAGAGACAACATGAGCGGCGAAGCAAACATAGAGTCCTTAGAAGTGTGGTATGGGTAATCATTGGGCATCTATCTGCTTTGGTAGCAGCTACCTACTGGTCCAAGTGAAATCCGTAATCATTACACCTCCCTTGCGAGCGATAGAGTGCGCGATTAGAGTAACGCAGCACCAGCATTGACGCCACCGGGGGGTTCAGAAAGCATGCTTTTAGGACAAAAAACCGTTTGACAAAAAACCTCCAAGGATCCGAGCTATCCACACGATACCTCGTCCGCGGTATTCCTCATGCAGAAAGCATAAGTCAGCGAGAGAGGTCGCGCGAGGATGCCCAAAGATGGCTCACATTATCAAGGATTGCCGACATGTAGTCCCGGAAGCCCCGAACCTCCAAATAGTACACGTACACCAACATGAGCAATGCGCAATGTAAAGAAAATGAAGTGAAACGCCCTGAACAACCGCTTGAGCAAGTCTGCAGGAAACATGTTCGGGGAGGCGGCCTCGCCTTGGCTAGCCCAGGCTGTGCAACTCGATAGGATCAGCTCTGCCTATGATGCGATAGGATTTGCCTCCTATTGACCTCCGAGTCCTAGGAAAGCCTGCAGAGGCGAGCTATGAAAGTAATTAGTCGTAACGAAACAATCGGTCCGGTGATTGAAGAAAGTACGAGTAGGCGGAGGATCCCTGACCATGACGGGAATTTTGCGACATTGGTATACATTTCAAAACAAGAAACGGGACCCTGGTCCAGGAAATGAGGATGAAGTTGCATGCTAGTATACAGAGCGACAAATGCAGATGGTTAGGATCCCTGAGCCGAAGATACAGGGGTGAAGGCATCTCATCGATGTGAGTGTTCATATGGTCGGATACCACCGAACTCGACACCTTGCATAGCATTAGGAGCAGCAGGTCCCCAAGGTTGCTGCGACTGTTGTTGTTGCTGCTGCTGCTGAGGTGGCGGTGGTGCCTGTTGCTGTTGCTGCTGTAATGGCGGAAGAATGGCATTTGCGGCTCCGGGGGTCTGAGCATGTTGCTGGGCGAGCATGCCAGTCATGCTACCATAAACATGAGGGTTGCCAGGCTCAAGTCGACGAAGGTGTTGCCACACTGCAGCCAATTCGTTCCGTAAAAGTTCGTTCTCTTCTTGTGCTCTTCGACAGTACTCTGCATCTGGCCTCAGTCGGGCGTTCTCTGTGCGTGCAGCCTCGTGAGCCCTGCTTAGGTTTTTGATGTATTCAATGGCTAATATTGGGTAAGCAGATGTACAACAACTTGAGAGCTGTAGTCGTTATCTTGGGAAAGGGAGACATACATTTGGTCAAAATCTCCCATTTGCTCGACTTATTTCCTGGAGAGTTGGGCAATATCCCATTGAGCTCATCGAAAAGCTGCTTCATTTCGCTTCTCCTCTTTCTTTCTGCCATTTTGTGGCTGACTCTCAATTCAGGTGTCCGACTGTAATTCCCTCCCGTAGGAGTACCAGGAATATCTCCGCCTTGCAAGCTCGTTACATTGCGATGCTGCATGGAATGGTGGTGAGTCGTTCCAATGTCTGGCATTCGTCAGCGCTTGTCAACAAGTGAAATCTAACCTACGCCACATACCTTCATCGCCGAGCCTCTTTTGACCGGTTGGAAGACCAGAGTCAGTCGTGAAAATGCTGCTATTGATAGAAGCGGCAAAACTGTTCTGTCGCGATGGGATGGACCGCTCAACACTTGACTCGCCGCTGCTCGAACCCCTTCGTTCATCTGGATCCAACTCAGCAGGGAACGCCCATGCATAGCCCTTGGTGGGAGCAGCGGCCATGGGATCTGGCATGCCCGACACACTACGGGGGTTTGGGTTAATCACAGGAGCCCGTCGAGGCGGGTGATTCGCCCTTGAGCCTGATCGTGGGCCCAGAGGCGATAGCGGTGAGATACCATTTGGACGTTGTTCTGTCACCGTTATACCACGCTGTTGCTGGAGATTCGAGACGAGAGAAGCTCGAGACGCATTCTGGCTATCATATGGCGACGAAGGGCTGATTGCAAGATGGTTCATGCCTGCATTCATTCTGCTATCCACACTGCTGCGGCGGGAATCAAAATGCGAGCTAGATTCTATACTGAGACGGTTATCGAACCCCTGGTTCAAGGACGGTAAAGCATTGTTCTATGAATATGAGTTTTGTGAATTGAAACATTAGCCTGCTTTCGTACCTGTGGAGGGGGATATCTGGCCGAGGAAGGGGTGTCTGGGACCGAGTTGCGCGAAGGGGGGTCTTCGGCATTAAGAATTGTCTGTAGCTGGAGACCCATTGTATTTGATACGCCCGAAGAATCTATTCATTTGGTCAGGTCTGGAAATGTCACGATAAAGAAGATATAAGCTCAAAAAGGTGATAATGGCAAAAGCAGGGGTGGTAGTGCAATGTGGCGATAATGATGATGGCAGTGGTGATGATGATGAACAGGGCTTACGCTTGCTTTGGGAAATGGACCAATTACCGGAATCTCGTGCTTCTCTAGCTTCTGACTGATGCCTTAGACGGACTGGACTTTGTTCGGAGGGTGTGAGGTTGCTCGTCAATGAGGCAATCGAAGGCAGGGCTTGGTTATGCGACGGGTTGCCATGAATAGGCGGCCGTTGCTGAGATGAGTGGTCCATGGTGGATAAGATAGCAGTAGCTATACGTAAACCACAACTTGGACGAATGGAACGAGTCGGACTGCTGGGAGTTGGTCGAGAGCGGAAGATGTTTGGGAATGGTCAGCAATGGAAGAGTCTGCGATGACCGGTCGAGAAAAAGTTTATGTGTCGAGGCGGCCGATGAGGTAGGCCAAGCAAGTACTGTGGAGGACGCCGTCGCAAGAAATGTGGTATAGAAGTTCTTTTGGTCAGCTGCGCTGAAGAGAAGAGTGCTGCAGAATAAGTCCACTCTGGGTCCCGAGGAGAGCTGCTGAGATGAGTAGGTACGCGGTTCTAGAGGTAGGTGGGATAGGTAAGGTAGGCAGAATAAGGTAGGCAGACAGACAGGTCGGGAGGTGGAGTAAATGGCCGGATGGAGGTGTTTGGTGAAGCGGTGCACGGGGTTTGCGCCTAGGATAGAGAGAGGCAGTTACTCTGCGAGGCGGCGTGCCGTTGTGCACAAATTTTCGACAAGGCAAGTGCGATGGGATGTGAGCCAGGCATGCGATCCTGGATCAGGTCGAGATCAAAAACCCAGCAGTCTGGGAAGGCAGAAGGAAGATAGATACGTCGTAGATTGAAAGAGGAGGTAAAGTGGCGGGCCGATCGCAACCCCCGAGGAGCACCCACTTGGAACAGTGTGGGAAATGCCAATGGGCCAACCTCACCAGACAAGCTCGATGCTAGCTGGGCGCAACTTAGAAGTGCTTGGGTAGGTAGATTGAGTAGCAATCTGGTCGGGAATCGACCATAAAGGTTTCTTAGACGCGGTGAGCCGCCAAAGCGGACGTGGCTGCAGGTCCTAGTGATGTCAGGAATTGGCTAGGGGAGATATTGGCCTTGGTGCCTGGAACAATGGTCCGAGACAAGAACAACGGGCGACAAAAGGTTGAATGATGAAATACAAGGGTAGACTCCCTCGGGGCCTATGCCAGAGAGAGTTTGCGTGTGTATGTGCGTATGAGAGTGAGAGTGAGAGTGAGTGGGAAAAGGTCGGGGACGATGTACTGTGTAGAAGAAGCACAGCGCGATCGCAGGAGCTGAATCGATGCGAGCCAAGCGAATGAAAGCAAGTGCGCCTACCCCGAGCGAGACGCGCCGGGAGACGATGGGTTCGCGGAGCAAGATATCGAGCAGCGCTGAGTGGCGTTGACGAGTGGGTAGCACAAGTAAAGAAACAATTCGGTCTGAACGGCGGAGGCGTGTAGCAACGCAACGCAACGCAACGCGGCGCAACACAACGCAACACAACGCAACGCAACGCAAAGGAAAGAAAAGCAGGGCAATGTCGGAGCAACGATGGCGGCGGCGGTGGCAGCAGCAGCAACCCGGAAAGGATGACAGCAATGAATGAGAAAGGGAGTAGGGAGGGAAGAACGATCAGAAGTCAAATGGCAGATGGCAGATGGCAGATGGCAGATGGCAGATGGCAGATGGGAAAGAAAGAGAGGGGGGTCACTTACGTCGTTGGAGTTCGCGGGGGAGCAGCGGCGCGACCAAGAGATGGATGCGAGGTGGAATGGAATTAGATGGGACGAGATGGACAGGGTCCGGAAAGGATCCGAGTCGTGGCGCACCTTCAGGACATGTCCTGGGAGGAAGTAGAGGAGGAAGTGAGGGTGGTACTCGTACTGTCGTAGCTGGAGAGAGAGGGAGAGCGACGACCGTGGATCTCGTGCAGCGTGGATGGAATATGAATTGGCGTGCCTTGCATGGATGATGGGCTTAGCGGGAGAGGAGAGAGAGAGAGAGAGAGTGCGCGAGTTACTCTGTAGACAGAGCGAGAGGGAAAGTGAGAGTGAGAGGGAAAGAGGAGACGAGGATGATGAGAAGAGGCGGAGGTCCGATGGCGCGTAATCGAGGATTAGGACAGCTAATGGTACACACGGTACTGTACGGCGCGATGCGGGTTGCGCAGTCGGAGGGAGCGGTCTGGCCGGATTGTATGTGTAACGTTGAGAGATGAAGATTGAGAAGAATTGGGAGGATAATTTCTCGGGTGGGTGGGTAGTGCTATTTTCCACTGGTTGGACGAGGATAAAAAAAGCGAGGCTGAGGTTGGGGGTCGAGGTCGAGGTTTTGAGGATGAGGTCGAGAATGAGGTCAAGGATGAAGGACGTAGACGACTTACGACGAGGGACTCCAACCCGAGGGGGAAAGGCGGGAGAGGAAGGCGGAAGGAAGTGAGTGGTGGAGGTGGAGGTGGAGGCAAAAGGTAGAGGTAGTTACGGAGTAGAGTGTGAATAGTGGGTGAGTGGGTGAGTAAGTGAGAGAGAAAAGAGGGATGAGTACGGGGTAGTAGTGGTAGTGAGAATGGGGATAGAATGGGGACACAGAAGAACCGTACCGTACCGTACCGAACAGAACAGAACAGAATGAGAGAGAGTACGGAGAGGTTAGTTAGTGTGTAGAGTGAGGGTAGAGATGGATAATGGAGATGGAGATGCGATGGCGATGGGCGATGGTGGTAGAGAGGGATGATGAGTAGTAGTGATGGGTGGAAAGGGAAGAAGAAGAGAGTGGAAAGAGAGGATCAGGAAGACGATCCGCAGGGGAACCAATTAAGTGTGGAAGGAGGTTGAGAGGGTCGTTACTTCCCCCAGTGGCACAGTGTACACACACAGTACACACTACACAGTAGATGGACTAGAGGGTAAGTGCCCAGAACAAAGCCGCCCCAACACGTGGGAAATCGTTCAATCAAGGCTTCGTGTATCTGACCAGAGGGTTTAGTGGCGGCTAGCTGCACTTAATATGGGATTCCCTGTCTCGCGCGAACTGGTGGCTGTCAGATGTCGCAGGGGTCGTGGGTGGGACCGAGAGAGGGGAGAGGGAGCGAGCGAGTGAGGGAGCGAGGGGGTGGATGATCAGAGTGGAGATGAAATTGGAGATGAAGACGAAGATGGAGACGTCGCTGAATATGGAGATAGAGATAGAGATGAGTGGAGAGAAGGTACAGACTACAGAGTAGTTACTGTGGTTCACTGTGGTTCACTGTGGTTTACTGGTGGGTGGTGGGCGGTGGGCAGGACAGTAGGAGGTGTTGGAGGTGTAGGCACGCATGCATACACCCTACTGTGTGCACTCCGTACTCGTATGCTCCCTATACTCTGTACAGAAGAATTGACGATACTCGTACCTTAGGTAGTAGGTAGGTTAACCTAGGTACGGAATACCTGGGGTACCTATTAGAGGGAAGAGGTATGCTCCGTATGGGGCATACTCGTGATAGATTTGGCTATTACCTCTCGTACTGTGTACCGTGTACCTAGGTAGGTGCTGTAGTCACCGTGGTAGATACACTTATGCATCGAGTACTGTGTACATACTGTACCATGTAACATGTTCCATGTAACATGGACAACGACGTCACCGGATCGAATGGCACGTGTGCGCATGAAACGATGCAACGATGAAATAATGAACTTGAATCTGGGATCTGGATCTGGATCTGGATTTTCACCTACACCTGAACCAGAACCTGAACCCCGAACCTGAACCTGAACCAGATGGAGAGAAGGGGCCGGAGATTCCTCCGGCCACGGGTAGCATTCAACGAATAACGACGGTACCGAGACAAGTAGCAGACACAAACCAGGCAAAGATGGGTCACGGTCACGATTGGTGCTTTTACCTACTTGTATCTACCTAGAAACTCATAGGTAATTGATGTGTGAAGGCCGAGTACGGATTACAGAGGGAGTTTGCCCGGAGAATTAAGTAATACCATAGGTACTTCGTATACTACCTATATATATGTGTACATACTCCGTGCTATGCACACGCTCAGTATTAGCACAATGGTCATACGAGCACGAGTGCGGGTTTCGCCCAATCAATCAATTCATTCATCACCATCTTCATCGTTCGTCATCTTCTCCATCGTTCGAACAGCATTGGCCATAGAGTACAACCAGTACCGTTGAGTGACATTCCTTCCACCCGATTGCGGTAGGAGGCAGAAACCATGTTGACTAAGGGAGGAGTGGGGATGCACATAAACCACCGGTGCCAGGTATATCCCGGGTCAGCCCCTCGGGTATTCCGCGTATCTACAAGTACCAACTTCCAAGTACGGAGCACCCACCTGCCATTTGCTGTAATATTAATTAAATATGTGACTGGGTACTCTGTCGGTGCAAATTCATGGAGTAGTTATCCATCTATTCGTACGGAGTAGGTGCCTACGAGTCTCGAGAAAGGTCTATCATGGCAGATAGACATTCGCAGATGCCTCCCTAGGTTCCTTGATGATCTTTTGCTGTTTTAAGTGTGTACCGAGGGACGCCATCAGCTGTACTCCGTGCATACAACATGTCTCCGTAAATACGGAGCACTCCGTACGGAGTGTGTAGTTACACACATATCTGGAAAACACCAAGAGACCTGCCGGGATGGACAGGGATTGGCCGGGCTGAATGGCATCTGATTTACATGGACTTCTTCCCATTGTGGCCTGAACCGAGTATCCATTTAACATTGCATATATCCAAGCCTTGCCTTGTACAACAGGCACTTTTCTCCACACACACTCACACCATACTCATGCATATAGGCTGTTCACTTTGCTGAAAACAAGTACGGAGTAGAAATGGTTTAAACGGCATGTAACAGCTTCGATCCGCAGGTTGCAACTCACCACTCACTGAGTTAGGCAGTCTGGGGAGCGACGGAGCAGACATGGACAAGTACAGCGAAGGGGCTATTCCTGTTCCGCAACCTACTTGTACCAAGCCAGGGCTTTTATCCTACCCATACCCTGCCTGATCCCTGGGCAGTGTCTGCCTGTAGTATGTACTCCGTACAAAGTATTACACCACGAGCCAAATCTACTTGTAGAACCAGAGTCGGTGCCCTCCTTGAAGAGCGGATGCCAGCTACCGGCCTATCTAATGCTCATCAGTTGTACAACCACTCTTCTGTTCTGACTCCTGCCACCTGGCGATCCTTCCTTGAAGGTTTAAGGTACGAAGTATACCTTGGTTTACCCCCCTCCCCTCTCAAAAAAAAACATCCCTCAATCAATCAAACGACACACTGGCGCCTACCTACCCAATTACTGAACAGTTCATTGCCGTATACTCGTTATGTGGATATAGCATTATTCGAAGCCACAGCGCCTCCTCGTAAAGACAAAAAACGCTACTGCGAGCTGAGGACCGTATCCTCCCATAGTGCTGAACGATTCTCCGTACAAGTAGTTACCATGACCCATAAAATTCCGTGGTCAATTACCGAATACCGTTCGGAAGAAAAGACACAAAGTCTGGTCTGGTCCGCTCCGATCTGCCATGTACTTGCTTCTTTCAATGCAACAACATGATCCCCTACCAAGGGCCATCGAATTGCGCACCGCGGATGACAATGCATTTCGACTCCCTAAAACAGCATGGACGGCCTACCTGAACGGTAGGCATTGGAAGGGAGGTAAGGAATCAAGCATGTGGGAAACACAAGGGCGGGTATAGACTATGGAGTACAGGTACAAGTCATACGCCGACATACACACGGATCACACAAGTAGGCACACGCAATACGCATATGCATTTGTCTAAGACAAGGTACGTACAGTCGATCACACAAGTGACACGAAACATCGTCGACATGGACACAGACACAGAGAAGCACAGGAAAAGGCACCAAAGATCAAAGGGGCGCATACTTCGTACCACTAATAATACAAGTAACCAACCAATATTAATTGATTGATTGAATCGAATTTCTCGCGCCCGCCCAGGCACGCCAGGATTACGCAACCAGATCGGCCCATCGTGCCATGCAGTTGTGGGCCATTATTGCCCTGCCTGCCCCATCACTCCCGTCTGCCCTGTCCTGTAACTACCTGTTCTGATCATCATCCATCCTCAATAATAAGGTAGTTACTGCAGCTAAAGCCTGAGTGGAGGCTGTAGGCTATCCTGCACAGCTGCGCCCACGTTTTCCCTCCTCACCTGACCTGTCTCCACTCCCAGGATGGATTTCCTTCTTCTTCGGCAATCTCCCTTCTGATGTTCTCCTTTCCAATTACACTCTGACCTTCTACTCCGTTGACAGTGGTATATAATGGTATGCCCAACAGTATTGAGTACTCCGTCTCTCTCGCGTATATTCCATCTTCGGCTACTGCTTATTCCCCTACAGCAATCCCTCCGTCTTTCCTCTGCTCGCTTTATATTCCAATAAAGCAAATCCGCACCAGAACTTTCATATCTGCCCTTAGCACCCGATCCAAATTTTCTGTTTCTTTTAGTCAGAAGGTCACCGTGGCACCATGACTTCTTCCCTTCTGCTGTCAAACGGCCTTGTCACAACGGTGCACGCCCATGAATGTTACTGGCCCCAGTGGTGACACCCTACAGGACTAGGATAGCTCCCATGCCCGCGTATAACCCGGTTCGGTTCGCTGAACCTGTACTTGGACTTGACTTGGACTGTTGGTCATGCACTGATTAGCCCGAACCTCCGGAAAGGACTCGCGGTTGCATTGTTTCATAATCCGTTGGCTCCACGTTCAGCAACCTATTCCCCCAAGTGTTTCGCATGGTGACGCAGTCCCTAGATCCACCGAATTGCATCTACTGTGTAGCAAGCATCTGGCACCCTGTCCCGCATGCTCGACACCGCTCGCATTGACCGAATCTCCTTTCACTGCCCCATAATCTGTACGCTTTAGAACTACCGTGTCCGATCCCTTGGACACATGAACTGCCAGGAACGTTTGCCAGGGAGATGTCGCACTGCAGCCTTGAAATGTCACATTGCAGTATGCCTGGCCAGTGGGCAGTCAGAGCGGCTGGCTAGAGGAGCAGCAACACTCATCAAAGTCTGGATCAACACTCCGTGCCTCCTTCAACACTGGTTGACGGGTTGCCTCTGGCCGTGGCGACCGTACTCTTGGATGTACGAAGTAACTACTGCGTACTGCGTTGAGTGACCGTGGACCTGCCATGGTCACCCGTCTCACAGAGTCCGCAGGATGTAGACACCGTCACTGCCTACATCTACCGAGTACCAGTATGGCTGAGACCTCCCAGTGGACTTGAGCATCAAATGACCCAGTATAGTCAATACAGGTAGCAACCATAGCGCGAATCAGGTTCACTTGGTAGGATTGCTGAGGCAACATTAGTGCAAATCTGCGCAAATGTGGCGAGGGCATAATCCAAACCTCTGATGTCCAGACAAGTAATTACGAGTAGGTTGGACTTATGACATTGCTATACGTGGCGCTTTGCGCGTCGGGTGAATTCAATCAAGTCTGTCGCAGAAGGCCATCTCCATCTGTATTTAGATCTAGCGCTGCTCTTTTCCACGAGTGAACGACAATTTATGGCTTGAATCCACTGACCTGGTTGGAGAAGAGACAGTATAGAATGGGCGGCAATAGCATTTGTTGGAAAAAGACAACAGCATGATAACATGTACAGTGCTCCGTACTACTTTCGTACATGCCATACTGCACTACGTGACTTCATCCAGATACCAAAAGGACAAATAGTAATATGGTCCAGCCTTTGTACTCCGTACTTCGTTCCCACCTGTCGTCCCCGCTCCAACTGGGGGACTATCGCTCTGACTGTAATAGCAGAATAGAAACGTGGGATAAGTTGGTCGAAAAGCTTACCTTGCATTGTGATTTCGGAACATTTGACTTGAATCTCCACGGGGTATTAATTCTCCGCACGGAGCACTCCGTACTTCCACCATCTACTCAAGTCGAAATGATATTGCGGAGTTCTACTCGAGGGAGAGGGAAGGCAAAACCGCACGCGGTCCCTATCCTCCGCCCAAAAGTACCAAACCCAGCATGTATATAGGTAGCCACTGTCCTGAATACGGAGTGATCACAGGTATGTAACTACCTAGGTAGGTACGTTCCCAATGTATATAGCATCAGTGGTAGACAATGTAGACTCCGTGCAGCCAGTGTACAAGTAACTACCAATATATCATGTGCCCACCCACCCACCTTACCAGGTTATCCCTGTTTTGGTAAAGTCCTGCGCAGGCCTCCATCAACAGAATCGCAGAAGATATACGAGTACGGAAGAGCTCCGGCGCCGATACACTCACTTTACAAGACAATAGCACGACAACACAATTACAGGAGGATATACGAAGCACGCCGTACCTGCCGCAATATCGTCCACTATTGGGTTCCGCACGGCTAGAATGCTGCAGCGGTGGGTTAACCATCAACAAGGGCTCCACAGAGCAGTTTGATCTCTCTTTTTCCATGGATTAGCACTTTGTGGTGATTTTATTTTTGCAGCTGTAGCCTAGAAGTGAAAATGACGATAACTTCACTACTGCATCTACCGCGGGAATTGCGAGATCAGGTGAGAGACACTACCAGTGGAGGAAACCGGCAACTCAAGCACCTATACTTTATAACTAACGCAATCGTTCATTTCTAGATATACGATTACACACTCGCGCTCCCGGACAATAGGACTGAACATGCTCTGCGCATCGAGCGCCGCAACGTTAGACAGTTCCGGCCGACCCCGGCTTCCATCCTCCTCATTCTCCGCCATGAATATCTTCTGCTCAACCGCCAAGTTGCCAGCGAAGCAACTGAAGTGCTTTTCAAGCACCACACCATTCATTTCAGTTGCGGTCCCTGGGTATTGAAGACGCTACTCACCAGAATCGAGCATGAACACTCCCAAATGGGCAAGCAATGGCTCCGATGGATGAAGAATATCGAGCTAAACTGGACTACGTTTCCAAATCTAAGATTGTACCCGCCTGCAGAGGAATCCAGAAAGGGCTATTGGGGGGAAGAGCACGACGAGTATGAGATCGATGTTGATTATGTTCGAGGTGCGCAGTCGGACTCCCACTACGACGAGTATGATTTCGATGGAGAGGCATACAACGATAACCTGTATGCCCCGAATGATGGTAGCCTGTATCCGTCCTTCAGCCAACCCCCCGATCCTATGGATCCCTTCGGCTTCTCCACCCACTACCCATTCACAGACCCGACACATGAACCCGTGGACGAAGCCGGTGGAACCGACGACATCGAAGTGCGGTTGGAAAAGCTCGTAGAACAGGAGGTGGTCCCGCTCTTTGATTATCTCGCCAGCCCAACCTTTGCGCTTTCGACCATAACGTTTCCGCTCTACTTCATCGCCCGACGGACATATCACCACCAGAATATCACCCAAGCCGACACTGCACTACCGCTCAAGCTTTGGTACTGGATTCGACTGGCCATATGCGCATTGCGCACGCTTTTACAACCGGGAAGACAGGGCGGCAATTCACCCTTCGACGCAGTCAGAGTCAGGTACATTCCGTGGGACATATGGGCCTCGATGGATCCTTCCGATAACTTAGCTGGATTGGTGAAGAAGGGCCTGTGGAACGACGCTCACGACAATCATGGCATTGGGACTGGATGGGATGTTTTTCAGACCATCAGATTGGGCCTGGAGGCTACGGGAATTGACGTCACGAAAGAGTGCGTTACTGAGGTCCGCTTGATCAGGTGGCAGGGGGATTTAGACAGTCGGAGGGTGGGGGATGAACTGGAAATATCGTTCAGAAGAGCATCTTCGCACTAACTGGCGGACAGCCTTCTCCCAGTCTAATTTCTATACTTTCCCTCCATAGTTTCCACATTGCAAAAGAAGGAGAAGGAATTTGGGCATCGAGGCAACGCACATGGAACATTACAAGTTCACACCAATTGAATGATAGCCAGAAGTCGTGATACTTTCAATAAATGAACTGCATGGAAAACATTATAGTTGAATTACTTTTGAAAACCTATACTACGCCAGTCCGGAAAACCAAAGAGAGCTACCCTAGCTGCATACCACATCACTTTGGTCTCTCATTGTCACGCAGGGAGCAGCATGTGACGACAATACATAAACCTACATTTCACTTACGCTCGCGACGCTGACTGGCCACCTAGGCGAGGTCGGGCTGGTGTTTTCGTTGACAAGCATACACAGCTTAGAAGGTGACCTTCTTTCCAGAGAAGTCGCCGAAGCCACCACGGTTGGTAGAGCCAAATCCACCACGAGCTCCACCGCGACCACCGCCGCGACCACCTCCACGGCCGCCGCGGCCGCGATCGCCGAATCCACCACGGCCACCACCACGGCCACCGCCGCGGCCACCTCCGAAGCCGCCACCGTTCTGAGGGGGGCGGGCCGAGGCAAAGTCTAGGCGGATGGCGCGGCCAGCAATATCAGCGCCGTTGAGAGCTTCGAGAGCAGCCTTGGCCTCTTCAACGGTAGTGAAATCGACATAGCCGAAGCCCTTTGGCTGGCCAGACTCACGATCGGTCGGCAGCGAGACACGAGTGATCTCGCCATAGGCGGAGAAGGCCTCGGAAATCAGATCGTTCGTAGCATCGAAAGAGACGTTGCCGATGAAGAGGGTGTTGCTCTCCGCACTGCGCTGGTCACCGAACTTCTGGGCGCGAGCGTTGGGCTTGTCACCACCTTGGTTGTTCTGTCGTGGGGTTGCAAAGTCAACGTTCAAGGCGCGGTTGTCTAAATCCTTTCCATGCATCTCCTTCTGTGCCTTCTTAGCATCAGCGCCAGAGACAAAGGTGACGTATCCGAAACCCTTGGAGCGACCAGAGTCACGATCGGTGACGATACGACAACCCTCGATCTCACCGAAGGAGGAGAACTCGCGCTGAAGCCAATCCTCGTCCACATTCCAGGAGAGATTACCGACAAACAGGTTGCCATTCTCCTCTTCACCCTGGGCAGCGGCGGTCTCGGTCTTGGTCTTCTTAACAACAGGCTCAGCCTCAGCTTCGGCCTTCCTCTTCTTGGATGGTGCCTCCTCCTCACTATCACTGTCGGTCTCGCTGTCGCTGGAACCGGACTCGGAATCGCTAGACGCGTCAGAGTCTTCGGAAGATGCCTGATAAGTCAGTATGAATTTTCATGTTCGATTTATTGATGTATTTACCTCGGCCTTGGCTGTAGTCTTCTTCGTGGCTGGCTTCTCGTCCTCGGACTCATCCTCGCTGCTGTCGCTTGAAGAATCATCGCTGGAGCTTTCAGAGTCAGAGGCATCCTTCTTCACAGCCTTGGCATTGCCATTGACCTTCGGGGCCTCCTCCTCCTCATCGCTGCTGCTGGAAGAATCATCGCTCGACGAATCAGAGTCAGATTCCTCAGCGGACTTCTTCGCACCCTTAGCCTTGGCGGGTGCTTTGGTATCAACCTCTTCCTCGCTCTCGCTTGCGGAGCTGTCGTCTTCGTCTTCGCTGGAGCTGGAGCTAGAGTCGGACTCAGGCTCGGGAGTAGGCACCTTCTTGGATTTCTTCTTTGAAAGGCTACTGGCAGCAGATTTGGCGATCTTCTTGCTGTTTGCCTTCGAGGATTGGGTAGGCTTAGTCACACGACCTTCCTTGACGCTGGAAAGTTCGGCTTTCTTGGCGCTGCCCTTCTTCGAGGACTTGTCGCTGGACTTGGTCTTAGACATGGTGATAGATGAGGAGTAAATCGAATCTAGATTGGTATTAGTATAATGCTGGCTGCCGGCTTTGCAGGATTGGGATAGGAAAGGGATGAGAAGGGAAGCTAGCAAATCCGCTGTGCGTGCGGATGCTGACGAAGGTCAAGACGTCTGCTTCTATTTGGATGCCTCAAGTTGCGCAAAGCCCACTGGTATCTCTCGAGTCCGCAAGGCGGAAACCCATCAAGCCCACAGGTAGCCGACTAGAAAGCCCACAGAAGATTGTCCTCAAGGCAGAGTGTTCCCACAAAGGCCGAGAGTACAATAAAGCCAATGCCCTCAGTAGTGAAAAGCCCTTTCGGTGCTGACGAGCCGCAGAGACACGACAGACCTAGATATGTGTAGAAAGAAATGTGCCGCAAATGCCCACTGACTTGTTTGTAATATTCTGGTACTTGAAAACCCTCAGTTGCCCACAAAAGCCCTCTGAAAGCCCTCGTGAAAATGTGAAAAAGTAAGAGGATGTGAAGAAAAAATCAGGTGGCGGAGAGGTTGGAGTCGCAGAGATAACTTTTTTTTAAACCCTTGTATACCTTGGGATAAAGCTCTGTACGTTAAAGGATCCGTGCGGGCGGCCAAGTTTTCGAGGGAAAACTTGGCAGCCCTAGTCCATATTGGTAACAACAGAGTGTGTATGTGCAAAACATACCAAGGACAGGTCCTGAAGCAAACACCTAGCTTCATCAAACAACATAGTCTGGTGCAGGATATTCCCATGGTGTCTTTCCAGACGCATAAGCCCCGGCGGCGAAGGAAGATTGAAGACGGCTCACTCGCACATGTCACGCATGGCACTCTCGGTCTAGATCAGACGACGAATACCCGAAAACCAGCCTTCCCCCTCGTCGCATTTCTCTGGCCTGCGAAGGGCACTGTGTCGCAATGGGTGACCATTCCTCTCATATTGATGAGCGCCGGCCTCTTTAGATGGTCTACTGGCCTCTGGGGATATTCCGGATTCCAATCGCCGCCAATGCATGGCGACTTCGAAGCCCAACGACATTGGATGGAAATAACACAGCACCTGCCCGTCTCGCAGTGGTACTATCATGATCTGGAGTGGTGGGGTTTGGATTATCCACCACTGACTGCATATCACAGTTGGCTACTTGGAATCATGTAAGAGATCGACTGTGCGATTGTTATTCTGTAGCTGACTGTATCAGTGGATCTAAAATCAATGCTGAATGGTTTACATTGATCAAATCGCGCGCCCTCGATGATCCTTCATTGAAAGTGTACATGCGAGCAACAGTCCTCGTATCCGAGTACTTGATTTACATCCCCGCACTCATCGTCTTCCTTCGCCGATACTCTCGACTTGAAGGCGTCAATATCTGGGAGGCGTCCATCGCTCTTGTTGCGATCCTTATGCAGCCTGCAACAATCCTGATCGACCATGGCCATTTCCAATACAATGCTGTAATGCTGGGCTTCGCAATTGCTAGTATGTCAAGCATGATTGCTGGACGACCATTGTGGGGTTGCGTGTTCTTCGTGGCAGCTCTTGGATTCAAACAAATGGCTCTATTTTACGCTCCAGCAATATTCGCCTACCTCTTAGGGTTGTGCCTGTTTCCTCGACTCGCCTTTACCCGACTGTTGGCCATCGCGATTGTCACAATTGTTTCATTTGGCATTCTCTACCTCCCCTTCTTACTGGGAATTGCTCATGATATATATCACGGCTTATCACTGGATGACTTACCTATACCTCCTTTTCTTGCCTCCATCCCCATCGGATTGAACGACGAGGCCTGGTACTATCCCTTTCTCCTTGAGGTCTCTCAATCGATTCATCGAATATTTCCCTTCTCACGGGGACTGTTTGAAGACAAGGTAGCCAATATCTGGTGCACTATCCACACCCTACACAAGCTTCACCGATATCCCAGTGCTCTTCTTCAACGAGCAGCTCTTGTCGCAACATCCATCTCCATTTCTGTACCTTGTCTCATACTTTTTCTCAGACCAAAGCGTGCACTTCTTCCGTTGGGTTTTGCAGCGACAGCGTGGGGATTCTTTCTGTGCTCTTACCAAGTGCATGAGAAGAATGTTTTACTTCCACTGCTCCCAACAACTGTTTTGTTGAGCGGAGAAGGTGGATTGCTCCCATCCATTCGTGCCTGGGTTGGGCTGGCCAATCTAGTCGGTGTTTGGACCATGTTCCCACTATTGAAACGAGACGAACTTCAAGTGCCATACTTTGTTCTGACCCTCCTGTGGGCATATCTGCTTGGGCTACCTCCTCTATCGTTCTCTGCATACCGTGGTTCTGGGAAGGGCGAGTTAGGATTGCTCACAAAGATCAGCCATCTGGCTATCTACTTGGCAATAGTCGCATGGCACTTTGGCGAGGCATTTTGGGAACCACCACCGGAGAAGCCTGATTTGTGGGTAGTGCTCAATGCCATTATTGGTTGTGCAGCTTTTGGCATATGCTATCTCTGGTGTGTATACAGGTTGGTATGGAAGAGCAATCTTTTCAGTTCTCGCAAAGCAAAATCGGGGGTCAAGGTTCAATGAGTCTTTCGATACCCCTCGTTAAAAGTCATGATGGCTAGGCATTCGCATAGATACCCATTTCCTCATCTATAAAGAAGGCGAGAGCATCAATCTCTTTTTGCTTGTACTATATCATACAGTCTAAACTACCTTATATTACAATATACAATACAAAGGATTGGGCGTTCCATCCACATGACTCAGACGCCGTGATATGTGAGATGTGATGCAAATGCGCCCGCCAGCAGCCCGCCAGCGTTGTGGGGAACGGTCACTACCCTCGTCCATGCATCATGGCTTGGATCAAATCTTGAATCCATAACCTGCCATGCACACTTTGTACTTCGTGACAAGATCTGCGCATTCCTTTTGGGCGTTGTCTGAATTCGAGAATAGCATGCATTCGTCCCGGGCGGCTTTCTCATCTGTACATACGCAGCATGGCTAAAAATGATTCGTGGGTCAGTTATGGATGTCTGAATCGTTGCCTGTGTTTGACAATCGTACCTTCGGCTTGCTTGGTACTGAGGAGGGTGCTTTGGGGTCTGCGCCGGCGTTGGCGGCAATGGCAGGAGCGGTCACTATGAAGAATCTAGTCAGTATACCGCCCGTCTCAATAAAAGAACTACAACCTACTTGATTGTCCGGATCCCATTGTGAGGATATGGGGAGTGGTGATGAATGTCGACGATTGCAGATTAGCAATCGAACGAGAACAAAGTTCGCTGGGCTTGGACCCTTCACCCTTGTACCTTGCTCACGTCATCAGTGTCGACTGCGCGTCAAGCGTTAATCTCGTGTGGCTATACGAATCATATTGCAGCATTATTTCTCTGACTAAACAAGGGTTCGGCCCCTCCATCAGGCTCTTGTCTTGGCTTTCGCGACGCTGCAGCGCAGTAGAACAACGAAAACCAAAACCCACACCTTTAGAGTTGCGGAATTGTTTACCACCCGACCAAAACACGTCTTCCACTTTGGACCTCCTGTGCCTTTTCCCGTCTATTATCCTTATTTCAAGCGCACTATCAGGGGCCACATCTGCACTGACATCATGTCTGCCTCCAAATTGTTCTCGCTTGAAGGGAGGGGCTTGAAGCTCGACACTGCGGGGGATATTGAGCCTCACGTTGCCGACTTGAAGGCAAACAATGATGTGGAGGAGGTTCGCCTTTTGGGAAACACTCTTGGAATTGAAGCTTCCGAGGCCCTCGCAAAGATATTGGCAACTAAGAAGAAACTAAAGGTTCGTCCCACGCGCTCTCCATTGATTCCGATAACTGACTTCGTTACTGATGGTAGGTTGCCAATCTTGCTGACATCTTCACGGCACGCCTTCTGTCGGAAATCCCCCCTGCCCTGTCCCATCTTCTCACCGCACTTCTTGAGCTTCCCGAGCTTCATACCGTGAACTTATCGGACAACGCCTTTGGGCTCAATACGCAAGCGCCTCTTGTAGATTTTCTCTCCAAACACGTTCCCCTTCGTCACTTGATCCTCAATAACAACGGCCTCGGACCGGCGGCTGGAGTTCTCGTGGCAGATGCGCTAAGTCTCCTGGCGGAGAAGAAGGAGGCTGCCAAGAAAGAAGGCAAAGATGTCCCTGACCTAGAGACTGTCATTTGTGGACGCAACCGGCTCGAGAACGGAAGTATGGCGGCGTGGGCCAAGGCATACGCTGCCCACAAGGGCGTTCGGGAAGTCAAGATGGTCCAAAATGGCATTCGACAGGAGGGTATCATACACTTGCTGAGCAACGGCTTGTCGCATGCTTCAAAGCTCAACATTCTCGACTTGCAGGACAACACATTCACTGCCACTGGCGCACGGGCGCTGAGCAACGTTGTCGGGCGTTGGACAGAACTGAAGGAACTGGGTGTGGGCGATTGTCTGCTGAGTGGACGAGGCGGTGTTGCCCTCGCCTCCGCGTTGGAGAAAGGACAGAACACTAAGCTCGAGGTGCTCCGCCTGCAGTACAATGAGATCAATTCTAAAGGCATCAAAGGGCTTGCAGACGCCCAGAGCAAGCTTCCTGCACTTCGACGCGTTGAGCTGAACGGAAACATATTCGACGAGGAGGATGCGAATGTGGAGAGGCTGCGCGAAGCTCTGGATGAGCGAAAAGCGGCTGCTAACGGGAAGCATGCGGATGATGAGGATTACTGGGGCATTGACGAACTTGACGATCTGGAAGAAGCCAGCGATGAGGAGGAAGAAGACGAAGCGGCTGCAGCCAGTGACGAGGAGGAGGGTGTCGAAGTGGAAGAGAAGGCCGCAAGGGAGGCAATCTCTGCCCAACAAGCCGAGAACGAGAACGTACCACAGGAGGAAGATAAGAAGGTCGATGACTTGGCGGACGCCCTTGCGAAGACCCAAATCAAATAGATATCCCAGATCTCAGCAACCCCCACCCCTAACGGAGTTTCACCAAACTTCTTTGACATGTTAGACCAAGGAGAGTGTATAAGCTTGAAGCAGAAATGGTGAGCTAATAGCAATAGAGGAGATTATTCACATGTAATTGATCTAACCGTGTACCATTCATGAGCGCGGGGCGCGCGTGTGTGCATGTTTTTATATACCAGTTGAATCGATGCGAGCCATAGATCCCAATGCGAACCTAAGTATCTGTTTCTATAGCGGAGATAACGCTCGCATCTTTCTATGAACGCCCATGAATACTGCATGGGCGATAGCGATTGACTCCCTGCATTGATGAATTATCAGATTGATATGCTGAATTGGTTGTCGACCACTGAGCACTCACGGAACCTAGTCAACGGCGGTGGGAGGGCGGGATGTGCGGGAGGGATATCCGTCACTACTTGTACGTGTATGGAATAGTAAGTGATTGACGCCAGACTATGAGTGCCGGATTAGACGTGGGGCAGATTGATGAGGTGAACGCGAACGCGGCTACACAATACAATAGGGAAGGGCGTTGTGGTGTTCGATTTGGGATGATGTATACCACTGCCTAGGTACCTAGGTACCTACTTTGTTCCTGGTAGAACTTACACTGCGCATTGAAAGTACCTGTCTACTCGTAGCCTATAGATACCTTGGTAGGTGGGTACAAGTAGTAATAAACACTGCCTAATTGCACTCACTACCCACGTGGTTACCCTTTGTCCATACTTTATGGCGGGGTTTCCTCCGGTAATTAAGGCTCATGATAGTAGCTACCTACATACAGAGTAGAAATAGCGCGTATGTATAATGAACACCAACACTGACGTCGACGTCGATACCGACACCGACGCCATCACCGGAGAAGACTCGTGAGACACAGGGTGATGGATTCTACGTGGACGAACAATTTCACGTGGGACGGATTGGTTCCTTATCTGTCCAAGTGTTGTACTGCGTACTTGGTTTTTAATTAATTATTTGTAGATTCCTACTCCAAGTAGAACTCACACGGTAGGCTGCGTTGAGTGCCAAGGCACCCGCGCGCTTTTGCAACAAGCGACGTGTCAGAACTCAGAAAGCAATGGAAGAACAGAAAAGGGCTACCCCCACAGACATTCTCTGTTGTTTTGTTTTCCCTTTGGGATGATTAATATCCTTGTGGGAATTGGAGGTTGAGATTGAATTAGGGTTTGGCTTCGGGTTTCGGTTTATTGCAACACGCGAGCGTCTGGCTCGGCCGGATGCTGGGGAAATTCAAGAAGCCGAAGGCAAAAAGAGGAACGGAAAAACCAAGAAATAATGAACCAAGGAACGAAGAACCAAGGAACACGGCATTCAAAAGCCTTCAACAGGTCAGCCAGGCACGCATGAGTTTGTATTGGTCGTTATCGTCCAAGAGCCGGCGCCTGTGCAGGCGGGTGGCAATTGCAGCCGCCCGCCACACCGGTACACCATAAGATTTTTCTACCCTCCAGAAAGAAATTTACTTTCTTTTCTAATTATCAACTTGCGAGGTACAGAGTAGATATCGTGAGTAACTACCGAGTACGGAGTAACTACTTGTCTGAGAGGAGTCACCATGTTCATGTGTTTCTAGAGAGGAGGGTGAAAAGGTACCTAGGTACTTGGGTAGGTACAAGTTGGACGCGCAATGACGTGAGGTGCTCTGCTGTTGATGATGGTGAATCTCGGTACCTGGGTACTCCGTACTCCGTACTACTCACGAGGTACGTTAAAGCCTGTCCCATGATTGCGGGATCGGATCGAATCAACTGGGTAGTCTACTGATCGAAATCCATCATCGTCAAGTGGAGATCAAAATATACGAGGATGCTCATGACTTGTACTTATCCTATGACCTGTTTATGTAAGTACCAGTGTACTTGGTATATGCGTGCGTAAATACAGTTGAAGCAATATTGATAACGATAATAATAATGTGAACAGTTAAATAGTCCGCGTATCCTCCGTATTATGAGTAGTAATTGTACGAGTAGGATAATACTTATTATCACAAGTAGATAGATGAATCGAGAAAGATGAAATAAACGATGGATGGTGCATGGGAAGTAAGTGGAAGGACAAGTAACAGACTACCTAGAGGCACCTACACTACGGTATCAAAGTGGATCATCCTGTGGGTACGCGCGCCTTTCCCAACATTCACCAAGCGGTCCCACAGATTTACGCCATCGACGTCGCTCGTGTCTTGTCTTGGCCTTCATCTCCCAATTGTCTTTCACTCTACCCATTTTTTTTCTCTCATTCTCTCATCTCTCATCTCTCTTCCTCGCAGTTGCGTCTTTTCCGTTTCTCCCTCACCCCCTGCGCATCCAATAGATACACACTACACTCAACGTTGCTCAAGTTCAACACCAAGTGCCACCCCACCGCCCCCCGGTGCCCTGTATGCGTCACCACCGATCATTACCATTCACGTTTGCCTCCTCCGTCCACGCTCAATAGTTACAGGACAAGGTCTCACAAGTATCTAATTTGCAGATCCGTGATTCATGATCCCTGCTCTGCTTGTCCACCCCCTAAGTTGCTGCGTCCTGAATCTTGATCCTTATCATCTCATATTTACTTCACCTGCCAACTAGGTACCTGCTGTGTAGGTTTCTAGGTAACTACGAGTACTCCGTACTCCGTACAGATCGAGAGTCTCTTTCGAGTGCGATGAATTGTGATGCCCTGCTCGTACACCGTACCAATGGTGCATGCAATGCACATATGGAGTACATACAAGTACCATGATGCATGTATCTAAATACATATCTTGCCATGCCTGCCTATTCGTACTAACGACTACCTACCACCCACTAACACTCCCCGTACATACATAGATGGGTACAAGTACAAGCAATTACTCCGTACATTCACACAACTCGGTAACTACTGTACGTGCATGGAGTTCTTAATTACAACAACCCCATGTCAGTCCAGGGCCGCTCCTCCTCTTTATCTTGTTCCTGCTCTTCCTTTTCTTCATCATCGAACTATCTGGGCCACTAAATAACCGCCTGCCCATTTACTCGTTCGCTTTTCTCACCTTCTTGACCACAGCACAAGTACAACTACACCATACCATCACTTATCACACGCGAACTACTCTCCACTCACTACTGCGCACAGCCGCCAGTCTACACTACCATATCTCCACCACGTTAGCTTTTCCTTTTCTTCCTCTTCTTGACCTCTTCTATACATTCGCTTGTATCCCGGTTTCACTCTTCTCGTCCTCGTCATCCTCATCTCTATCCCCATTACGGGCAACAGTCACTACTTCAGTACTACCCTACCACTACGAGGAATAATCCTATCTGCTACCTCGCCACCCCCCTCACCCTCTGAGGTTTGGGAAAACTTTAGCAAGCAAACCTCACTGAAGTTTAATCACCTCCCCGTATCTCCTCCAGGAAGTAAATTAATTCACCATGACCACCCCAGTGGACGATCGACAGGCGTATGATTTGCACATAAACACAGGACAATCGGTCACCTCACCACCACCCCCCTTGGTATCGCCATCCCAACACCATCACCAGCAGCCGCCATCTCATTCATTGAATCGTCAACGTTCGTCTGATGACGATGGCACCTTCGTCGGGGAGGACGACCCTGTCCAGCACCCCAACAACCCTCATCCAACTGGAAGACCACGTGCTGGAAGTCACCTTACCGTCAACACTGACTATGGTCACTCGAGGTCACTCCAATCCCCGTCACAGACACGCGAGCAGGCCAGTAGATTGGACGACGATCTCGCTATGCTCCAGATCGAACGTCAAATCTCTAACCAGGAAGGTATCGCCCGTGAGCAATCCATGTCACGCTCCATTCGCAAAGAGCGCTCCCGACGCGAGGAGCCCATAGACGAATTCGATGCCGCAACCAATCCACTGCATGAGAAGACCGCAATCTACAAGCCCCCCGAGAATCCTAATACCAGCATTTCCAAATTCTTCAAGAAGGTCCACAGTTCTGTCTGGATTATTCGCTACTTCATCTATATCATCCCATTGGTTTTGATCATCCTCATCCCATTGCTTATCGGAGCCCTTCTTTTCCAGGACGCTCATGTTGGTGGGGTTTACCTCGTATGGTTCTGTATATGGCTTGAGATAGTCTGGCTTACCCTCTGGGCCGGTCGCATCCTTGCCAAATGCCTCCCCTGGCCCATCGGTGTCGTCTCGAGTCTCTTCACGAATAACAGCAAAAAGTGGAGAGATATGGGAAAGCAATTGGAACTCCCGGCCACTCTATTCTTCTGGTGGCTAGCTATCGAGGTCTCCTTCCTACCTACCATGAAGCACCATCACGTCAACGGAAACTCGGCCACTAAGTCTTGGGAATCGACCATGAACAAAGTCATAGTCGCCATCTTCGTCGGTGTTGTTCTGAACTTCGTAGAGAAGATCATCATCCAACTCATTGCGATTAGTTTCCATTTGAGGACCTATGCCGACCGCATCGAGCTCAACAAATTCCAAATTGGAAGTCTGGCCAAGCTGTACCGGTATTCGAAAGAGAAGATTGCCATGGAAGATTCCGAATTCGAACAAACCGGGCCAGCGTCTGGTGCCCGCACCCCCGGCCAATTCGTCAAGGATGCCCAGAAAACCACCAAAGAAGCCTTCAGCAAATTTGGAGACATGGCTGGAAAGGTGGCAGGCGATTTCACTGGTCGCCAGGTAACTCAGAGCACCCACCCGCAGCAGGTCGTTCTAGCACTGCTTGGCAGTACCAATGGAAGTCAAGTTCTTGCTCGACGGCTGTACCGTACCTTTGCCCGAGAGGAAACAGAAACCGTTCACTCGGAGGATCTTAGAAACGCGTTCGATAACGACGATGAAGCCGATGCTGCCTTCCACATGTTCGATAAAGACATGAACGGCGACATATCTATGGAAGAGTTCGAAGCTGTCTGCGTCGAGATTGGACGAGAGCGAAAGTCCATCACAGCCTCCTTAAAGGATCTCGACTCGGTTGTTAGCAAACTCGACGACGTCTTCATGTTCATTGTCTGTGTCATCACCATCCTCGTCTTTATCTCTTTGATCTCGACATCCGCAGCTGGTGTCCTAACCTCTGCTGGCTCTGCCGTTCTCGCCCTTTCTTGGCTGTTTTCTGCCACTGCCCAGGAGTTTCTCCAGTCCGTTGTCTTCGTCTTCGTCAAACACCCTTTCGATGTCGGCGACCGTGTGAGCATCTATGGAAATACCGGAGACCTCGGGCGGGGTGACGACTATTTCGTGAAGGAGATCGCGCTTCTGTACACAGAGTTCAAGAAGATGCAGGGTCACGTTGTCCAAGCCCCCAACAGTTATTTGAACACGCTTTTCATTCTCAACCAACGAAGATCCGGGGCACTTGCTGAGGCTGTTCCTGTCGTGATCAAGTTCGGCACTACTATCGAACAGATTGATGCACTTCGTCAGCAGCTCCTCGAGTTCGTACAGTCCGAGAAGCGCGAATATCAGTCCAATATTCTTACTGAGTTGCGGGAAGTGTCAGAGGTCCATTCTCTAACGCTCAATGTCGTCTTTTTCTACAAATCGAACTGGCAGAATGAATTGCTCCGCCTCCAGCGCCGCAACAAGTTCATCTGCGCCCTCATGGTGTCTATGCAAGAGTGCGGAATCGAAGGCCCGCGCATGAGGTATCCCGGCCAGAAAGAATCTTTCCCTGTGTATCTGCAGAATATACCTCACGTCGCAACTCCTGGCGCTGGCGTTAGTGGTACCCCAGATAACCCACAGGGCAATGTTCGCGGCGAAGAGCCTCGAGATGAATGCATCGTTCCTCCACCGCCTGATGCGACTGGCAGTGTTCCTCCTAGACGCCATGGTTCCATCCTTCGCAACGGCTCCACACGGCCCCGTGGCGAGTCAATGGCAGCGATGGGTCGTCGTGTGGATTTCTCCCTTGGTATGCGAGACATTTCGGCTGGCAATATGACTGGCGACGTGTTTGAAGATCGAGAGTCCAACGAAAGGGCCAGGGAAGCTGTCATTAGAGTCACTTCACCGTCACGACACTCCCAAGACCGTTCACGGACTTCCCACGACACCGCGCGCTCCACGTCTATTGCCGATCGGCCGAGTCGACAATTTGGCAGTCTTCATCGCGTCAACACTGATAGCAGCCAGGCTCGCGATCGAAGCAATCATCGCAATCGCTTTTTCGGTCGTGGTTTCCGGGCTCATCAGGATGAAGAGTCGGCAATGGCGGACATTCCAGAGAATGGAAACCCCTCATCGTCTCGAGAGCGTCTTGATCCTCGTTCTGGTCTAGTCAGTCCGAATGCGGTCAAGATGGAAAGCCGGGAGAATGTAGCCCCAAGATCGTCCGGGGCTTTGCCAGCGACCGCTGATTCTGATGAAACCTTCCATGCGCCTCCTCGGGCTCAAACAGACATCTACGAGATGCGACATCTGCGTTGAAAACCCTCTCAATCTCTCTTGAGTGATTAGCACTGACGCTTTCCGGTCTATGTTTCTTTATTATTTTCCCCCCATTATTGTAAGCTTTCGGATCATTAGAATGCGAAGATTCTTCTTTCAGTTTAAGGCACAAGGATGAGGGATATTTGATGATGGCGTTCAGTTCCTGGCTTCCAGCCGGACTACGATATGGACTCTTGCCCTTGGGACGCAGTTCTTTATATACACGTTGCAAGCAGCAAGAGAATAGATTTGATTAGGAAGCGAGATATAGATTCAAGACAAAGAAGAAGATAAAGAATTCATTCCATGTGATTACCTACTTATAGCATACTGCCGGACAGCTTGCATTAAGCTGGATTGTCCCGTCCTGACGATGATTTGACTCAATGATTGATCGTCTAGACAGTTAACATAACATATTACAGGTGAGGAGTTGCAGTATGGATGATAACAGGTACCTTGATACCAAGCAAGGTAATTACGTGATATCTATTCAATACTTCCATGGAACGTTCAACGGGTAAACCCCAAACTTTCATCCATGGGACGACAGCCGACCAGCCTCCACGGGACGGGCACGACGGGCACTTGGGCGAACAGGGACAGGGCCACGTTTGACCGTTCTGGGACGCGCGGTGGTCTGTGCCGCGCTTGCCAAATAAACATGCCCCGCTAAACTCCAACACCTCACCGCTCTCAACGACCAGAAAACTCACCAACTCCCCTTGATCTTGCGCTTCCACTCCTACTATCTGTTTGACACAGTATAGCAGACCTAATTCACCATGCGCGGAGAGGTACGTTTCCCTCAATTGCAACCCAATCTCTCGTCCCAGAACTCACATACCTTGGAACCCCCGCTATCCTTCCCCCTGGACCAACGTGAACTTCAGCTACTGATGCTTTGAACCTCTAGATTTGCCACCTCCACATCGGCCAGGCTGGTACGCAGCTCGGAAACAGTGCCTGGGAGCTGTACGGACCCCCATATACTCGCATAGAGACTGTCCACAAGCCTTGTCAACTTGCTGACCGTGAGCAGCTACCTTTTGGAACATGGTCTGAAGGCAGACGGACGTCCAGACCCCGATGCTAAGGACCTCGCCGAGGGAGGTACCTATGAAACCTTCTTCACCGAGACCGGCAGTGGCAAATACGTGCCTCGTTCCATCTTCGTCGACTTGGACCCATCCCCTATTGACGAGATCCGAACCGGTACCTACCGTCAACTGTTCCACCCGGAGCTTTTGATCAGCGGCAAGGAAGATGCGGCCAACAACTGTATGTCATTGCGACATTGAGATAAGACTCTTACTAATGATATTGATTAGATGCCCGTGGTCACTACACCATTGGCAAGGAGATGGTCGATAGTGTCATCGATCGTATTCGTCGCGTTGCTGGTCAGTAGTCGAGCCATTCTCAGTGATGCCCGTGTTTAATTGATGACCTGCAGATAACTGCTCTTCCCTCCAGGGATTCTTGATCTTCCACTCCTTTGGTGGAGGAACTGGATCTGGTTTCGGTGCCCTTCTTCTCGAGCGCCTCTCCACCGACTACGGCAAGAAGTGCAAGCTTGAGTTTGCCGTTTACCCAGCTCCCCGTGTCTCCACCTCCGTGGTCGAACCATACAACGCTGTTCTTTCTACCCACAGCACCATCGAGAACTCCGATTGCACGTTCCTTGTTGACAACGAGGCTGTCTATGACATCTGCCGCCGTAGCTTGGACATTCCTCGACCCAATTACGAGCACTTGAACCGTTTGATCGCGCAGGTCGTTAGCTCAATCACTTCCAGTCTCCGTTTTGACGGCGCCCTCAACGTCGATCTGAACGAGTTCCAGACCAACTTGGTCCCATACCCTCGTATCCACTACCCCTTGATCAGCTATGCCCCCGTCATCTCTGCCAAGAAGAGCTCCCACGAGAGCTTCAAGGTCAGCGACCTTACCTTCCAGTGTAAGTACACTCCATGGAACCCCGGCTGATTGTTTCCCAACCCCTTTCTGTCTATGATTGAGGTTGGATCGATGTCTTTTCATGGATTGCGCTAACCAAGCTCAGGCTTCGAGCCCAACAACCAGATGGTTGTCTGCGATCCACGAAACGGCAAGTACATGGCTGTTGCTCTGTTGTACCGTGGTGACATCGTTCCTCGTGACTGCAATGCGGCTGCTGGAGCTCTCAAGGCCAAGTCTTCTTTCAACCTCGTCGAGTGGTGCCCAACTGGATTCAAGCTTGGTATCAACTACACCAAGTGAGTGCTACCCATTCCCTAAAGCCCATGCTGTCGCTAAATCAATATAGGCCTATCAGTGTCCCTGGAAGCGAGTTGGCCTCTGTTGACCGCAGTGTTGCCATGCTTAGCAACACCACTGCCATCGCCGAGGCATGGTCTCGTCTTGACCACAAGTTCGATCTCATGTACTCTAAGCGTGCCTTCGTCCACTGGTACGTCGGTGAAGGCATGGAGGAAGGCGAATTCTCTGAAGCCCGCGAGGATTTGGCAGCACTTGAGAAAGATTACGAGGTATACTTTCCCTGTTTTCCCAACTTTTTTAAGCTTGGTGTTGGCTAACAATGTGTTCAGGAGGTCGCCAGCGACTCTTTGGATGAGGAGGTTGAAGAGGGAGAGTACTAAGTGAATACCCTCAGGGATCTCTTGAATCGAGCTTATGATTGACCTGGATATGTCGATGGACTGCTAGTATATATGATTAGCTGGTCGTCTATGGCCACGCTTGAAGTGAAGGAATAGTTATTTGCTTACATTCTATGTGTGATGGACTTGCTCCTTTTGCGGTGTTTGGCAGCGTTCCGCAGTCTGGATTTCTCGTGTGACGCATCGTATATAGGTCCATTCTGATGGTGCTCCATGCTGCGAGATTCTTTGCGAGCGATTTGCCGCGCAAGGTGCAGTCATTCCTGCACTAGCGACGAGAAGGCATATCGTGCATTGATGATACTGTGATGTCGGGCTGGCCCTTGCTAGTATTTCATGCCTACAACAGTGCATTCGCGAGTTTTATCGCAAAGAGTTAAGACTGTTTGCTGGCTACACTATACTTTTGAGTTAGGTATAGAAGATACATGAAGCTGGCAGGTGGGCAGCCCGACGTGCCAACCCTCTGTACCACTGGGGGAAGGTTGACGTTGTTGTTCCCCCCCACACGGCATTAATACTGAAATGGAAAGGTGCAGTTGACTCAATCTGTATTAGCCATCCACCCATCATATCTAGCTCTGTTCATTCACAGCGGGGCTCAACCTCGACATCGCACGACTGTCACCTTGCAGTTGTCAAATATGTTCCAATTGCCTACAATAAAGTTTCCATTCCTAAGATCCTGGGGTGAGAATCATGTCAGCATCGATCTTCCATCTGTTCCGATCCACGATGTCGAGCTAGCTCGGGAGAAGAGGGCGCGGACACTCAAGCACCTCATCAAAGCCAACCACGCCAACCATTCCGTCATATACCACGAGCTACGCTTCCACAACCACACACCTCACGTAAGGCTCTTGCTGTGCACATTGCGCGTTCGGCTGCAGCTACTAAAAGACGTCCAAAGATTCTAGGATCCGCATACATCTTGGGTGCAACGCGCGAGCATCTGATAGAGATCTACGAGAAAGAAGCCGAGGAGCTTGAACCATGGCATGATTCGCCAGGCGAGATCTCACAGGACGATTGGAGGAAATTTCTTGGCAAGAGAGAGTATCCGCTCCCAGACCATAACACGGATGGGCCCGTCGGTGACATATAAACAGATACCAGCGAGCTTTTGTGGATTTCTTCGAAGATCAACTTGTGTTGAGGAAATACGACTGGAAAGCTCTCCTCAACGAATATCTATTCGAGGGAGAGGAGCCACTGATCAACGGGCTAATATCAGGACGTGAGTACGGGGAGTAGGATCACTCTGTCCAAAGCTTGTACTAACGGTATACCTAGTCGGACATCCTCTCATACACCTTGGATATGCTTACGAGCTCGATTCACGAACCGTTGCGATTGAAGCATTAGCGTTGGGTACATGCTTCTACAGCTCTCTACATAAATATATAGACGATCCATCCTACACGAAACCGAGTCCCGTCCACTATTCTTCGCTATACGACATACTGAAAAAGGTCAAGGAGGATGCACGGTTCGATGGTTTATATGACCATCGTAGTGGCGATATTTCGAAATTACTCGAGGAGAGAGAGGGCGTATTTTTGGAGTACTGGAATGCCTGGGAGCTTACCAACCCCACTGAGCAGTTTCGATATTCCCAAGAGGCTGCTGTTGCGATTTTGATCGGGACGGAGCCACCAGAGCAAACCAAGTTCGATTTCTTCCTCTGTCACCTACTTACCTCCTCGCACGCCGTGCGCATTCTGTTGCCTCTGATACCGGCTAAACATCACATCAACCTTGTTCGTCAATGGTGGCTATTCACGCTTGCGGTATACATCGCCCAGACAAGACCTGAGATCAAGCGGGACGTCATCTCGAATTACGACCTGGCAGGCAGAGACTGGAAGTTTGTGGTCGACAAAGCGCTCCATTCGGGGCATTCGTTGGATGCGCATTTTACTAAAGGTAGGTTCCGGCCCTTTGGATCGTAATTGTGCGCGCGCATCCCTATAATGTTCACTGACAACTCGTAGCATTGCGGTCCATGCAAGTTGCTTCGGATACCTGGGGCGACGAGTCCCAATACTATCTCAAAGCTGCGGTGAAGTTTGCGAATGAGTTTGGGGGCTGGGCAGGCTTCAGCGCCAGTGGTGTAGAGTACGATTATCCCGAGCAGATACAATAACTGGGGACAGGATCAGGGTTGAGGGCATCGGAATGATGACAAAATCGAATAACCCGTCAACTCGTGGCAGCGACAGTGTGAGCAACAACAACGACAGCGACGTCATGAGCCACCAGCACTTGCAGGGGTAGCAGGATTCATTTATGTTCTACTTTGGACGGGATGTATGATCATGCTCATACTACAATTATTTTTGGTGTAACTAAACTTAGAAGATGACAACTACCTAATTGCAGGGTAAAGCAAGGTATGGGAAGCAAGAGATGATCATAACGAGGCTGGATGTAAAAACCACCATGTCATGCTCAAGCCCATGCCCACCTCATTAGGTAAGTAAGTGAAGTAAGGTACAGAGGCACAGAGGGTTGGCACGTCGGGCTGATCCCATGCTACGAGTAGTATTTTATGCCTACAACAGTGTCTTAGCAAGGTTTATCGCAAGCAGTCAAGATTGTTTACTGGCTACAGTATATTCTTAAGTAGACACTTTAGGTATAGAAGGTACACGAAGTTAGCAGGTGGCCAGCCCGACGTGCCAACCCTCTGTAGATTGCAGAGGTTTTTTGGTGCAAGCGTGGAAGAGATTTTTGAAATGTATGTGCGGGCAGGTCAGCCAAGATTGACGGGTCTGCTTACAAAGTGTGTATGTACATGCAGTTTTCATGGGATCAGGGACAAGAAGATGAATCGGAGGAGAGAAGATCATGTTGATATGTGTGGAATCGAATTTCTGTTGACAGAACAGTATGGGGCGCCCTAGATTAGTACATTATTAGTCATGCATGTGTAGTTGCGCCATTGAGAAAAGGTGAGAGGACTGGGGACGCAGAAGTCCACACAGCAGGTATGTGCAGGTACGTAGGTAGTAGGTACACATGCGACGAGTTGGAGAGAGGAGAGAGACCGAGGCTAAAAGCGTAGGTCCTTGTAGGTTTCGGTGGGTGGGTGGGCAAACTCTTGTCCTGCAGGGGAATTAGATCAAGCATTCTGGGCACATTGTTACATACATATGATATGTACGGAGTAGTACCTATGTACTTGTATGAAGGGAGTGTGCTCCAAGAGATGTGTACCATAGTTACCTACATAGTACGGCAGTACTTGTACAGGTGCATACATTGATTGACATTACAAGTAGTTATTGCAGCCGATAAAAGGACTTGGTTTTGTTTCGTTTCGCAGCCCGTACTACATACTCATAATAAGAAGATGGTTTTTGGTGCACAAACTCGCCAATGTTGGGGGAGTGGATCTCGCCGATATTACCATTACAAAGTAAATATCGAGATCTCCCTCGTACACACCCACGAGGGAGTTACTACTGTGCTTGTATGGTAAAGAGTCATAGACCATGAGGCTGATGTACTAACTATGGAATATGGTATGATTGAGCTATGCTGTGAGCGGAACAGTGTGGGCAGGGCGCTGATGTGTCAGCAGCCAAGATGCAATACTTGCAGTGACGGTGGGAGAACTATGAATTAGTAACGATAAGTGTGTATGGAGCATCTGTTACGTAGACTGGATTGGGTGGCCTTTCGATAGAGATGGGTGAAAGGAAATGAAACGAAAAAGAAGTTAAGAATATTAATAACCACCGAGGAATTCTTGTTACAATTACGCCGTATCATAGCACCAAAATCCAATCACGACCAGGCCGCCACAGCGGTGGGCTTAAAGAGATGAACAAACTGCACGTACATATGTAGTACAAAGTAATGGTGTGTGTGGCGTACGTGCTGACCGCGTGCGTGCATACAATATTGTGTCACAGTATGGACACCATGTTCGGTTGGTCGGTTGCAGGAGACAGAGCATTGACTAGAAGAGACGGAATGTACGGAGTAAAACTGAGTGCTTGATTGGGAGCGGAAATGGAAGATATATTCCAATTATTAATTGAAAGTGTTTTTTTATCGATCTGAGGGCTGCCCAAATGGAATGGGAATTGGAATGGGAAAGTGAAATCCTGATGGCATTCTCTGGTGAATTGGTTACTGCATGTGGGAGAGGCACTGCATGTTTTTACCTACCTCGTAACTGTACGTACAGCACAGCGCAATGCAGTCCTTTCTTCTGATTGGTAGTGTCGTGTCGTGTCGATGTATCAGGGGACGATGTTAATTTTAACAGATGATAAAAAGATATATTCCAATATGGAGTACCCTCATACCTATGACGTTCCTTGCTTCCAAGGACGAGTGCTTCTTAGATAATCGTTGAACAAGGAAACTATCAAGTTACAGGTAATAGCTGTAATAGGTGCGAGTATTATTGCTTGACTACTCTGTACTCCTATGAATCAATTAGGGATTCCATACATATTATTGAAAGACGGAATCATGATCTCACCGGGGACGAACGGAAAGGAAGCAGGTATATCCTTGTCCTTTGGGAAAGAAGAGTTGCTGACGTCGAGCTGACGCATGGAAAACTAAGCTTGTTTTAGCTTCGGCCTGAGACCTACAATTGTCGCACATTATACAGGATTAGTCCAGTCCAGTCCGGGACATCAGATCAGTACGAGTATGATTGACTATTGAATGGGATGATCGCTTCATCGATTCATCGGGGATATCACAGCCTGGTGGTGCTGGGGTGGTTGGTCTACCACATCGTCCTACTTGATGATTATACTGCATGTACGGGGTATGAACGTGTGTACTACAAAGGTACGTAACATAGTATACACACGTCAGTACTCCATAGTCCTACTCATACAAGCAATTGTAACTAATCCCTTTGAGTTCATAGTATCTACCCATGTAGGTAGGTGTTTCCAGGGTAGCTTACCCAGTGCTACCACCACCTACCAGTACTCGTAGCTTACCTTGATTCGCAGCGAACTACCTAATGTATGCAGCTCGCCTTGCCTTACTTGACCACGAGTATATAACTCATTGTTAGTGTATGTGTATGTGTGTGACTGTGACTGTGACTGTGATTATGTGCGCAATTGGTGTATGGTGTGGTGTATTGATTGTGTTGTATACTAGCTGCTACCCCCGTGCACCCAGCCTTATAAACAAAGACAATGATTATTACATTACAAGTCCCTCATGCGTACATACACATACACATAACATAACACAAGTCAACCGAATACAATAACTACCTAAATTCGAATAGTTATGGATGGTTACCGTTGGGTTACTAATCCGCCGACGTCTGACAGCCCTCTTTTCTTGCCTTTGTTACTACTACAGTAGTTACTACTTTGTGCTCCGTAGCTTAATCGTTAAATAACCCCTCCTACCTATACTTGGTAGTGAGTGACGGTACCTACCATCCTCCCATCCTCCCCACACGCTTCGGGCTGCACTCGCTACGAGCAGTATTTCACTTACATACTCCTCCTCGTCCCCATTCTTCCTCTCATCTCACAATTCCCTCTTCTCTCTCCCTCCTCTTTCCTCTCTGTAGACCTGCGGCTCGCTTCTACTCTCCCCTCCCCTCGCACACACTCACATTGCTTCCCTCTTTCCGTTCCCCTTCCCCCCTCAACCCCTCTCCAAACCATCAGAGGTACGTTAGCAACGTAAATATCCACCTAATATCCTTTCAATCGGGAACACCATCCCCTCCGTGACCTCACTAACATGCCCGCCTTGCCTTCAGGACAATTCCCCGCCATTTCACCCGCGGCTTGCTGAGGGGGACCTGTTTCCGACATGTCTCTCAAGAAGGCGCTCGATAAGCTGAAGCCCGGTGGCTCCCGCAGCAACCCCGCCTCTGACGACGAGGGCGGAATCACCTCGCCCACTACCACCACCACTGCCACTACCAATGCCAATGCGAATGCATTGACCTCCCCTGCCTCCCCGCGTTCTTCCGGGATTTTCGGTCATCGCGCCAGCGGCGAGTTCAAGCGTAACAGTGGCACATTTGACCGCCAAAAGGACGTTCCCGCCCCGAGCGACGGCAAGAGCAGTACCGATCTCCAATCAAAGACCGAATCCCCGCGAAGCAGTGGCATCTTCCACCGCCGGACCGAGAGTCCCAACCGCACTTCTCACCACCGTTCCGGTTCCACCTCTCTACGCACCCACAGTCCCATCCGCGCGGTCAGGGAGCGATTGCACATTGGCGAGGGCTCTTCCAGCGATGGCGACGTACCCCTCAACCGCGAGGGTGAGCCCATGTCGCGAAACCAACTGAGAAAACACGAGCGCCAGGCGCAGGCGGAGGAGCGCAAGAAGGAAGTGCTCGAAAAGGAGAAGGAGATTGAGAAGCGCAAACAAGAAATGACCGAGCAGGCCGAGCAGGAGTTGACACCAGAGCAAAAGGCAAAGTATGGCGCGGTCCCCGCCAACAGCTATGCGGGCGAGAGGAAGAACATTCAGCGTGCCAATATTCGGGACTTCACAGCCGCTGATGTTGGCAAAGAGGTCGTCTTCCGCGCCCGCATCCATCACCTGCGAAAGATGAGCGCCAAGTTCGTGTTTTTCGTCTTCCGTCAGCAAACCGCCACCGTCCAAGGTGTGCTCTCAGAACACGGAGAGATCACCAAGTACATGCTCTACTGGGCGGAGCATCTCGAAGTCGAAAGCGTTGTCCTCGTCAAAGGTATTCTGCAGGAACCTCGTGCGAAGCAGGGTACAGTCACTGGAGCCACCATCCATGATGTCGAGATCGCCATCCATGATCTCCATGTTGAAGCCCCCGTGACGGAGCACCTTCCGTTCAACGTTTACGAGGCCGAGGTCTCTCAGCTCGACATTGAGGAAGAGTTGGCTAGAGGCGATCACAAGGAGGGCCAGCACAGGGTCAGAATCGCCGACCGCACCCGCCTCAGCAATCGTGTTATCGATTTGCGAACCACGACCTCGCAAGGCATCTTCCGCATTCAGTCTGGAATCTGCCATTTCTTCCGCACCCACCTCAACACCGAGGGCTTCATCGAAATCCATACACCAAAACTGCAAGGCGGCGCAACAGAATCTGGCGCCAGTGTCTTCAAGGTGGAATACTTTGGTCGCGGAGCCTTCCTGGCACAGAGCCCCCAGTTGGCCAAACAGATGTGCATTTCGGCCGACATGGGCAAAGTGTATGAGATTGGTGCCGTCTTCCGAGCGGAGAACAGCAACACGTACCGCCATTTGACGGAGTATACCGGTCTTGATCTGGAAATGCAGATCGACGAACATTACCATGAGGTTCTTCGCACCTTGGATCGCACTTTCAAGGCCATCTTCGAGGGTATTTATGCAAACTTCCGGCCCGAGATTGAGCTCATCAAGCGACAATTCCCCCATGAGGACCTCGTCTGGTTGGAGGAGACCCCAATCATCCCCTTTGCTGAGGGTATCCGCATGCTGAACGAGTCTGGCTGGCGAGACGAAGACGGAAATCCACTTGACGAGAATGAGGACATGGGCACTCGCGACGAGGTTCAACTTGGTCGTGTGATCAAGGAGAAGCTCGGAACAGACTACTACGTTCTTGACAAGTTCCCTGTCAACGCCCGCCCCTTCTACGCCATGCCTGATCCGAATAACCCCAACCTCACCAACTCCTTCGACATCTTCTTGCGAGGACAGGAAATTTTGAGCGGTGGTCAGCGTATTCATGATGCCGACATGCTCTTGGACAAGATGCATAGGCTCAAAGTCGACCCAATGTCCATGGAGGAGTACATCCAGGGCTTCCAGTGGGGTGCCCCTCCCCACGGCGGTGGAGGTATCGGCCTTGAACGCATTCTTATGCTTCTGCTCAGCCTTGGAAATATCCGTCATGCTTCACTGTTCCCACGCGATCCCAAGAGTCTTCCAGCCAAACCAGTCATCAAGCAGCTGAGACATCCGGAGTCTAGCACTATGCACCCTCCATGGGAAGGCAAGGATCGAGCCGCAGCCGGAATCGACCTCCAGTCTATCGAGAAGCTCATTGCCAACTACGGTGACGCAACAAACACTTCATGGCTCGAACCAAGAACCGAGATTTGGCGGGATGAGAATACTGGCGCGGCTGTTGGATTCGTTCCTCAAGATGGTTTTGCCATTACCGTGGGCGATCCTCTATGCCACCAATCCCAATACCTGAAGACCATGACAGCATATCTGAAGTATATCAAGAAGGAGCGGAATTTGAAGCCCTTGTGGCTTCTCGTAGGCTCCGAAGTTGAGGAGGTGCTCGCAACCAAGTTCAACTGGAGAACTTTCTCCGTTGTTGCCGAGCAACGAGTAGACCCTGCACACAACCCGGCACTGAATGATTCCGACGTTCAACGCAAGATCCGTCACGCGGAGAAGGAGGGTGTAAAGATCATTGACTTCCCCTTGGGCTCGCCGCCCTCGGACGAGATCCGCCAAAAGATTGATGCTCGTGTCGAGGACTGGTTGAAGAACCGAAAGGGTCGCCAGGTCCACTTGACCAACATTCGCCCCTGGCAAGATGTTGAACATCGACAATATCACATTGCACAAACTGCCGACGGGACTATTGTTGCTTTCGTCGCCATGGCACAATTGAGTCCCGATCACGGCTGGCAGGTCAAGTATTCGCTTGATTTCCCCAATGCCCCAGGCGGTTCCATCGAACACATTGTCACCCATGCCTTGAAGGTGGTTGCTCAAGATGGTACTACCACGGTGACATTCGGTGGCGGCGCAAGTGCCAAGTTCACGCCAGGCCATAATGTCAAGGGCACGAGGGTTAAGGTGCTCAGCAGAGCATACCACGCCATTGCCACTGAGCTGAAGTTGACAAACAAGACTGAGTTCCGAGAGAAGCTTGGAGCCACCGATGACCCAAGCTACATCTGTTATCCGCCACATGGGCTGGGCCCAATGGCTATCAAGGCCATCTTGAACTTCTTCGAAGATGGCGATTAGATGCAAAAAGTCAAGTCCACTTGGTCATGTATACGAGCGATGAAGGCGGGATGTGGTAGAGTTTCGGATGATACCACGGGGCGTTTGTTTGGAGCTTTTATTGTTCTCTTCGTCTGTCTTCCTATTGCGGAACTTTTGGTTTACCAATCGTGCTGGGTTGATACATTTCATGTCTTTTTTGTATCGTTGTGGCTACTTAGACACGCTACAGATTCCCCTAATTTGCATAATGATTCCTCCCCCATTGACGCCCACAGTGACATGTTCGTAAATCATACACTTGTACCGATTGATCTCCACGATGGTTCCTCGTACAGTGTGAGAAAAGAGAAACACAACAATTCACACTCATACATTGCTCGACGAATTGACCAGCTCACGCAGCACGCTCAATTATGGTCACTCTTATACTGTTACAAATGCACAATGTGGCAGCATGTGGCAGAATTAAGAAAATCAATGCTGATTAGCTAGAACAGCTCTTAGCGTACTTCAGATCAGAAATTCTAATATTCCAACTACGTTATAGGGCAGGTAGTTAATCGATTGCTACTGCAGGTGATTGGTTGATGCATACGGAAGGTGGCCGATTAATCATTATTACAACTGCGCGATCGATCACTTGGTTGATTGAGGAGGTTGATTGAGGTTGATTGAGGAGGTTGATTGAGGTTGATTGAGGAGGT